GACCCACTAAGATTTCTTTTGCGACCCACCAGTGGGTAGCAACCCATAGTTTGGGAACCGCTAGTCCATATGATATATATGTACGTAATCCGATACGCACAATCCCCCCCCCCCCCCCCCCCCAATTAACTGCCAGAATTATATCCGTATATATAGAATAACAAAAAATCATTCCAGTCAAACGTTATGCAGATAATGCAACGCAAGCAAGTTCTTAGTTTTCGTAATATCGACAGGCTACGCAACTTCCAAATTAATATTTTTTATGTCAATTATTCAAATGTACGCTTGCCGTACAAAATATTTACTATGAAATCCAACGGTTTAAAGATAGCATTATTGGCGCAAATTTAGTGTGAGTTGCAGAGATAATGTTGTTTTGTTTTGACCAGGAAAAGGTTCCCCAACCTAATATATAAATCTGACTTCGTGGTGTGCTGCTCATTGATTTTTGTCACTAGACTTGTCATCATGCAAAAGCTCATATGAACTCAACCCAGGTCTCTCGTTTGTAATTGCATTTCAAAAAGTGTTCACGTATACGAAATGAACGTTCGGTATCTACTTTTATGACACAAAAAGCATTCTTAAAAATCTTCAAAGATTTCAATTTTGATAAGACAGACCGCGAATTTGGATATTAACGAAGCTGAATTGACGTCATATATCTGTATCAGATACACTTGTTTATTTTTGCTGATCATTATATCGTATAATCCCTAATTTGTCGTTTGGTAATCAGAAAACAGCATCTCTGTCTTTGACCATATATGAAGAGTCGTCTACGAATTTGTATAATATTAAAAAATAAGATTGAAGTGTTCGCAGTGACTCGCAGGATTTGTGATATATATGTATGTGATTGCAGCGGAAGAAAACCTAGCAAAGTTTTTATAGGCTTAATAAATTAGTGTTATTGACTTATCGCATTTCAAAATCCAGTCATTTATGATCAACTTAAATACTGAATTAGAATTATTTAGGATAAAACAGGAAACAAGTTCTTGCATTTATATGAATTTCATCTGTTGACAAGATTGTGCATCCAACGGCTTGCTACCATGATTTACAATTAGATACGCATGTATCGCATTTCTGTCATACCAAACGTCAAAAATACAATAAAATCAAGTTCATTGTTTCAAAAATGTTTTCTGGAGACGGAGAGGAAGAGAACAAAACCTCAAGAAATTATACTAAAATTGATTGCTACAATTCATCATTAGTTTTTTCCGGTAGAAAACGACCGATCAGTTGTGGTGGATACCACGATTGGGAGACTGAATACCTATATCTTCACATATTGCGTCCAATAGTTACGGCGTTTTCGCTGTATTTGACAGCGACTCAAATAATATATTGCATAAGAGAAAGGAGAAAGGACCTTGAGCGAAAGCGACGATTACCGGGAAGAGGTCATTATGGAGTACGACTGAAGCTGGCAATGAACTCGATCATATGCACATGCTGTGTATTAACTACGATACGAGGTGCATTAGCGGTTCAGTATCCAATACACGAACAGCAAAAATGCAATGCCATAACTCAATCCGTCTTTTTCGTGTATAACGTGTCAATGTTTATGATTTACGCTATCTTGTGGCTACGACAGCTTTCGTTTTACTCAAATCCTTCTTTAAGAAAATTGGAATCTAGATTTACAAGAATCATAAGTTACGGGATTCTATTCTTAATGGTGGCTTCTAGTCTTGGAGTTATATTGAGTGCTCTAGTGGGGCATTCCTATCATGAATCCAGGTATGGCTGTGTCTCAGTCCCCCCACTCTATCCGTATGAATATGGTTTGGTAGTTCTTACTACTGTACTATACCAGGGAAGCCTATTAGGTCTTTTTCTGTATCCCCTTATAAAACACAATAGCAAAGTAGGAACCAATTACCTGCGCGGGTTAATTAAACGAGTCGCTATAGTTACTGCAATATGCGTATCTTCGGATGCGTTTTGCGCACTTTATTCATTCCTTGATCCGAGAAGAGAAATCGAATTATTTTTCTTTCTATATTTTGTGAACTTGAATGCCAATATTTCTTGCATTATTTGTTCCTTTAGGGACTGGAAGAAAAGACTATTGCCTTTTATATATCGGAAAAGGGCGATTTCGAAACAATCTGTTAAAAATGTTCAGATATCAATTGTTTCGAAGCCAGATAGATATACAAGTAGCTTTTAAATGCAAACACGCTGATGCTACAATACATCTAAAACTTGTCTACTGAAAATCACCGAAAATGAAGTTATGTTACACTAATTTGTGAAAACTTTATGCCAAATTTATATTCGAGACTTTCAAATACACAAGTGAGACGCAAGGATGGAGTATATGAAATTCTGCTAAGTAGTATTTTGTAAAAAATCGTATTCCCATTAAGGAAACCAAATAAAAACAAGTATATACCTAGAAAAAAAATAAGCTCGTAATTTGGATTCAACTATCGTTCCACTTCTAAAGCCGCCAAGAAAGAAATTGCTATCTATGATATCCTCTATTAAATTTTATTTATTTGTATTTTGTATTACCGTTGATTGACTCTCATTTTTCGTTTTGATATTATACTAAGCAGGAATATTTTAATATTCTTTCCGTGCTTGACCAAATTTTGCATTTCAGTAAACCAATTTCGTACTTTGCTATTATAATTTACTGTTGAATGTGATTATTTTAGCTAAAAGTATAATATATATAATAGGAGTAGGAAATATTAGGAGAAATTCACATAACGAAATCGCTCGAAGACCAATCACTCCAATACGTTTTTAAAAAGTTCAAGCTTGCAGATTAAAACAGAAGTATTGAAGCTTAATTTTCGCAATGGATGTTTTTGTCGGAGACGAATTCAGGTGGAGAAACAAAACAAAAATACCATGCACAACGGAAAATACTGATTTGCTGATCTACAGATGGCAAGTTGAGTATCTTACATTACGCATTTTGCGGTCGATATTGACTTTGTTATCTGCATTCCTTTTGTTTCTCAAGCAACTTATTGTGTATTACAAACTAGAAAAGATGTTAGAAATACAAGGCGAAGTCGACAGCAAGAAGTGGGTGGACGTCTCAAGCTTATGATTAATGTTCTGATGTCAACTTCATGTCTACTAATTGCCATCAGAGGCGGAGTATCAATTCAATCGCCATTGCAGACAGACTGGGAGTGCGATGCATCATCAAAGGCCATCCTCGTTTTGTCTACATTTGCGCTCTTATTTATTTACGTCGTTTTGTGGCTAAGACAACTTTCCTTTTACGCCAATCCATCGCTAATTTATCTCTCTTCGCGTGCAACACGTTTAACAAGTAGATGTTTCATATTTTGTTTAATGACAAGTTGTGCTGCTGCAATTACAGTCAGTTTCACAAAGCATCCGTACACAAGAGGACCGAATGGTTGTGTTTCAACACCTCCGCTGGCACCATATGAGTATGGCTTAATGATCATTACTACTTTACTTTACCAAGGCAGTCTGGTTGGATTATTCATTTATCCATTAGTGAAGCATACAAGGAGTTCAAGCGGAAGGCGAATTCGGAGTCTGATAAAACGCGTTGCCGCGGCTTCTGCTACTTGTATTGGGACTGATTTGTTTTGTACTATTTTTTCTTTTATGTTACCTAGATTAGAAATTGAATTATTCTTTTTTCTATATTTTCTTAATCTAATATTTAACATGCTCTGTGTTATATGCTCGTTTGTCGACTGGCGAACAAGATTGTTTCCGTTTTCAATCTTTTGCGAAAGATCCGCTGTGACACAAAGGGTCGAAATTTCCGTCATTTATATACCTAGTAGGCACCATGGTGAATCGAGCAACCCATCCGACAACTCACCTCAGCGCATGGATTTCAAGATTGAGTGCGACTCGGAAAAGCGGAGCCCAAGCTGAACTATATTTTGTAACAGTTGTCTATAGTTGTATATAATCTTCCGGGACATACGGAAGTTATCATCATGGCATGGTTAAACTATGATTATGGCATTCACATTATCTTTTGCTCAGAGTATTATTTATATTGTCTGAAATAAATAAATATACCAACAAGCTATTTTGTAATCATTGATTGGGATTGATTTTGGGGGAAGCCAGATCTACAGAAGGACAGATAATTTTATCAAGATTTAATTCCATTCTTCCATATCGTTCGCCCTATCTATGGATAATCCATCTTATCGACTTTCCTCTCCAACGTCGAGTCTAGTTGACAGCTCATTCATCGGACTTGGGTCCTCTAAGATTTTTATATTTGTGGTATTCCAAGGACAATGTTTATGAGAACAATCCTCAAACAATTGGTGAATTGGAGTCTGCAATTGCAGCAATAATCAGAGAAATCCCCATAGGTAGGGGTTTGTTTTCTAAAAAAAGGGCACAAGTACTTGTTTCAAATCAATTTTTTTCTGTATTTTTCTTTTGAAATACCCCTTGCAACGCCGTGAAACTACGTCAAAACGTTGCGTTCTGGCAGCTACACACGCTGCCGAAATAATAATTTTAAAAATGTGAGTAAAAATTCTTGCTTTGACTTTCACCGGCCGATAAGACGACTTAATCATATCATATTCAATAGTGAACCATGGCCTCTTGTCCAGTTACCAGTCCATATCAGGTATGGGACTAGTTCGCCAGTTATTTGTTTTTCAGGTGCGTTGATTTGATGATACAAGAGGCCGTAACCGACCAGCGCTTACGTGAACCCTCCGCGGCTCCAGAAAATCTAGACAAGCGGCCAACATAGGCAGGGGAGCTGTGATTTTTTTTGGGAGAGCCGGTGTTGGAACTAAGCTTACCATATTGGATGTAGATACCAGAAATTTAAGTGGCCAGCTATTATGCTTCTTGCGGTACCTAAATTTACAGCATCTCAAGACGAATCCTTTGTTTATATACATACTTTTAGAAATTGGAAATTGTCCCACTTGTGTCGATCCATAGTGCAATACAAAGCCTGTGCTGAAATGATAAGCAATAATCAAATCCACACATATAATGAATATATGTATTTTCATACTAAAATATATTAAAATGTGTAAAAATAGCATAATACAAGTTATATGAAAATGTTGGGTAAAGCCCAAAATAATACACCTCTTCAAACCTATGTTAAACAATACAATATATATCACGCTATCGAGAGGCCACGCTCAAAACACAGGAATGGTGCCAACAGTCGCATCATACTATACAGAAATAGCAGCTAAAACACAAATACGACATAATATACCCAAACAAATATATGACCTATGGTAAAACTATACAAATATACAAGATAGAGAATTTTGTGCCAATGGATGTAATATTTTTATCAGCAGTCAAATTTCAAACGAGGATAGTGAGCAAAATATGTGTAACATCGGCCCATACAAAAAGAGTGAAGAAATCATATAAAAACATAACATTTTGTATGTCAAAGACCCTTTATTCAGTAAAAGATATATCGTTTACAAAATGCCAGCAACAAAATAAAATGTGGGACTGTACCATGGATCACACAATAAGATTGGCACATGTTGAAAATGCAGTGCAAAACACAGTGGATATATAACAACTAAATACATACGGTAGTAATCTAATTATGGAAGACAATATTTAATTGCCTTGTAACTTTCATCTAATATATAGATTTGATTCTTGAAACTCTTGTAAGAACTTGAAAATCTGCTGTTAAAAACCAAACAACCAACATTGCCGTAATTCAGAAACCTAATAATTGGCAACCAATGGTAACATACGCATTTGACCACGTTTGAATTACCATGAGCACTATTTTAGTGAGGCATATCGAATGCAGGGTTGACTGATCCTGAATATGAAGCTTTTCCACTCTTGGAACTACTCAAGGTGACCATCGGTATTGTGTCTTCCTTGGGAGGTTTTCCTATTTTGGGTAGAGCTCTCGCTTTTCTGACAACAGAACCAGCAGGTGGGGGAGAAGTTAAGGGGTCTTCGTCATTTTCAACTGGATTCCGGGGCTTTTTCACAGCAGTACTATGAATTGGAGGTCTGAATCCACTTGGGGTATCTAGAGGTTTGGATTTTGGAGTAGAGAGACCTGGACCACTAAGCACAGATTGCGAAAATGCAGATTCACTGTCGTTTTTGTTCATTAATGCTTGGACGGATTTTAGTATGCCAAAAGTTGAGCGAATAGATGTTTCTGGTTTTGCATCAGGAATTTCATTAGGTTTCGGCTTTGGTGTTGCTTTTATATCAGAATTTTCATTTAAACTTGTTTCTTCATAATTAGGTTTCGGCTTTGGTGTTGCAGTTTTCGGCTTCGTTGATGATTTTGCACTTGTTTTAGGTTTTTTAGATTGCCGTGGGGTAACAGAAGGAGAAGGCATTTTGAAGTACTAGGAGATTCTGGAGATTCAGATTTTTGGATAGCTGATTGAATCGAGTCAAGTAATTTCTGTTTTGCTTTGGAATTTTTGGATTTCTTGTCATCAGCAAAGGACACTTCTTTTATGTTCACATGTTCAGAAGAAGGATCTCGATCCGCAACTCTATCCCTATAATTTGAATCATGATGAAAATATTATAATCAGAAACAGAAAAAGATCATCATTGAAATAAAAATTCAGAAGTATTTCCAGTACAAATACATTACCTTGGAGAATTCTTTTGCAAAATAGACTTTGGAAAAGTCTGTTCAGGAGTTTTAGCATTCTTATCAAGTACTGTCATTGGACTTGGCGTATTTCTACTTTTTTCTAGAGTATCCCTCAGTTTTGCTTCTCTTCTTCTCTGCCTTGAACTTATATAAAAAAAAAACAGTATAAAAAATGAACGAGAAGACTTATCGATCGGAAGTTAGGGGATCCCCCAAAACAGCGCTCTTACTCCAGTGACACCTTGTGTCCCATCACTAATTAATTAATAACTCGCTAGTTATACGACATAATTCGCCCAAAATCAATGGGCTTCTGGTCCGAGATGAGATGAATGCACATGCAAAATCTGGAGCAGATTCAATCTCGCTTTCGTGAGATATCGTGTGCGTCTATCAGACAAACAAACAGACAGACAGACAAATACCTATCAACATACTTACCGATTAAAATCGATAAGTAATTACAGGATTGATAATAAAATAATTTGAAACAAAAAATAGAGAGGATCAGAGAGAAAAATAGAAATAGAGGGAAAAATAACTAGACAAAGATCCTAATTCTATTGAATATAATTTTATATTATTTAAGATTTCAGCAATGGCAATAGTTAAACATGCCGGTAACAGGTATTTCATAGTACATGAACAGTTCATATGTAATATCTGAGTAACTAGCCACATCCTTGATTCGGCTTGATGAATCATGTTCCATCCAATGAAAAATAATTTACAGAAACAGGAATTCGGTTATTGAGAATGAATAATAATAAGCATATTTTATATAATATAAATCTCAGATTTCATTTCAATTAAATGTTTCCAACATACATTCAGTGGTGGGATTCAGCCGGTTCGCACCGGTTCTATAGAATTGTCTCACAGAATTTATGAAATCAGCGAACCGGTTAGCATTACTGGTTACTGTCAATGACTTTTTGTAACAGAACCGGATGAAAACTATGACTTTTGTAATGGAACTAGCCAACAAAAAATTTGAATCCCACCACTGCATACATCATGATACCTTAGTTATCAAAAAATAAAATAGAAACAGAATGCAAAAACTTATTCAAATTTTGGCCTCATTGGCATATCCGACATGATAATTTGATGAAATTTGTTCCTTACCTAATACTTGCATTACTCATTCTCTCGTCGTCACCTTCTGATTCACTTTGAGAATAAAAGTTAAGTCTTCCTCCAGGCATTTTCAAAGCATAAACCTGTTAATTGAATTAATTCCACTTGTAAAATATCACCTTCAACAATAAACAAAACAATATTTGATTTTCTGGAAAAAGGAGGATTCAGTCAGGTATATAAGCCTTCAGCATATCATATCATTCAAGAAAAATCACAAAATCAACTCTGGTCATTTGATACATTCTTGATATTGTGAACCAGTAGCTATGTGACAAAGAAAAGAAATTCTCAAAGAAATTCTCGATGATCTTATTTTAAGCGTGACTGATGAACATAAAAGATTTGAAGTCAGACCTTCTTTTCCTTAGGTATTTCTGGTACTCCGAATACTGATGTATCTGCGTCAGATTGTTTGATTTCAGCTGTAGAAACTGTAATAGGAACTTGTTTGTAAGAAAAGATTGGTTGAATATGGTAAGTAGAAATGTTTGGATGTTTTATATGGTGTTCTTCACCCTCACTCCAAATAAGGTACTTTAGGTAAAGCCATTCAGTTACTATGTTTTCGGGAAGAAAACACTCAAGAGGCTCATTAGTGTGGCACAAGGTGCTAAGCATTAGCAATACGCTCTCCACCTCTGATTACCCGACGTGAGTTCGCAGGTTAAAATCTTGTGAGGATAATTATGTGCGAGAGGATTGCTGGACTCCTTGCCACCATTGAGTGGTTTACATAGGTTCAACCGCTGGTTGGCTACGGTTTTCCCCACCACCAAGTTTATGCATCTGAAACAACTAACTGGTTAATTAATCTCATATTCGACATGGAATGGTACCGAACGAGCGGTTGTGGTTCGTCATATGATTAAATGCTCTCCCCGGGATAAATAAGTAAATCCTATACCTAAAATATAGCCTACTTAATTTTTACATCCTAGGTGAAGCGGAGGGCATAGGTTTTGTACCCAAATCTGTACCATTCATATTCAACACATCCTATAATGATTTAGAAATTGTTAAGAGTTCATAATATGAAATATTCGTTGAAAATTGACTGTTAAAGCACACAATATAATCTACCTTGTTCTTCAACATAATTGCTAGGAAAATATCCTTGTTTTCCGTCATCTTTTTCACCAAACCACCAGTTAGCACTATCTTTATATAAAACTCGAATAACATCGCCTCGTACGACTGTCAATTCGTCAGAACGATTAGCTTGGTAATCAAATAAGACCACAACCTGGATGAAATAGAAGGATATTGAAACTATATATTAGTATTTGCACGCTTGATCAATGACTTAGGTTTACAACCTCAGATGGCTGTGTGCAATAAGATTGCCGAACACTTTTTAGGGGTGTTTCTCGTGCCTTCACTCTGAATAAGTCTATACATAGGAATATATACGGTAGAAAAAAAAGGAGCTATTATCGTTTTCAGAAAGCTGGATTTTACGAATTTGGCGTTGCCCATCTAGATGAAGTGACATACATGAGGTTTAAACAGAATATCCTTAATCAGTGGCACAAAGATAGTTGAATAATCATGCTAACCACTAAACCATCCTCTCTTGTTACAAGGTAAGATTAGTCACAAGTCCATTATGGCGTCATTCACGAATCAAGACCATGCATCTGGATTGATCAATTCCTAAAACAGAACTAGACAGATGGCAAAACAGGATGGTCATAAACTTATGATAATATATGATAAATTATTAAATGGCTTTTCCGCAAAATGAATAGTAATCCAATTTTATATTACAGGGGTGGATGTCATATTTACTAATGCAGATAAACTCACTTACGGTAACATACATTTTTGCTCCGTAAAAAAGTTAACATAACAACCTTTTTTCATGCAGTTTATGGAGTTGTACACAAACGATACCCTGTTATTGCATATTATAACTTACCACAGATTGAGGTTTAGCTCCAGATGTTGAAGTTATGTTGAGTTTTTGTTTCCCATCCTTGCCCATTGAAAATGAAACGTCAGGTGGAATACCTACAGGTTGCATCCGATATGGACTTCCACCAACTAAAAATTAAATTTAGGAGCATTCAAATAATTGTTCAATTTTGAAGAAATGAGATAATAAAATATTATTATCTAAATTCTGTTAAAGCATAGATTATACCAGAGTAGTAGTTATGCACAAAGACTAAACCAAACAATCTACATGGGCAGGGAGTACAGCAATCCTCTCGCGCATAATTATCCCACACAGAATTCCAAAGAGGCGAGTGTATTCCTAACGCTAAGAACAATGGGCCAATTGCTGAACAGTTGAGATTGCGCAGAAAATTATTTTGAATGAACCAGGTTTTTTTCTCCAGAGATCTCTAACTGGCTAGCTAACATGGCTAGCCTGTACTACGACAGAGGTCGGCCAAATGTATTGCTTATTCATTTAATTAAATATATTGTATTCTAAGGACCATAAGGCGCACTGTCAATGAATTGCTCAGATTGGGTTTTTATTCACACATTAGGCGCATCAGGCTATATGATGCAACAGATTTTAAGAAGTTGAAAGCGGAGGTTTGTTTAAGAATCAATAGTACTGTTACTGGTTTTACTTACGAGTGTAGGCAATAAATCACTACTTGATCCATACATTAGGCGACGTGACTTATAATGTGCACGATCAAATTTTGAGAAAAAATGGATTTAAAGTGCGCCATAAATGATCCATAAAATACGGTAGTCCAAATATTTTCCTGTCTAAACAATTTTCATCATTATCATCCGAATGCAAGAGAATTATTGGCCCAGCTTTATATCAAAATACCAAGTTATTTTACCAGGTGATACACCAGGCTTCCACATCCCTGATTGGTCTTGCCTACCAGTTCTTGCATACTGTTGTGCCATTGCTCGTACTTCTGGACTTGCGTGTGGTGACATGTAAGATGGTGCAAGCAGACTTCCAGCCTTGAAATAGAAAAATATTTACATTAGGCAGTGAAGACAATCATGAGCAATAAAAGTTAATCTTAAGAATAGAAAATTATTTATAGGACAAAGTTGACATTGTAAACTTTGGCAAGCCTGCCTTCTTTAGTTTTAGCTGCAAAATGTGAACTCTGATTCTCGACATTGTAAATTTTCAAATCAGTTAGTGAGAATGAAAAAGAAACTCTAAGAAATTTGACGTTCTTGAAATGCTATGAGTCATACATAACACATTTTCAATATATGCAATGTTGCGAAGTGTGATTTTGACTGCAATTAGTAAAGTAAAAAAATCAGATCAATTCTGTTCAATTCAAAATAAAGTACTCTGACAATCCTTTTTTTCTAACGAGAATTAACATATTGTTATTGTAAGTGGCAAGTGGTTAATCATATTTAGAATCAATAACTTTTATTGATTTTCATTCCTGATATTAATTTGCCATTGCATTTTAATATATATACTTACAAGTCTGATACATTTCACAATCGCAATCGTGTTAATCTCTTTCTTAAAGTATTATGTTTAAAGATATTTACGAACTCTAGAAAAGTATGTTGCATTGAAAATAGCTAAGTATCATTCATAAAGGTAAAATGCGCTCATTTTGTTGACTACTACAAGAGCATCAATTCAAGGAATTTGAGGAATATCCAAAACTAGAATTTATCAGTAATTTTACCCTTGATCTCAGTCTTGATCGTTTTAATTAAAAAATGAGATAACCGCTCTTGTAAGAAAAATGTTTCTAGCAATGCACATTAAATATAAAATGAACAAATATTAATAAGATGGCCAAATACTAACGCAAGCCACAGTCTCTCATATGATTACCAGTCCAATATTAAGTATAAAATTAGCTAACCAATTTTTATGGAATTGGATACTAGAGAAAGTCAAAACGGCAACTCTGTGGGCACAAAGAATCTACCTATGCCCTTACATAATATTCTTAGCAAGATTGGAACCATGACAAAATTGGCAAAAAATAGGCTTATCAATACAGAGGGTTACCAGACTGGGGTAAATGTATACTCAGGGGCAGTGTTAACTCTAAGCAAATTATGAGTGCGAAAGTGCTTCGCAGTCGAAAAAAAAAGTGCGAAAGTGCTTTTGCCGATTTTAACAAGTTAGGTGCCCTAGCCTTCCATATAACCCATTTAAAACAGCATAGATACTCGAAAAAGCGCTCCTCCGGTTTATATTATGAATTAAAGAGAAGCCTTTTCCGAGTTCCCTTTAAGCGAATTCGTGTTTAATCAAAACAAGCGAATTCATCGGCAACGAAATGACATCTGCTAATACCTGCCCCGACAAAAGTTTCATGCAATGTATCACGGTGTCAGTTGCTTACTCGCGTAAACAGCAAAGACTTCACATTTGTTACTCCTTCCATCTAACAGACACGAGGCAGGCTGGAAACCATATTAGTTACAGGGTGGATCGTTTGTACAAATCCCGTGCAAAATAAATCCCCCCCCCCCCAAATATAAATAGCGATCAACTAATTAGGGTTAGGTGCGCTGGAAATTCAACTTTTCGATTTACCCCTAAACCTAATCTGATAATTATTAATTTGTGATTTTGAACCACTTTGAAAGTCGCCACCCACTGTTTTAAAAGATAGGTTAACCTACGTTCCCTCCGAAAATATTACCGCAAGATTATTATATATTACCCTGTTTTAGGAGATAGATTGACCTACTCTTTCAAACTTTTTTCTCCGAAATATTACACAAGATCACTTTGAAAATCCTCCGTTTCGTGAGCTAGCGTGACCTAATTTCTCATTTACATTTATATTATACTATTTCAGAGCTTACCCAAAGACAAGTAATTTTTATATGTCGACATGCAAACGTGCGAGTTAGTTTAAATCGGGCAGAAAACATCATATATTGGCAAAATGTTTAGTAATGTCATGTACTTTCAGCATTCATAAATAGCACTCTTTGTAATGCTGCTGACCTAGTATCAAATATTCGCATCACAACGCCACTTGCGAGGTTTCCATATATTTCAATTACACTAATAGGAACGATGACACCAAAGAGTTTTCTTTTGCGAAGGTACACTAAATATAACGAGGGTGATTCTTGAGAAAAACATGAATATAAAAAATAAACGAATGATATGATAGTGGATCCCAAATAATTTTGAGAGTGTCTCGAAATACCAATCCATTTGATAAATAATTTTTATTCGACCACATGACCGCTGATATCCTGAAAATTAATGTTGAAAGAGAATTACGCATTCTCAGATATCGGACATCCAGTCGCGATATTCAATCGTTTATATGCACAAATCTCACATTAATAGTAATTGCTACCCAAGTTTGTGAAGTTTAGAAACCAACAAACAGAAAATAACTTATCCTAAAACACAATTAAAATTTAGTCGGCAATAAATTCGTCGCCAAGACGATGCCATACAAAACAAAAAGATTTGGTCGCGAGAGTTACGTGCGTTGTTTTTTAAGCAGAATGTAAAAAAAATTATAATAAACGGGAGTTATGACGCCCTTTACACATCGTGTTTATTAAACTTCCCTGGTAAGTACTATTATTATTGTACTTATACACCTGTTGGAGTATTTCGGACAATTTCGAATTTAAAATAAATGAAAACCCGACATATAATAAAGACGCAAAAGAAAAATGAACATTTATTGAAAAAGTTATTATTTAAGAAAGACAACATGATCGTACAATTCCGCCAAAACCTCGATGTTCGCAAGTATATGATAAATAATTACTTCCCTGTATTCGATCAATTAACTTTAGCGTATCGTTGTTCTGCCAACAAACAGCCGGGTGCAAAATATTTCCGTCCTGTGATATGCTCACAAATATTCTCGATATTAATATCATACCCTCGCGTATGTACTTTCTATTAGCTCTTTAGTGATCCCTTCCATCCGTGGCCAAGTCATGTTTCGAATATGTGAACATTTTATTCGACCATACATGGCCGGCGGGATGTTAAAATTGTAAACAAGAGAGAGGTAAAATCAATCGCGAGTTTCGTTATAACGGCTCGTTTACGAATTGTTGCGCCTGTTATCGTCGAAAATGAATACATTTGTTGTATTTTGAGGCATTTAAGCAGTAATAATTAGGGCATGACATCATCAAAATCGTCAAGTGAGATCTTGAAATTGCAAATTTCGTAAATAAAATTGTGAATTATTCGGTAACGAATTCAGCTTTAATGACCGTCGGGGTATTGTTTTGTTGAAAATTATTATTAATGTGAGAGCGCCAAAAACATACAGTCCATACCGATGCGACTGCAATTTATATGGTCGCAATTGGTGTGGCGCGTTTATTGATAGTGTAAAATAAATTAAACGAATATCAATTATAACCAAGCCTGTCAGCGTGTTTATTTTCTGTGGGCAGGAATCGTAAAATACCATCTTGAGACAAATTCACTTCTATTATAAAATCTTAATTTTCAGTTATTATCGTTATACAAAGAACGTGTGGCAACTTTTTAATTTATCGTCGACCAAAAAACCGCCCCACACTCGTCCAAACGTGTGTCGAGCTTGAACGACAGGAACAGATTCATCGACGACCTTAATTAGGGAAAATATGTATTTTATTGGGAATGCAAAATAAATGTAACAAAACGCATTTTTTTGTGATATAACTTTGTATTTCCGGAAACGGGTTGCCGTGAAAGGTAAAATTTGATCTAAATTAATCACAAAAAGGTTTTATTTTAAATGTAACAAAACACATTTTTCGAGATACAACTGTATTTTGAATGAAGATTAAAATATGATCTGAATTAACCGTAAATAATGTTTCATTCCAAATGTATCATAACGCATTTTTTGCGATATAACTTTGTATTTTCGAAAACGGGGCGTCACGAAAATTATTAATCTAATGTTTTATCTATCGTCTAACTAACGTCTGGAACGCTGGAACGGGGAGAACTCTAGTCCGCGAAACGTCATTTAATTTAAAATAGAGAATGTTTCACGCATTTCAAAACGGAAAATCACCAGTGGACAGGGATTCAACCCTCCGGATTCAGTATTCTATCTCCCCCATGTCAGAACTTTCTGAAGAATGGAACAAAGAACCCGTCAAACTGCCGCGGAAAAAGGGGAGTATTTTTTGCACTAATAATTAGGGCGTGACAATATCAAAATCGTCAAGAAACTGGTGAATTTGCAAATTCCATAAATAAAATTGTGAATTGCTCGGTAACATTTTAGCTATAATTATCGCCGGGGTATTGTTTTGTTGAAAACACGTTGAAACTTGAGGGAATTTAAAGTTATTTTTTTTGTCAACCACTAAGCCCTAAAGCTTCTCTTATGGATTTTTAAAAGCGTGTGCTAGAGTTCTATTCAGCAATATATCTTTAAATTACACTCCGAAAAAAAAATTTTTTTGCAAAAATATCTCAAAAATTTCTAAAAATAAATTAGACTTTGAGAAATTCTGTGTACAGTAGAGGGTTAATAATTAATTCCTAATTAATTAATTTTTTTTTCAACGTTTTCGTCAAGTTTTTCCTAACACAACATCACCGAAACGCCTATTATAGCATAAATGGTTATTACTCTGAAATTCACAATTGTATCTACAGGTGTATCAAGTTCAAGGCTAAAATTACTGATTTTGATGACGTCACAGCTCCTATTATTACTGCACAGACCACCCCCAACGCAAAAAAATTAAATTTTTTCGACGGAAATGCGCGTAGAACGGCGTAAACAATCCCATACGCGGATTTACGCGTTAAAATTACCATTAATTTTACGTTTTTTTTAACTACAAAAAATCTCCATACTTCTGCCAACTATGGAGCAGTCAAAATCATATTTATCAAAACAACACAGCGCCAGGGATGGTCAGGGATAGTATATATGTCTGAAAATACATGCTAAACCAACAATAAGTCATTATAAAGGAGTATTTCCTGTCTGAGCTGAGTCGACATTTTCAGACGTCTGACAGGCGATTTTGAAATCCACGCTATTTATAGAATTCGCACGATGCGTCACGGCTGGAAGGTTCCATCGCTTCTCTCATATCAGGCGATAAAGTCAACAAAGAGCTAAGAGCGATATTAACAGTAGTTTACCGAGCACAAAATTAAGCGTAAATATTCTCTCATATGAGCTGAGCCGCTGTAAAAGGGTTAAGTCGCATTCGTAAAATATCCTGTAAAAGAAGTGCTGTTCATTAACGTCATCTCGTCTTATGACCACGCAGAAATGCCTTTATTGCCGAATTATTCAATCACTATTTTAAATCAATATTCAGGATTGGCACAATTTCATACTTGCGAAGTTTATCACCATAGAAATACATGAGAAAGTTAATTATCGTCTTAATAAATATCTGCATCACGGTATGGACAATAATATTACCATTCGCATAAAATTAGGACGGTAAATTTACAAATCTTGATAGGTAATATTAAAGCCAACGCAAATGTTAATTTGAGTCCTCAATGTCTTCAACAGCTGTTGCCGATGTGAACGAACGGGTAAACCCGAAATATAAAACTTCGATGTCCGCCGACCCACAAGAATTCATATTTGTAAAAAAGAGAGGGCGGGAATATAGATTACCCAAGCCCTGGATATCGCCGCCAAAACGATCAGTGACAAGAACAATTAGCGATTACAACGGGATTAGACAGTAAAAAGGCTTTGTTGCCGATTTTTTAATGTTTCCACCAAGTTTATTCCGTACTCCTTAAAAATATTCGATTCAAAAAAATATTGAATTTTGCCCACCCAACCTCGCATATCAATGAGAAATAGTTGTGTAAATATCGCAAAATTCCGGAAAATGCCACGTCCTTTCAACATTGTGATTACAATAAAATGGCACTTAATGGTATTTTGTGAATTTGGTGATTTTGCAAATCTGTGACATGCTGCTAAAAGTTTCGTCTGATTTGAAAATTGTGCAGTTTGGTCACAATTCATCCAAAGTGACCATAACACGTAACACTTTTATAGTCATTTTGAATTCATCGATATCATTGATAGTCACATGACCACTCTCGTTCAAAGAAACGCACTGCGTATTATTCCAACATCTGGTTTCAATCACGGGGAGCGTTTTTTGCGGGAGAAGCGGAATCGGTGTGCTTGTATAATAATCATATTATAAACAAGAATTTTGCCGTTAATGCAAAAGCTTTATCTCCTATGTCTGCATCTCAATGGTTAGAATTCCGGTAAATATCGTTATGATATGCAGAATTGAGTTATAAAAGTACTAGTATGTTACTTATTTGTCAACTTAATACTCGAAAATATTTGTTAACTTTGAATTTTTGTTCCATTCGAAATCAGAAAAAAGTGCTATTTCTCTTCAAAATCGGAAAAAAGTGCTATTTCGCAGTCCCTAAAAAAAGTTGCGAAAGTACTTCGCAATTTTCGCAAAAAAGTGCGCTAATAGTGAACACTGCTCAGGGGTACATTTTGACTTTTCTAGCAACTCTGTAGAAAGTCACATTTTCACCTCAGTAGAAACTTTAAATTCAACTACAGTAACTACAGAGCCTACATTTCGCAGTTCACATGACTTATTTTATCCAATCACAGCATGTGAGTCAATTTTGAAGATACACAAGCGATCTAGAAATTGGTTGAAGGTTACCTATCAACAATGGGTCTGGGAAACCCTGTTCTAAAAATACTTACAGCAGTTGAATCAAAAGTGGATCCCCATGTTGACATTAAAGGTCCAGGACTTGTAGTTGGTCTTCCAAATGGGGATGTAGAACGTGGTGATTTCCTTGGTGTGATTACTTGAGCATCCTGGCCTCTGGGAATGGGTGGCAAAAGATGAGAACCTACTGGCATTGTATCTGTCTGTAATAAACAAAAATCAAATTTATTCACCGAATTTTCAAATCGTAACAATTATTTTCCAATTAAAGGATGTTTTACCTAAAATTAAAAAAATTCATCTTTATAAATATGTCTTTGTTATGATTGCAAAGGTTTTTTTGAAAACGGATATTAAAACAAAAAAAATAGGTAAATTGGTGTGCTTTCGGGCAATGCTTATTTTGTAAAATACACTTTTTGCGTGGCATTTAATAGTACATAATACCTGAATAAGAACTTTTGAACTAAAAAAGGTAAAACTGTGTCTGTAATTAAGTGGTGTGACTTCAGATTTCTATGTAAATAATAAAATACCATAAAAGAAAAAGAATAATATTGAGTTAGTAAATGAAAATTCATTATCATAAAATTTATATATAATGAAACTAACAAAAAAAAATTTAGCTTTTTCACTAATGAAACAGATAACTATAATTATAAGAAGTTTATTAATTTAAAGCATTTATGAAATTAGAAAAACGTGATGATTTGCAAAAGTTATGATTTCTACAGTGAATATAATAATTGTGAGCTATAATCATGATGATGTGGAATATTCGATTTGAAATCTCATGCATATTACAGATGAAGACTGGTGAAGCCTACTACAACTGATACTTGGGGAGTAAAAATGTGCAATATTTTTCATTATTATGGATTGGATAAGTGAACACTAAATACATATTCTTTGGAAAATCCTGGGCTTCTCCTACTACCCCTTGATCTGCCGCTTGAAATTTGAAAATTTTGGCTTAATCATCGATTTTCGACTTTATCAAAGTTGATAAACACATCCCTGAGCTGACCAAAACACAAAATTCAATACTAAATCAAGTATTGAGTCCTGTTACTCACTTGCACTTGCACACCCATACAATATTTATTGCTGATTAGATATTTTATATATATGCCCCTTTTATATGATTTGATGTACCATCAGGCAGGATGTAAGACAACCATCGAATGGGTCTCTCGATTTTAAGCTAATAATCTATTTACTAAAAAATCAGGAAACTACTTGTACATTGAATACAAGACAAAATATTATTTCAGAGTAAAAGAAAGCATGCATGAATTACTGTGATATGATGTAAATCTATACTTATATCAAACCTGATCAGTGGTTGAAAATAATTCATTATGTATGTAATTGGGATGATCTTGCACATCTTCATACTGTTTGTTCTTTGAAATATTTGATAATATGATGAAAAACTTTTTGGTTATTAAAAATTCCAGTGACGTACGACGAAAAATTTTATATATCTTACTATATGAATAATAACTTAAACAAAACTTTCAAATGAAATACGAATTGATGAGGAAAATCATAAAAAAATTAAAATTTATATAATATCTGTATTTGTGATCAATTTAGTAAATGAATATTGAATTTCATGATTAGGTTCAATATCAGACAACACACATATAGAATTCCTAATTGCTCTAATATGATGATACCCTAGAAACACAACAAATCGTATTTATTTTTTGATATTGCGCTTTTGCTCTGAACAAGGCCCTGTATGACGGCGATATCTAACGATATGTAAATGGCTATTATTTTGTGAAAGACCAAAGTCTAGTTGAATGACTTGAAACTAGGAACATCATTTCTGATATTATGAAATTGACTGGTGAAAGATGACAAATTTTCACTACTGATGAATGAAAGATGATAGATTGTTCATTGTTGATTGCAATAATGCTGAATACATGACATATTGAAACAATAAAATAAAGAAATCATACCAGAACAGAATCCAGTTGATGTTTAATTCTTTCTATCTTCACTGCAGCTTTCGACGCTTCAATTTGAGCATTGATGCTTGGTGCTGTAAAATACGTCTATAAGTTTAGGATTTATTGAAAGGATAACAATGTAATTTTTTGCCAAAGCAGATTGAATGGATGTTTCCCCGCCTCATGACCACAGAGAAATTCTCCCTATACTTTACTATAGCAAAATTTTTGATACTTATTTTGAAAGTGTTTAGGGGAATTGGCGTTTACAAACTGATTTGCATGTCTAAATTCATCATTTTTTATTAAAAATTCAACTGCATACCTCTTACAGGTACTGATAGCTAGTTTTAGTCTATCCAGTTTATTCAGGACTAATTTTTGACTATTGCAAATAAACTAAAGTTCCTAGAAAGACATCATGATAATTAAATTATTTTATTTATGACTAATTTTTGGAAACCCAATTGAAGGCTGACAAATAACATGCAAAAAGATGAAAACGTCAGCGTCCATGCTTGAATATCGTAGACTTATTGCCGATTTGACATTGTTACGGCAGTAAAAAGGGAAATTGAAGCTCAGGGGAAACATCCATAGCGATAAGATTCGAACTAGGACATAAGAATTTTCTAGTCAAACACCTTACCACCAACATTTACCGTAGATTGAAATATCTTTACTAAATAATAGTTTAAAGATGACATTCCTGGAATTCCTCTTTTAAGTACCATATTTCCTTTGACTACGAGTGCATGTAGATCATTTTGCTAAATTTTAGCTAATGTTATTCTTTTTTTTTTTTTAGCAAACTTGGTGTTCTTAGAACTCAAAGTACCGGTACAGATGTGCGGCGTTCGAGCCTATATATTTGAGCATTGTTAACCAGTTATTTTTAATCGGTTAGATATAACGAAGTTCTGTAATGATCATCTATCAGACAAACTATGTTTGATCCTGTCCGTGCTTTTAAATATATAGGTTTGAGTCAAAACATCATACCTGGCTCTTCTGATCTTCCAAGCTTTGTTTTAGAATCTACAAAATCATCAACTCTAAATCCAGCTTCCATAGTTGCAACTGTTTAAATAGAATTTTAAATTTTTATTGAAACTTAGTAGAGAAAAATGAGAAAAAAGAAAGAAAATGAATTGACTCTGACTTCACTCACCTGCACTATTGAACTTATATAGTAAGATGGACTGATTAGGAGCATAAGAACAAAATGCAACCATGTGATCATGTGGATGATATATTACTGAATGTACTGCATTTGTATATCCAAGTTCATTGTAAATTGCAACTTGGTCTCCTGGTAAAAATAAATATAATAATTCAAAATTTCCTATCACGAAAAATTTATTTCCCACAAATTACCATCAAAAATCCAATTTAAAAAATAATTCGGTTTAATGCAATTCTATTAAAACAATGAAAGGACTTTTAGTCGATGCCCGCATACAAGGACTATTCAAAATTGGTTTCGTTTAAAAAGTTATTTTAGGTCAAATATATATTCGGCTGATCCACTAAACCAGGGATTCCCAAGCTTTCTTCAGGACGACCCCAAAGACAACTTTCAAGTGTCCAGTGCAACCCCAGGTCAATATATATTTTTTTTTGGAACTTTAGAGCTTCTTTCACTGGACTTCTGAGTTTGGTCATGTGGTGGCATTAGATAGAATAAACTAAAGCCAAACAGGGGTGTCACAATAACCACCTACATTTTCTTTAGCATAAGCATAAGGCAATGCCTATGGGCCTGTTTTACAGTAAGCCATGGTACAAACCGCTAAATTTAACATAGTTTGTCAAATCTTAGATGTTTTGTACATCAATCTTCTACCATACTTCAGCGACCCCACCGACCCCAAGACCTGATTACGACCCTACTTACTTATCACTTCGACCCAATTTGGGGACGTGACCCCTGGTTTGGGAACCCCTGCTCTAAACAGTAATATCTGCAATATTCGACTCTCAAGAATAAATAGATTTTTCCAATTTTCTGGCTTGTTGAAATCAATTTTACTGATCAAGATATAAAGAAAGCTTACAATAATTACCATACAGCAATTACCATAATGATTCTGACGTTGAGAAATGGGAAATTTTTTTAAAGCTGTACTGATGTGTAAAAAGATATACGACAAAGATTCGATTTTCCTAAATAGTCAAAAAACAAACAATATTAAATAATAATATATCCTATACCTGTTTCAACATTCCACACATAAACACAACCATCTTCACTTCCAGAAAATATAAAGCTACCACACGGAGTAACTGATGACCGAAGTAATTGCCGATGATTTAGTAAACCAACAAATTTCTTTATAGAATGTCTAAAACCATATAAACAAGAGACTTAATCCTCATTAGAAAATAAAATAATTAAGCATGCCAAGGTGATGTCTTTTTATTCAAGAAGTATAAGATTTTCCAAAAGCACCAAATGCAGTAGTCTACAAGACAGCAGTGTAATAATGACTCGCTTGTCAGATCGCCATTCGAACGATATACTGCAGATATCAATATCACTGTTGTTTTTAACGCTTTGGCTATCACACATGAAACAACATCATCCTTCAAGTTGGTGATAGGTAAATAAAAACAATGCATTGTGGTTGATAATGAGAAACGGCATAACATACACGTCTCATTGTGACAGGCTTTTAACACAGGAATAGGAGAGGAATGTTTGCCAAATTTGAAGCTTAATGTGGCGATTGTTTGTAGGCTAAAATAAATGCGGCCTCCACGCTATAGGAAATGTTTATATATTTGGCCCACTTATACATAAAGTTTGTTGACCATTGCTTTTCTTTGCATTATATAGCAACTACTACATCAGGTCTACTACATCAAGAGCCTTAAGATGGTCATGTCGTTTAATTTTGACCTTGTCATCCATTTAATCCCAGCCAGTCAAGATATCACTAAATATTTTTGCATGCGGTTGGTTATAAGTCTTTCTAATTCTACTTTTCAAGATTTCCATGTAGTTAATTTTCATCCTTCTGTGCACAGGACTTTGTTTTCATAAGGAAGAAAGTTTAATAGAAAATAATGTTTTTCCCACTTGTGGTAGCAGTAATAGTCGATGTTACTTACATTCTTGCATCCAGTATTCTAACAGTTGAATCTCTACAATGAATCAGTATCTTGTTGTTATGAGGGTGAAGTCGTAAGCTGTTGATACAGATACCTGCCAAATCACGGTCTTCAATTTTCTGGTAGAAATATTGATATTTCAACAAAAAAAATTTTCACAAAATTTTTGACACAAATATAAATCGTTCTGCAAAATTGTCATTGTTGTTAAGGAATTGCTTTTCCTCACAGCTGATAATGTCCAATTTTTGGAACTTTGAAATGGAAAAAAATTGCTAGAAGGCTATAACTTTTATTTCTGAGTGAGACCCGCTACTTCACCCGTAGTTATGCGTTATGCTACAACGTTATGCTGTTTCATTTTATTTCAAGGGAACATTTTTTATGACATATGGGAACATTGTATATACCGAATATGCTTGCGAATAGGCCGAGTTTAAAACTCAAAAAAAAAAAAACTCAAAAAAAAGTTAACGTCCCAAACTAATGGACCGTCTTATTCGCGCATAACTTTGATTGCACCAAAAAATCGGCTCATTTGCGCATCAGAATTTGATCACGCAACGAGATGATATTATGCTGACTTGCCGGTAATTCCAAAAGCTTCAAACCATACCAAGTTCTCACGATAAAAAGCCTGCACGCACACACACACTTGTGAAAGTGGATTGTCTTATCATACAGCTGATGGCTTGTACAGTCTGTGATTGGTTGTTTAACACGTGACGCTTGTACAGGCTGTGATTGTTTGTTTTCGCTTGTGTTTCTTTTACATAACAGCAACAGTGTCGATTTACGGCCAGTTGTTTCGTGGGGAAAACTTTATTATTTGGTGCACTATCGCCGTAGAGGCAACTAATGGCGCGCGACTTTTAATCACCTTTACGATATGTTATCCGTTAAGGGGCGGTGATAAGGACTCTTATCGAAATTAACCGCGTTGTGGATGATCAAAAGAAATTGTTTTATGCTGACTCAGGTCTCTCTTGAACTCCCGACAACAATCCCTTCCATTAATACAAATCACAACGCATGAAAAGCAATATAGACTTTATTAACATGAATTTACAAGTAAGAGTTACGAGTAAGAATCTACGGCCGTCGCTAACAAACAGAAATGATGAACGTTAGAAATATCTGTGTTACAGCAATTTTGTTTTTTTTCTGCGTCTGGCGTGTTAAGATTCGTAGTGATTTATAAGAATGTGTTAATACAGCGTTATTTCTTTCCTTGAAACGGACAAGGAACGAAATTAATCGTCGTTGTGGCGATCAAAGGAAATTGTTTTATGCTGATTCAGGAACTCTATTTTAAACTCCCGACACAATCACGACGCATTGAAAAGCAATATAGACTTTATTAACATAAATTAACAAGTAAGAGTTACGGGTAATATTCCACCTACAGCCCTCGCTAACATGCAGAAACGATAAACGTGAGAAATGTTTGCGTAACAGTAATTTTGTTCTCTTTCTACGTTTTTCTTAAGGCGTCCGGCGTGTCACGATTCGTAGAACCGGATTATGTGCGATTTTTTATAAAATCGTTGTTTTAAGGCCGTTTTTAGGGAGTCGGCCTATTCGCGATATAGGCGTAATTTCGAGTAAATACGTAATCTTTGACCTTCATATATTTAACAATTGCTCATTTATTTCATTTATAAAACTTACAGATTTGATTGACCAATTCGTTTTCACGCTTTTCTTTGCTTTCTCTTGTGCTGGGGAATTCCAGCAAATTATAACACCAGAACCATCTGCACTGTACATGTTGAGACCTGAAAATAATATGATAAACTTCAGTGTGCCTATGCTTGAACCTCGAATAACCTCAACCTATGTTATATTTGACATGGTTGACACATGATATTAGGAATCTTCAACTTCAACAAACTGATTAATACAGGGTAAACACTGTCCACAATAATCTGTAATTCGAGCATCAGTTTTCCAAGCTCAATGAATATTACTAAGTGACTTTGATTAGAAATATGATACTGGCTATTACGTTTAATTGTTTATAATATTGTGGACCTAATAATACTTCAAATAGGCATGTTTTCAAAGTATATCTAAAGTTACTATTGACATGAAAATTTGATTCTAAATCTAATATGAATCTGATTTGAATTTGATTCTTTTATTTATAAAAGCTTGCAATTACCTGTTTGGTCAAATATAATAGAATTGACGATAGCTTTATGACCATCTAATTCTTGTGTTAATTGTGAAGCCACTGACGCAATGTTCCACACACGAAGAGTTGTATCATAACCACCTAAATAGCCATTCATTGATAATTCGAAAATGTGAAGCATCATCACTTAGTGCAAACCATGATTTCACAATAGGGCATCTTGTATAGAAGTTTCAGATAAAGTCACATCCTACTTTCTATGCTAATTTTAAATATGAGAAGACTACCAGGAATGTCCCAAATGAATATTTGAACACATTCAAAATCAATTACATTAGATAAAACAAATTATTGATTGTAGGAATAATATAGAATTGTTCCATTTGAAAAATGGTCTCCTACACAATTGACATTATAGGCTAAGCCGAAAATAGGCCATAGGCTGTCTATCAAAATATGATCAAGCTATCAAAATATGATTATAAACATATGTGATTTGAAAAAATTTTATTGCTGTACTAGAAAAATTCCATATCTTTTTCAGAATACATTCATGTAGTAAATTATTCAAATCGAACAAATTACCTTTAGCTAAATCATCTAGTACTTCGTAACAAAATAAGTTTGAAAAAATATTATATGAAAAGAATACGTCTTTGAACCTTTTTTCAGATGAAGAACTTAATATACCTGTTGCAATCAAATACTGAGCAGTTGGATGGTAAGATGCAGAGTACACATAGCATGGATGAGGTAGCGTATGCACTGGTTTTTCTCTTCTATCCATATCCCAAACTCTAAAAAACCAATGTTATCAAAATAAAACGTGCTATAGAATACCCAGTACTTTGCAATCAAAATTTTGATTTGATATTGCAGTCGCACTCAGTCGTAATTCCATTTTATTCGAATCAAACTTTCCGACAGACACTCAAAAATTGTCAAGTTGACTAGGCATTCTCAACAAGCAATCGAAGAATTCTTGCATGGGACAAAGCTTAAAAGCAAAATCAAGCTTGGGAGCAGGAGTTGATATTTCCTTGAACTTAAAGTCAAGAACTGGTGAGTGTCAAAATTCTTCTTGACCCACTGTCAGAACAGAAGTCATTTTTAAAATGGCTCAGAAAAAAGTTCATAACTCTACAGCCCTGAGAATAATATTAATAACAATATTGTAAATAAATGTCAGTGACAATTATTGACAACAATTCCAATCAAATTTATAATATAATTTTCTTGCCCAGTTAACGATCAGAGTTGGTTATGGGACATACTCAGCTACTGATTTATACAAAATCATAAAAATCATGAGCTTACTGAGCAGTTCCATCAGCAGAAGCAGATAATAAATATCTATCATTTTTTGACCACTGTAAATCATAGACAAGTTGTTGATGACCAGTTATAACTCCGATATCTTCACCATTAGGAATTCCATACACTGAAAATATAAATTTGTTAAAAATTTCAATCTTGCTACTATCCAGTAGAGAATCAAATTGATATTACTAGTGCTAGAAATAATGTGGCCCATATGGCTGAATTCACGAGGTCAAAAAAAAACACTTCAATGCTGAAAAATCAGGATGGAAATTTTGAATACATTTCATTTGAACAAATGCTAAATATATATAAAGTTACCTCATGTAACATAACTAAAGTACCATCCATTTACCAGTAGCAAGATTTCACTTTTTAGAGTAGCTCGATTCACAAAGTTTAAAATTGATTTCAATATGCAGAATTGACATTACTAATTACTATTAGATAACATGAAAACAAACACCTAATATTGTTTGTAAGGTTTTATACTATGCTTAATACTCACACAATATAGGATAAGTTGTTTCATGTCTGCAAGCGACTGCTAATCTTGTACCTCTGTGAGAGAATTGAAGTGTAAAAGCTCCCTCTGAACCACCCCAGAACCTCAATAATGGAGCATTCGGAATTTTACAAGTCTAAATATAAATTGTTGAATGTGAATTAGGACATTAAAATGTCAGTGAGTTTTAACCGATAAGTAACAGTGGAAAAAATAACTATATAATAACTAATATTTGGCCATTATCAAACTTGTAGTCAGCATAACACAGGCTGACATCTTTTTTTTTCATTAATCAAGAATATAAACATAAAATTCATGTAATTGAGGTTGGAAGTTTATTCCCTTTATGTGGTTATTTGTTATACTGTTTTGGCAACACAAAAATAATTTACATTAGATTTTTGTGATTCACAGGCAAATGATCATGTTAATCTAACTATGTAAATTTACACTTGCTATATTCATTGCAGTCGATGATTAGGCAGGATATACGCTACTGATCCAATTTTTCATTAACAAGACGAATTGTAATATTTTCGCTAATTCCACCTATTAGCTTGTGTTAAATACCAGAATGTTTTGAATAATATTAAATGATCTAGCTTACAAGATCACCATGGAAATGATAGAAGAGAAAAAAATACTTTTACAATTTGTACCAATGTTGATCTCTAGTAATTTAGGTTACTACGTGTATTTGCAACTCATGCATTGGAAAGGTGACTGTGACCGGGGAAGTCAACACATACCTGACCAGGTAATCTTGACCAAAGTTGCATTGCAGCAAGATCATCTTCTTGTGCCAGAGATCTACTCTCAGATTCGGCTTGCTCCAGTGAATTATGCATTTCATTAAAAGTAGAAAGACCTTCTTCTGGTTGAGTTGCAAACATTGATCTTGAAGAAGCAGCGACCTTAAATAATAAAGTGACCTTAAAGCTGTACAATGGGTTTCATACAAGAATAGGTTGGTAATATAGAATTCCATGCTAGGCTAGCATTTTCATATTTATCCGGGGGAGAGGAATTGAATAAGACAGATTAATCCTATGACGTGCTTCATTTTGTCCAATTACCAGTCCATCTCGGGCAAGGGATTGGTTAGCCAGTTACTTGTTTCAAATGCATGGACTTGATGATATAATTAATTCTTATTTAGTACAATATATATTATATATGCATCTGTTTCATACAGAAATTACAATATACAGATTAAAATTAGGAAAAAATAGCCTCAGTTAAAATCTGTGAAATTTTACTAAAAAGAATTTCCCAATGAAAAGCATAATAAAAATGGCATGCTAGAAGAAATTTATAAAAGTAGGTGGCTTTAAAGGAATAACTACGCTTGGCTACATCCAAACTAATCCAATCACAAATGTCTAGTCGTATTTAAGTCAGCTTCATTCAGAGTCATGTTTATTTTTTCCAATCAGTAAAAATTTATCCAACTAACATCTCTGACTAGAGATAGATAATTGAAAGAGAATGTAATAAATAGTCACCAGACCACCAGAAGGACAGGTATTCCTGATTTACCTGGGTTGCTGAAGCGAAAAAGCTTCTGTTGCAGATAATAGAAGCCATCAAAGAGATTACAATAAAAAATGTTGTAACAAGCTGGCTAAATATCAAGTCCTCTAACTTTTTCGAGCATGACAGTTTGGGCTTATATCCATACTTTTACCAATGTATGCCTATTTGAATCTGACATACTCACAGATGATGGAGGTACAATAGGTTTCACAGTAACATGTAATGTAGATGGATATCTCTGTCTTGGATGATTTAACCACCAGTCATGTGCAGGCTCAAAATTGGTATCTGAAGTGAATTTTCCAAAATAATGAGTCAAAATCAACTTAAAACTGTAGCTACATAATTACCATAAATATTTCAAAAAGTTAAAAATAAACATCTAAAACATTGGTATGATGCCTAATATAAACAGTATAATTATGTTTGCATTATTTATATGAAATAATGACAATAAATTACAAAACTAAGATATTGTAATTAAAACTCTAAATCAAACTCATACAGATAGGCTACATGCTGAACCAAAAAATTTCAGTCTATTTAATTACATATTAGATTCCTAATCAAGAGCCATGCATAAGGACAAATATTTGCCAAAAAAATTTGTTTGCTAATATTACCTTGTTGATTGCGTCTTGTTTTAGGTGGGAAAAACAACTGCAATCTCATTTTTCTACCAGTGTTTGGTTGTCCATTGGCATTCACAAGCTAAACAAGATAGGAACAAAACTAAGCTAACATTTGTATCAAAGTGTACATTATTAACACTTTTTGTGGCATAAAGACTTGGTCCAAATTACAGAAAATTATGGCAAGACCATGGATGCGTACATTCTGCAATTATATTTTAAATATATAGAATATCAAATATATATTCTAAATTAGGCCATGTTTGGCCAACAAATACAAACCAAAGTTTATTCAATGAGAAAACAGGAAAGTAAAATCAAACAGTGATTTGATTGTTTTTTTTTTTCAGAAATTAAATGAAGATCATACTGTGAGATTTGAGTTGTTCATAATGATAATTTTATAGTGAAACTATTATAAATGCTCCTATAACAACGAGTTTGATATCAAATTGAAGAAATTGAATGAAAAAACACCTGAAAATCAAGGTCGTATTTCAGACTTTAATTCCAAAAAATGTTCAAAAATTGTAAAATTCTGAATTTACTGTACCTTTAGAAAAGCCCATGCTATATTGTGCCACCCTTTGTCATTAACACCTCTCTTGTTATTCGCTTTTGCCATCGTGACAAAATCTCTGATCTGTCGAATGAAAAGCATGATATGATAAAACTAAAAACTTATATGTATATATTGAATACAAATACAAAATAATAATAAAATGACCTATTAGTTACCCTATGAGTATGGTTGATCGAACAGCAGTGGTTATTAAATGCATTGGACCTGTGCCACAGGTTCAAAAGGCATTCTGACCAACTCATTCAGGTCAGGTCATTCAACTCAGGCTATAGTGAATTTCTAGCCTTCTCAAAGCAGCTTTTTACATAATATTAGATGGCTGCTTGTCTAGAGCCTTGTTTATAGATGTGAAATAATAGATGTAAAATTTATTTATTAAACTTTTTGAAATTGATTTGAATTATTAATACATTACTTTCGATGCAACGATGTATAATAAATTATCTCATTTCTGATTTTTTTGGAATTACCCCATAAAAACTTGTCCTAGTATTACAAATTTAGAGTTGACGTAGAAAATACGTTACTCCCGTAGTTAGGGCTGTCCAAGCGAACCGAATATATTCGAAATCGAAATTCGAAATCGTTTTTACGCCAATTTACGAATCACTAAAATTTGGTACAAAATGCGCCTCACGACCACTTTTGCACCACGTTTTTCACCCGGCAAGCAAAAACATGTTTCTATAGCTTTCTTTGCTGTAAAAAGGTCTCTCCTATTGGCATTGCCCATGACATGTAATTATTCATTTCATGCATGGTCGTAAATGAAAAGTTATCGGTAACAAAGATTTAAAGATGACATTTTTTGGGAGAACATAAGGAGAAAAAGGCAAATTTAGTGTCAGCAAAAAACGCCAGTTCTATAAATAGAATCGATTTGTAGCTGTTGAGCCAGTAATCATAGGAACATGGTACAGGACTGATCCACGTGTTGGAGGTCCAATACCCTTTTTCAATAGAATTTGTAATTTCTTCAAATGGCAACACTTTGTATCATCCATTCATTACTATGACAAATAATTGCACTCTTCTATATCTATATTCATAGTTATTTATAATTTTACTGAAAATTACACCAAAAATATTGAGTTAATAATACGAATGATAATGGGATTAAAATAGCAACTACAGGCATTAAAAGAATCTGTGCAATTTCCAACTCTTAACACTTGATAGTTTTCGAAACCCTAATTATTTGACCAGTTCAAGGAGGCTTGTGATCTATTTTTATAACTCCGGAAACATAGTTATGCAAAATATTTGCAATTATTTAGATATAACTGAGCATACGTCACAATATTGAAGAGGAAGTTTTTATTGTACATTAGAGACAAAATTTAGGATTGCGCAATAATATTCGATTATTCGGTTCGATTCCAGAAAAATTATTCGGTTCGATTCGAATCAAAAAAATATTCGATTTTGGACAGCCCTACCCGTAGTATATGTACCAGGTTGGGGATAGGCCATAATTTTATTCTGGTTTCCTTTATTTTAGTTCTATTATGAGTTCGGGAAATGTTTGTGTTAGCCAAGTGAATATACTCCCTGCCCATAGACTTCTGTCCATTTACACAACTTGATGTAAAGTAGGTGAACAAAATTAGTACCTCCATATTGGTACACATACTTCTGGAGCGCCAAAAATACACCTGTATATTGACCAGTAAAGAAAGAAAAATTAAATCTTTGGCTTTTCTACCTTTACTCTAACCTACCAAGGAAGAGAAAAGTATATTTCAACATTTCTACAAGTTTAAGATGACAAAACTTTTCTTACAACAAAAAATAAGACAGGTTTTACGACACCAGGATCTGTTGATACTCGAGTTAATTTCATAAAAGACTCATTAAAAATTAGAAGTTCTTCCCATCTTGGTAATAAGGAACGATTAACTTTGAAGTCATATGGCTGTGTCATCAATGGTACAATGGAGTTCAGAAGCTCACTCTCATAAAATGAAGATACATGCCGCGATCTGAAAGACATTTAATTTAATGAAAACAATTTACAAAACAAATTTGAAAAATCAATAATTATTTGAATGAGTGAGATAAATATACTATTTTTTAGGATAAAATAATCAACCCGTGATAATAATTTATGTGCAGTTAATGCATTCTAAATGACAAGAGTTGAAACACTTAAATTTGTAATTTAGGCATAAAACGCACAAAAACAGCTTCTTGTTATCTGAATTCATCTACTAGAAAGATAAAATAGTTTAAACAAAACTACATTATAGTTTTTCAATCAATTTCTGGTCCAGGGTTACTAAAATAAGGCACTGCACACAACCCTAATTTATAAAACAGTTAAAACCTTTCGGTCTAGTAATCGATCTCACCTGTCAAATTTATTTAAATACTGTCCTGTCAGACTATCGACTATCGATACTTTCACCAATGGATGAGCAATATATTTTGGATCAACTCTTATTTGATCACAATGGTGAACAGTCACACCAAGTATAGTTCCATCATCTTGTACAGCAGCAACTGGTTCATTAGGAGGAGCATCGACAGCATCCTAAAAAACAATTGTATTCGTGGCAAATGCTGTCCATAAACATAAAACAGGAATTATGAAATAATAATATCTATAATTCGAAATTCCAAACTGTAAATCTTCTTTTAATTCGTTGAATGCAAAGTGAAATGAGAGATCGTTTTAATAAAACTGCTATTGTTGCTGGGATAAACATTGCAACTCTCTTTGAATAATGGACCAACTTCATTCAAGTTGTGGCTTTTGAAAAATGAAAATGCCTCTCATAAGACTTACCGTATTTGCTCATTTTGTAGCCCAGGCCCATATTTTTTTCAACCGACTCAATAACCGAGCCCTTATTCAAACTGGCCCTTATTCAAGCACGGGCGCTTGTTATTTTGGATCGTTACAATAATTTATATATTATGATTTAAAAACGAGAATAACGAAAATTTTGATTTTTTCATGCACCGCAGGTACAAATCCGCAAGAGAAGAAAAGTTTTGCGACGCCCTATCAATATTGAAACGACGCACTTGGGCGTTGCGGTGCCCGGTTTGAGAACCATGGCGTTACGTAATCAATGCTATCTGTTATGTGCTTGGACGCCTAAGGTGTGAGTGTTATCTACCGGCGCCTAAAATTCAACAGCGTTGTGACAAAAGCGCTTCTTATTTCCCATTGTTCTCTACCACTGAAAAATCAGCTTTCACATCTGGCGGGTATTCAAGTACCGGCCCTTTTTTATCTTTATGTTTTGTTCACACGGGCGGCTATTCAAGCAGGCCCTTAATCAAGATAGGGCAGTAAAACGAGCATATACGGTATATATTCTTTGCCTGATTCTTGATGACTTCGAAATAATGTGCCGCTTTGTTAGACAAGACCCACCACCTGACTTTTTGCTCAGCAAACTGTGTCAAATCATATAATATCCCAGTTCATTGGAATTGCATTTTTTATAAAAAATATTTCCTTTAAAATATAATGGAAATGAACAATGATGAATTTCATTAATTTCAGGTTTAACTTAGGTAAATGCTAACTACAATACTATAAATTCCAAAAAAAGACTTTCATGAGCACCACAGTTTCAAATTCTGCTCAAAAGAGAAAGCCATATCTTACTGGATTGACAGGAACATCAATCATAGGAGGAGTTACATCACCAGCTCTCTCTTCCTGCTGACTTGTTTCTGAAGTAGGCAGTGCTCTTGGTGTACCTGAAACATAACTCAATACGATTAATAATGATACAAAAAGAGCTTATAGGTGTTTGAACCAAGGGCCAAAGATTTTGACTACCCAGATTGGCGGGCCATGTAAGTGTGACGTAAAAAGTTACATTTTATGAACAATATTTACAGTGTTACAAAAGCAACAGTGGTAAACAATAAGCCTTGTGACAAAAGTAAATTTAATCGCAATCTCAACAAATTCCTTGAGATTTTTTTAGCTAAAAATCAAAATTTGGTTGTGGCAGCATCAAGTGGGCCAGATTGAATTACCGAACAGGCCGGATTTGGCCGGGGGCCATCCTTTGCCCATGTCTGGTATTTGTGGTATTCACATAAAAATATTCCTCATTTATCATACTTTTCCGAGCATGAACCAAGATAAGATTATGATTGAGACAAAAATTACTAATATTGGGCTTTTCAACTCTGTCAAATGAACCGCACAGAGCACACTTACTGCGCTTTTTTGTTTTCTTTCTTCTTCTCTCTGTAGTCTTTGGAACTGTTTCTGCTTCAGGAACTAAAGATTCTTCATCATTATGAATATTTGACGTTGCTTCTGTTGATTTGCGTGGAGTTGGCACTAAAAATTAATAAATAATCAATTGAAATATTCTGTAAAAAATCTTTTTCGACACAAAAATATTTAGTAATAACATGAGTATTATATCTGCAAGGTTGTGCAACAGGCAGTCAGTGGGCCACAACACGGCCCCTCCAAGACATTCAGACCTGCCTATTTTTTAACATTTTATGATTGAAACGGTGCTCACATGGATAAAAATACATTTTTTTTTTGTTCTTGTCGCTGCGTCAAATCTTCCGATATTATTAAGGCTGAGCGATAGGCACTAAATGTTTTGTGTGGCCTAGCTAAATGTCTGAAGTTGGTTAGGTGGCCCACCAACAAAAGATGTTGCACACCCCTGCTGTAGACACATACCTGGTGTAGATGGATTATCTTCATCCAAATTTTTTACAGGAGTTCTTGGCTTCTTGATCGGTTTTAGTTTGGTTTGTGGCAAGCTAAGGAAGAATGTATATAATATTCAATATTCCACAGAAATACTACAAGCTGATGGGAAACTATGCAGAACTATGGTTTTACTGTAGCAAATATCGGATTAAAATATTGTAAACCTACGAGGTAATTTAATCAGGACCAGGGAGCTGGTTGGAAAACGCAATCGCTCTGTCTGGTTCAGGAGCTTCATTTTTGCATCATTGAGCTAGGCATAAGCCGCATAACCCATAAAAAAATTTTGTATGGCCACAACCCAGACTTTTGGTTCCAGATATCCTAAATACAATTTATATTTTTGCTGATGAGCAGAATAGCACAGAGTCTTAGTAACTCTTTCCAAAGTCGGAATTTACAATTCATGGATCAGACTACTCATATTATAAACATTGAGAATATAATCCAGGTTTTGAAGGAAAAACTTACTCAGTTTCAGGTTGTCCTTCAGCAGTTCCTCCTGTTTTGACTTTTTTCTTTTTAGTTCTTGGAGGTGGTTTCTTTGTAACTTCTTTTGTAGTGTCATCGATGTAACTGGAAAATCAAATAAGAGGGGATGTTGAATCTGAGTAATGATATATGTAACAAGGTTTATAATAACCTGGAATAAGCGCTTCAAGTGTGATTTTGACTACTACTAGAGTAGGCTACAATAATGAATGATATTTCAAAAACGGCAAAAAGACAGAAGTAGAAATAAAATATCAATATAAATGATGTCAGTAAATATTTTAAACTAATTCTAGCTCACTCAACTTGGCCAGTTGGCTACTCAATAGAATATTTTCTTTCATATTTATCCCAGGGGAGAGTAAAGCCAATCATATGGCAGACAGACCACAGCCTCTCATCCACTAACCAATCCATGTCGAGTATGAGAATTGTTAATCAGTTATTTGTTTCAGATGCATGAACTTGATGGTGGAAGAAGCTAGAAAACGACCAGCAGGTACGTGAATCACCCTACGACAGAAAGGAGTCTAGCAATACTCTTGAACATATTTATCCCCAAGCGAACCCACGCAGGGTAATCAAAGGTGCGATGGCAAGCTTCGCTCAATATGCCAACCACCGAACCACTTCACTCAAACCTACTTGCTGAATCTTTTATAACAAATATTTTTTACCCTAGAATACTCCCATTTTTTAAATAGAATATTTCAGTGACAAACTATATTATATCACCTTTCAAATAAATCATTTTCATGTGTACTATCATAAGAAATCTCAACTCCATTTCCATGCCAGAAATCTTTCCAGAACTCATCTCTATTTGAGTGTTTCTGTGCTTCTTCTGATGAGTAATCTGTTTCTTGCTCAAGTAAAATTCTTTCAATACTCTCAAAAGAATTCTCAAGACTCACAATACTGTTGCTATCTTTTTTTATTATATCGCACTCTGAGGTTCTTTGCCATATTGATTTTAGCATTCCAGTTTCAGACTTGTATTTTTGACTGCCTTTATCAAATATTTTCCCGGCAAGATTCTCCCAAACTATTTTATAAAGATCTGAATCTGATTTTGTGTTATTTACAATCAGCGTTGCAGATTTCACTTTGCCAATTTCGTTCTCATTTTCATAAAGTGCTGGATCTAAATCTCTGTCATGTATTGTAAATTTGACCTGACCGTTAACAGACTGTCCAACACTGCTTTGTAAACTTCTCCTCTCATGCATTGTTTCATGTTGTCTCATTAAAATTTCACTATAAGAGTTTTGAATTTTAGATTTCATTTTTTCTTTAATAAGTGTTTCAGAATGTTTCTGCCATATATTTCGAAAAAGCTTCGATAAAGAATCAACATTTTTGACATCAATTCTCACAGGAAAATTACAGGATAATATTGAATTATCCTGATTGTGAAGTGTATCATGCTGCTTCATTGAATCCTTTTCACAGCGCAACAAAGCATTATCATCATATTTACTTTTCTTAGAACTGGAAGACTGAAAATTCAACATCCCTTTATTATTATTACTTAGCAAAGCTAGTTCATCTTGTTGATTTGTTTTAAAAGTAACACTTTTTCTGTGAGAGCTTTTTCTGGATTGCTGTTGGTTGCTGTGCACAGTGGTAAATAGGTTCTGAAAACTCACATCAGTGCCTAACTCAAACTGTTTCGCTCTGGTATTGTTTTGCTGAATATTTTCATCTGTATCATTATCAAAAGCAACCAGATTATTTGGATTTCGCTTTTTCTTTTTAGATACTCCATTCCCACATGAAGGCATGCATATCGCTGATCGCAAATCAATTTTTGTACCATCCATCTGTTCTTTAGGTACCGGTAAATGCTTCGTTAAACCTACTCTCAATCTGAAAACAATTAAAACTTGTATTGTACAATAAAAACTAAAAACTCGTACAATAAAAACTAATATTGTTAAAAAAAAATGCAGAAGTCCAAGGCGAAATGACTGTTCTTCAACTGGTCAAGTAGTCTGATGGAAAGATTGGAATATTCATGACAAACTAGCTGGCGCTGATAGTTGACTTCACTATGAATGAAAACAATTTTTCATATTACCGGTACCGGTAGTCCATATGGAAGTATATCAACATTTGCAAACAACTGGATAATGGCAAGTGGCATTGTTTGTACTCTATAATATTATCTAAGTTCAACCAAACCTTAATTAATAATAATGAATATAAGAATGAGCCTAGATAAATGTTGAGAATTTAATTTCAGGTCTTTTTAAATTATTTTATTATTTATCACAAAATTTAATACCTATGAATTGAGATTCAACAATTTACCCTGTATCTTTATTTTCCTTTCCTTTAGTCATTCCATTATTTCTCAAATTTTTAAGATTTTTTTCAGCTTCACCATCGTATGTATTACTTTCAAGTAATGGGTCATCCTTCGTCAAACTTCTTTTCAAGTTTTCAGCCTAAATAATGAAATATATTATTCGAGGGTAACTAAAATCAACAAAACATTAATAATATCTAGTCACTCAAATGAGTCGAACAAATATTTTCTAATTAATTTATGTTAAACAAATGTGTGATTTCATTTCCAGTATACATTATGGTACATCACTACAAACCAGATCATAGAATTCTCAAGTATTGTACAAATATTGTTGAAATACCTTCAAAAATGATTCAGATCTGAATTTTGTAGAACCGCATTTATTTCATCGCATAGGAGGGTTCATAACTGACAGATTACTATGATGTAACTTTAGTTGATATTATAAATTCAAGACTTGAAACAAGCTTTGTTGTGCATTTTTCCAATTTAAATTTTCATGTCAGATCAGCAGATAGAGAAATGCAACAGAAAACTTACCATTTCACTTCTTTCTTTTCCATTCTTTTTACTGGAAATAAATATATCAAAATTGCAGTCAAAACAGTAAATGTATTGGTCAAATTAAATATTTTCTTTTGTACTGATGTCATGGGAGATGAGAAGATCAGATTCCAAAATCACTATTTTCAATTAAAAATTGCACCAAGTAACTCTACAGTTGCTTCACGAAAATTATGAAAGTATTTGTTTATCAATGAGGCATGTCAGTACAGCAGTATGTTCAATATAATAAACATAGAATAAATGAATGAAATATAATTTATTAGTCAACGCCGTCGAAAAATAACTATAACATCACAAGTTTGCCAGAGGCATAGATGTACCCTAACTGCCTAAAGATATAACAAATGAATGGATTAGTAGCTAAGAAACAATGATGCTGACAAAGAAGGCAGCCATTAACTCTATAGAATGAAAATGTAGTTACCTTCCTGTATCTTTTAAAAGTTGTTCAAAAATTTGTCTGGTCTGATCAGTGGTCATTTTGTTATTATAAAAGCCTACAAATTTCCTTCCCAAATATCTTTTAAATTATGACCAAAAGCAAGAAATTCAGCCTACCAACGTTGACTTGCAGACTTAGTTCTGCAGTGTTCAAAAAAGCTTAACAGTTTAGAGGGCTGTAAAAATATTTTTTGCAGTTTTAATTTCTGTAGTTACAATTGAAGATAAGAAATAATACAGTAATACTTAATACCCTGAATCAGTTGAGTCTATCCAGTTACTAATGATCATTCCCAAGCAGGACAGACACGGAATTCAGGAATCTGATCCATGGTCGCCAATCGCTGAATGGCCATACCATGCATACCGGTACTGGCCAAAATTTGAAAATAGTATGAGTTGTGAATTCCTAACGTAGCCCTGCAAATCACAAGCTTGCGCTGTTGGACTGGCCGGTATTATGAACAAAACTCACAAAGGTATACTGATTTTACCTTGATTTATGAATGCCTAAAAACTTCCTCCTGTGTCGACGGACAGAACGATGGCGTACTTGGAAACGAAAATTGTTCAAAAGTATTTATATACGACGCTATGCTTCATTGATTTGTAAGGGATTGTTGGCGTTCGGATTCAAATCCGGTTCATCGGATACCAATGATGCAGTAGTAGAGTCCCCTCGCCGTTATGCGATCATTTTACCAAAATGCTTCTAATATGCTTTGCATTCACAGAAAACACTTCATTTTTTCATTAACATACTCTACAAATTCATCTCAATCACTTCCCTTAAAATCAAGCCGGTACCGTGACCGGAAAACCGTTTATACCGCCTCTACTTTCACCATGTCAGTGGGGCAATTGCGATCAACAACGTATATTTGCGATCACTAAAAATCTCGCCAATCGGAGCGCCGACGTTCCTGTTTTAGGCCCTACATAGGTATGGAAAATGTTTGCGAAATCATCTTTTGGGTGTGCTGACGCGAATACTGTCATCCGACAAGCTTATTACAAACGTTTTTTTCAACCGAATCTCAGCAACCCAACCCGATTACTGTATTTGATTCTACACGGGACAAATAAAATTGAATAGCATAGCGACTCAACCTTGGTCCATTCGATAAACCGATAATAATACCCCTACTTTTTTTATTAGTGATTACAATAGGTAGGTACTTAGGACGATGGTTTGTATTCAATCAACATGTGTATACATTTGCAGTATGGCGAACAGATTCCGTGGGTGACTGGAAAAACAGCCTTGTCTTGTCATATGATTAATTACGCACATCTCTTCACCCCATCACGGCGATGTGTACAAAAATCTTAATCTTTCGGTAGAAAGCCGGTAGGTTTACATTGCAGAGAACAATGTTATCAAATTTATTTTTGCGCTCAAAATTATCGCTTCACAAATGCCAAGAAGTAGTGTTTTCATACAATTCAATGTGATCAAAGCCCCAAAGATATACCATTTTTGGCTCCGCCGGAAACGCATTGCTGTTCGATATAATGAGAGGCTAAACCTATATTTTCGTGGACTCCCAATGTGCTCTGCAAGTAGTCTATGTCAACTTCTAAACTGATGAATTTAAATAATTACAAATGGTGCTCGTAAAAAATTTTTGTTAACAATAATGAAATTTGACATTGGCGCTGATAAATTAAGAATCATGAGGTCGGTCAAAAACATTTAAATCAACAAGAAACATTCAGAGCAGACATGGTTGGTGTAACCTACGGCAAATACAGAGCAGGTAAATTTAATTTATTACGTTATTGACCCCTCAGTGATTGTTTATAAATTGATTGTGGGGAAAGATGTGATCTAATTTCGGAAATCTACATATCAAGCAATATTTTTAAAACGAATAATGTGAAAAATAAGAGCTTTATCATATTCTGGAGTTTTCTTGATACGTTGTCTACACCAGCGGTTCCCAACCTTTCTACCCTGGCGGACCGGTAAAATTAGATTAAATGTACTCGCGGACCGGCAAAAATTGAAATGACCGTAACAGAAAAGAATAACATATATTTGCGTCTTATAATGCAATGTCGGGCACTCAATATGCTTCTAGACAAAAAAGCACACTTTAAAACATTTCACACGAAGAATAACTATCAAATAATGTGCCGACCAAAAATTACAAATGAGTGAAACATAAAATAATACCATATATTTGCGTAATGAAATGCAGTGCTGGGCACCCATTATGCGTGAGAAAGGCACGCATTAAATTCTCACATTAAAATAATGCACAATTAACTTCTGTGAGAATTTTGCTGCTGTTTCGTTTCCAATACAAGATTGCGAACGAGGCAAAGAAGTTTTTGCAACACGTAGCTCTGCAGCCGCGTACAGCCGATTTCCTTGCCTCGTTTTAATCAAAGTGAGGTTTTAATTGAATCGAGTGATGAGAATGTTTTTTCGCATAACGCAGTAACTGGCTGAAAAGACGGACCACAGTTTGATTGCTCGATTACTTGGCGATGGGTATTCGCTATCAAGAAATATCTAAAATTGTGATAAGTAATTCTTTTTCAATCTGGACTGTAAAGAAGAATCACAATTTTAATCAAGCCTTTTCTTTTTCATTGGGTTCATAATATTAATCCCTCTGCAGTTAATCGACGCCTCAAACGGAATGAATTTGCATTACAATGACAAAGTCGTCGATAACTTGGCGACAAGCTCAAAATCCTACTGTGTCTGGAAAAGATCTCTGCGGCTCATGCTTTTTTTTTGCGTGTATCGCGTGACCACCTGTGGGGTCGCAACAAGTTCATATCTTACTGGATTATTATACTGTTCTTGACTGTTTTCTAGTTTAAACAAGGAGATATCCAGTACGTTTCATATGAATGGTCATATTAATCAGGAAAAGCACGCAGAACAGAAAAGGCACGCGTGCCGATTTTTAGGCTTCTTAATTTTGCAAGATTTGATGGAGCGCATTCGCGATGAATCGGAGCTGGAAAAGCGAAAAGTGTGAGTGATCGGCGCCAAGATGTCGCGTAATACGGCGCCAACATGTCGCGAAAGACGTCGTAATATGACGGCAGAAGAGAACTGCGTAATGAGCCAACGCAACTTTGTCTACGGTAAAGCGATTGAAACGGCATAAAAACAACAAGACAACAAAATTTCTTGCGGACCGGCAAAAAAGCTTCGCGGACCGGCACCGGTCCGCGGACCGGCGGTTGGGAACCACTGGTCTACACCATTCGAAGTAAATGGGCTTTCACTCGGGTCTCGATCTTACATTTTTACTTACGCAAATGTGACCAAAGTGGAAATCGCGAGCGCCCTTTTTCACACGTGGAATTACCTGCGATGCAATAAAGATAGAGACAAATAGGAGAGAATATAAGTTGTTCCCACTCCAATTTTCACGGCTCTATCTTTATTTTAACCTCCCCATATGCTTCCGTTCTTTCTGAAATAGAAAAAGAGGTTTCGTGCTCTAAAATTGGTCATTTTCGAACACTAGTGGCGTTTTGACCCAGAAAAATCTCATTTTTGGACGAAATTTGACGAGAAGCGAGCTGTGGGTAGGCGAGTAGGTATGGATTATGTATACCGAGCGGGAATCTATCACTATTTCTAGTTTGGCCAAAACAGGAGGCTGAAACGCAGTGATCGTAAATGTGACGTGAACGCATATCGGGGAGGGGACTCTATTCATTCATCACCATGTACAAATCAAACATACATACGAACAATCATTACTCACGAGTGAAGGGATTGACAGAAAACTACAGGTGTGATTTAAGATAGGATTTAAATATTTATCCAGAGAGAGAGGAAAGCCGATAAGACGGCTTGACCATATGACGAACCACGGCCACGTCCAGTTACCGTATTATTCCATGTCGGGTATGGGATTAGTTAGTTTTTTTTTTCGGAAGCACGGACTTGGTGGTGGAGGAAACCGTAACCGACCAGCGGTTACGTGAACCACCCTACGACGGCGAGGAGTCCAGCAATCCTCTCGCACATAACCATCCATGTACGGTGGCGAGCGTATTCCCAATATTGAGGTTAATGAATCCTAACGCTTGGTACGATGAGCCACACCGCCATGACACCCTATGTGTGGAGCTGGGACACCCTATGACGCAGTGCTGTTTTCAAAGGTGGAATGTGAAAAAATGGTTAATATACATTAGTCACAAGGAAGGTAGGTTAGGATTTGCAAATTTTTATCCCGGCAGAGAGGAAATTTTTTGAGGCTATTTTAAGAGTGCTTTTGCGAGTTGGCGCCTGTGAAATGGGGTATGTGTTTCAAACCATCATTATGATTCATCGCATACAACAATCTGTTTTTTCAAAGTACCGTTGAAGAATTTTAGCCTAGTCTATCACAGCTATTTCTACACTACTTTTTATAACTGCAATTAAATTAAAACTCCTAGGAAGACAGGGTGACCATTGAATTATCTGATTTACATTTAAGTTTCCAAAACACAACTGAAAACTAACCAATAGAGTTCAAAAATGCGAAAACTAGGTAATGTTTACGACCACGATTGAAAATCTGTCTGAGTGAGAAAAGTGTCTGAGCGGATGCGAAAAGGGAGCATTGTTACGTCACTTTTTGCAATTTGCTGATTGGCCAATGTCACGAAGTAAACGAGGAAGTCGATGCCGGGGGAAAGGTTCATGGACGTTTCCCTGACGCTCGAAAAATCCTCAACCAACCCTGCTTGAATATCAGTCTGAGCGAAAGAAGTGTCTATGAGCGACTGCACAAATTGGCATTGTTACGACGAAGTTGACTTATTGCTAAATGGTCATTGTTACGTATAGGATGTCATAATGATTATAGACACCATTCATTGACGTCGTCGTATGAGTTGCCTACTTGCTAATTCACTTTTATGAAAGCCATAGCTATGTTTTCAGGTAGCGGTGCTCCTTCCGCGTTGCAAAAGTTTTTAAATGAGCTCAATGCAGATGTACAGGAAAAGCGACGAAAAATAAAAAAGGAAGAAGAAATAATAAAAAGTAAGTCTAACACTACCGGTATATTCGAAATAGTCTAATCTAATTTCTTTGACTCAAAATTTGCGTGCTTCGAAAGTTTTCTTCTTTTCTATAATTTAGGTATCTAAGTCGATTACGTCGGATGTGGCCGTCAATTTTATCCTGGGAAGGGCCAAAAAGGCACGTTAGAATAGACGCAATGTCTTGTCGGGTTTTGGTATAAAATGCACATTTAGTTCAATAGTTTGCAGATCGGAGCTCAAATTAACAAGCTGCTAACATTGTCAAAATTGATACTTTTGGCTTGAACTTTTCCTACTTACCAACGTATATGAGCCAAATCGGTTTCTCCGTTGACGAGACATTGATTGAATTTTTCCCACTTGTTCAGGTTTTCGGGAAGAATTGTGGAGTAAAAGAGAGAGGATTCATATATTTCAAGATAAAACAAGAGAGCTTGATGAGGCTGTGAAACAAATGCACGAAGTTTATGTGAATCAGAAACGAACTCTCGAAAGGTTGCGTACTGTTATAAAGATTGGTATTACGCGTACAAAATGACCATAACAGTTGTTTACAGTATTGAAGAAATTCATTGCGTTTTACTTCCCTAAATTACGGAACTATTTGCTCCCGTTGATAAAAGAATGTTAACATGAGTCATAAGACTTAACTAAATCATACCCACCTGCAGAATAGAGAATTTGTCAAAAAGACTTTGTTACTGAGTACAGAACCAATGATATATTTTCTCAAATGATCAAAAAACGATTAACCTGGATGGAGTGGATGGATGAGACCAATATTTGAGAAACTTTATAAACCTGAAAATATACAAAAGTGTTTCTTTTTATATTTTGAAGGATAAAGGAAAATGATAGACTCTTGGATGAACATACAAATGCAAAAGCTGAAGAGCTGCAGAAAATAGTGGAAGAAAAGGCCAAAAGAAGGTTCGCTTTGTTACTTTAAGAATATGTGACCCGATATAAAGTTGAAGGAATAGAATTCTTTGGTTGGTGGATCAGAAACCAATATCTTCGATAATGATATACTGTACAGTGTACACACATATATTTAGAAAATTATAGGGAAGTTTCTGTTAATATATATTTGTTTTTTGATCACATTTTATTATCATCACGCAGTTCGATTTTCCACCCTTCCTAATTCGTTTATGCCTTAAATATATAAATTGTAGTAGTCGTATTAAAAGGTGAATGGCAAAGGTTTCTGAGATGCATTTGTGAAATTTTCTAAAAAACGTCTCCTAATAAATTGCACCCATAAGTTGTAATACAACATTAAGAAGTGGACTAACAGCCTATAAGGCGCGGACATCCCTGAAGGAATTTTCGATTTTATCGACAATGAAGCATAAATAAGTCATAGCCGTATAGATAACATCATGCTGAATACAATTTACTTTAACACATTTAGCAGTTACAATATTTTTCGAAATTGTGGATGTTGCGTTATCAAATTTCTATTTATGTTAAAAATCGCGTTGCCATATATATGTACATCACTTTATTCGCTCCTCACTGAAAGTTGCGCTCATCCGGTCATCGGTCCGCATACGCATCGGTCTAATGAAATCATATTTGCAAGAGAGTTTGTAGGAAATGACCCGATCTGAGTTTCATCTCTGACTTCAATACAAACGATTTTTAAATAAATGAATACCAATTGTGAAATTTCTTTTACAATATTAATTGAAATTTCTTTCACAATTTCTTTCACAATATCCGTGGTTTTGGTTACTTCAGAGGTATACTTTGAGCCCGGAATGGAGAGCAGAACACTTGTTAAGATCAAACCTTTAGTTAAGACAATAAAATTGAATAATACTAATTTACGTTACTATGTATTGGATATTTTTAAGATTGGAACTTGAACAAAAGATAAATGGACAGAAGGAAAAGCTTGAAAATTATAAAAGAATTTACAAGTCGTTTCCGGGTGCATCGGAGCTAATGCAATTGCAAGACGAAACGCGGAGAATGGAAATAAAAAAGGCTGATGTTTTGAAGGAAATTGATATTATTGACGGTGAAATTGTTTCATTGGAGCAGCTGAGAGCAGGAAAGAGAATTATAATATTATTTCATTCATTCAAATTTGAATAAGTAATTATTTGAATAATATTTTACGATGGGATGTTCCCGATCTTTGTTTCCCGGTAATTCAGCATTTGTTATAGGTTACTGAATAAACATTATCTAGAAAAGATTTCGGTAATCACAAATTTTTCATATAATATGTCAATTTCATATGAAAATCTATCTTGTTTGCGCCATTGCGGGATCAGAAAATACGCGATCTCCAAACTATATATTTTATAAAACACTTCCCAAATGACCATCCATAATACTGTTTTTTTACATCATCCTCGAATTTCCTAATACCAGAGTCGACAAAGCTTGTGGCGTGGCCAGCAATATAAGACGTTTTTGTGATTGTGACAAGATACTGTATTGCAGATAACACGACGACTTTAACATGTTATTATATCTCGCGAATTTATGTTACAGTAAATATAATCGCTACCATTTTTTTTTTTCAAAATAGAACAACAAAAATGCAAAAATGCTCAAAAGTTCAAGACTTTACATGAATGGGGGGTTTCACTGTAAGTTGAAAATCATTAAAAAATGTGGTTGGTTCAAAATTTGTGCTTATTATTTATTAACGACGTGGATTTTTCATTCATAGTGCGAAAAAATATCTTGAACGAAGAGTGCGAATGAGTACGATAAAGTCAATTCAGCAAAAAATAGAAGAAACAAAGTTAGATATCAAGAGAATAACAGCACAGGTCAGGCAGATTTAGTAAATAAATGAGTCTACACTACACAACTAAGTCTACTACTATATTTCTTCTTTCAACTTTCTCAGAAGGTAGAAGAAGAAAACAAACGTAAAATAGAATTGGAAAAAGAAAAGAAACGTATTGCGTCAGAAGAATTACGTAAAGCCGCTTCATCTCCTACTCTCCTTGTTACGAAAAATATTCAAGCAAAATCTCCTCTAGAATCTACCAAAAGATGGTCATTTACCAGCAAGCTGGAGGTTTTTTCAAATCGTCAACGGTGAGTAAAGAAATTTTTCACGTAATTCCAGATTGCGTTGTGATTTAATATTTTTAAAATTTGCGTTTTCTGAGTATTTCAGAATATCAAAGGTTTTCAAAAGATGCAAAGCAATTTGACGTCGCCTCTTCGTAATTTCGTTAGAAGCGTTCCAAACTTGAAAGATTCGTTAAAACTGAAGGAATCGACACCAACAATTAAAGTTAGAAAAACTTTGTTCTTTTTACTCTTTGCGAAATGAGGTTTATTTCCACATTATAGCAGCATGGTTTTGATATGCGTTTTTATATGAAACACTATGATGTTTTCACTAATGGCGAGAAATAACTAATTCTAATGATAATTCCTCGTCGATCGATATTCTTAAAAAGAGCTTGAAAATTTGAATTAAATTTGTCCAGTCATTATAAATAATTATTCGGTAGTTTTTTCTCAGAGCTGAAACACAACTACAAATGATTCATACTGTAATTATGAAAATATTCGAGAAGAGATGTTGAATTGGTGCCTAATGTTTTTTAGATAGCAGCTTCCAGCAACACTTTGCCGATATCACGATCGCAGTCATTGAGCTGTCTAGCAAAAGGAAGCAGCGGATCGGTATATTTTCATTTTTCCATTATGTGGTTGTTTATAATCAGATAGCCATTGCACACCAAATGGACACTTCACATATATGTCTTCGATGCCTATATACAACAAGCCATATAAAGCAAAGGTTGCACTCAATATATATGTTACGATGAAGATTTATGAACAAATGATGTATCAGTTCTACCATGAAAAAAAAACATAGCACATCTGTAATGAAATTTTGTTCTGTGTTAATAGTAACAATTTTCATGTTTACAGATAACAAAGTTTTCGAATATCAAAGGATCAAATTCTCTACAAAAGTGGATTTCGTCAGCTGGAAACCATAACGTCAGTATATTTTCCATTGATTAAGGTTATAGTCTGCTACCATCGTCGTATTCATCGATCGTTAATTTTTATATATTTTGTTTATTTAGGTTCAAGAAACCTCACCTCCAAGTAAGTCATTATAAAGTGTATTCGTCATTTTGTATTAAAAAAAACGGAATAATAGTTAGCGCATCCGGCTAGTCTTGTAATCTCGTTTGTAACATGTTTAAAGTATTCGGAACTTTCCATTCTTAATATTACGTGGCTGGCGTTGAAATAAATAAATCACGACAATTCCTGCTTATTGAGTTGACGTTCTTTTGTTATGAAATGTTTCAGTCGAGGAAGATTTTTCTCGAAGTGATTATGCATCTGTAAACGCATCAGAAAAAAGAGAAATTTATTAAAAATCGCTCTATCACCTTTTTTCCTAATAAACATAAGGTTAATTATTAGTAATCTCAAAAAGCAAGTTGTAGCGTACAGTGATGTATGCGTCTGTTTGTTTTCTTACAACAATGATTAAGGACCGTGTCTAAATTATGATAGCTTAATTGCCCACCCCAACTAGGATAGAATAGGATTTACATATTTATCCCTGGGGAGAGAAAAGCCGATAGGACGGCTCAATCATATGGCGAACCATGGACTCTTGTCCGGTCACCATTCCACGTCGGGTACGGGATTACTTAGTTATTTGTTTTCGTGAGCATGGACTTGATGGTGGAGTAAGCCGTAACTGACCAGCGGTTACGTGAACCACCCTACGGCGGCGAGGAGTCCAACAATCCTCTCGCACATAACCATCCCTGCATGGGATTCGAACCCACGCAGAGTAATCAGAGTGCGGTGGCGAACGCGCTTATGGTGGATAAATAGTAGTATATATAGCGTACATACAGTAAATTCAAGAATATTCAACAAAACTAATAGGGAAATGTCTGAAATATTTTATCACGCTACGCAATATGGACGATAGGTTCTGCACAAATGAAAGTGATTTCAGTTGGACTTGTATTATATTTTCACAGGCGTTCAGGAAAAGATGGATATATCAGAGATTGACAGTAAAGATAATATTCCGCTTCCAAAGCCGATATTTCAGTCACCTAATGGAGTTGCCGCAGTAACTTCTTTCACCGACAATATCGAAATAGACGTATTAATTATCTTATTATTAGCAAAAATAAGTTGAATAACATGTTTTGTTCCAAATTGAATAGTTATGGTAAATGTTTTTTGGTCGCGTTCCATTTTTACACGACACTTTCTTTCAGGATGATACTCCGTGTTCTATGCCAAGTCCAGATTGCACGAATGCCGAGGTTAAAATAGATTTGGAATCGAGTGATAATCAAGCCAACACTCCGATCAATAGATTTAATTTTGCTCGTGCGTGCAAATCACCAGAAGATGACTTCCAATTTCCGACATACGTATTTTCTAAGTCTTCCAAGATGGAAGAAAGAACAGCTGACACTGATAGCAGTATGCCGTCATTTTTGGCAAGTATAGATTTTGTACGCAATGATCAATTCTAAAAGATGGAATTCGCGTCTTATGTCACACCCCGACCTGTCAAGATCAGTAGTGGGATCGTAGTTAATCAGTCTATTTAATCCAGATGCATTTACTTGAATAGTGAAACACCCTTCTACGACTAAAAATAAAATCATCGCGCCCATTTATCTCCCGCGAAATTCGAACCTGCGAATCGACCCTCCTTAAGGCATTTAACGACTATGAAACGTTATTCATTTGTAAATATGTTATATTTTTATTTATATATACCTCTGAATAGGGCAGCGATGGAAATCCTTTTGGAATTTTTGGTATGGTTTCACCTTCAACCAAGAGTCCTGACGAAGAATATGAGAAGGCAGATTTTCAATTTGCTGTTCCATCTGCACCACCACCAGGCAGTACTAAAAATCGTCAATTAACAAAAGGAGAAACAAATTCTGCGGAAACCAACACTATTTTCTCAAAAATGATGTGGTCCGATTCTCCTCAAACGCCGAAAGAAAACGCAGCGCACCAACTTGGATTTTTTGCCCTCTCGCCTGATTGCAAAGACGCCAACAAAAACGAAAAACCATTGATGCCACCGTCGCCGGGGATGCCATTCAGCTTTTGTAGCAATGAGGGGGGAAATATTACACCCAGTGAGTCTGGTTTCGCTCTTTTAGAAAATAGCGAAGAAGATTCCGCCATGGAAACAAGTAAAGATACCTTTGCCGGATTCGGCTCTTTCGACACTTCGAAAAGCAGATTTGAAAGCATGTTCAAATTCGGAGATTCATAATTAGCTTTAAAACTATTATACAGCCATATTTGACTGACTGTTTTGTTTTTATTTTAATTTTATACTGATTATAGAAACTGAACATTTCCAGCCTGGCGAACTTGACGTTGTTGGCCTGTTGCGCAACACCCACAAGGTGTCCTCAATCTGTTTTTATGGGGAAATGTGATTCCATGTTTATTGGGGCTGGGCATTTGGAATTCTTCTTTTTCTGTTTTTTTTTTGTTGTTACTAGTTGCTTTGTTTTTGAGATGTTGTACTTTCACATGCGAAGTTGTTTGTGGCATTTCCTTAAAAAAATCTTTGAAGATAGCTTAATCCTGTAATCATATCACTTTATCAGGCGAATTGTGTACCGCTGCACGAAAAGGTCAATGAATGAACCTATAATAGGATAGGATAGGATTTACATATTTATCCCGGGGGAGAGGATACGGTATATATATACCTAGACTATATACCGGTACTTGTAATATATCCAGCAGCAGATACAGAGAAGTTTCATGTCTGAGCGGCCACATACACCCTTTATGCCTTTGATACTGTTATACAGTTATAGTGATGTATCAGTTGTGCATCTCAGTCTGTCAGTTGTCGCAGTATCGGTTTGCTGCTCAAAGTACTTGTAACGTTGTTATGAGGTTATGATAGCGCTACCCCTTGTCTTGTAATACAGTAATATATATTTGGTGGTTGTAATTCACATATGCCTATATTCTGATATTACTTTGTATATACACGTATTGCTGTATTGTGGGTATACTGATATACTGTAAGGAGGAGGAGGATTTACATATTTATCCCGGGGAGAGGAAAGCCGATAAGACGGCATATCCATATGGCGAACCACGGCCTCTCGTCCAGTTACCATTCCAAGTCGGGTATGGGATTAGTTATATTGTTTGTTTTCGGAAGCATGGACTTGGTGGTGGAGGAAGCCGTAACCGACCAGCGGTTACGTGAACCACCCAACAACGGCGAGGAGTCCAGCAATCGAACCTGCGAACCCACGCAGAGTAATTAGAGGTGCGGCGTATTCCTAAGCCCTAGCCCTTCAAGTTTTTCACTCTGTTCTTATTTTACTAGATGTTCATTTAATATTTAACTATATTATAAGCAGTAGTTCAAATATTCAATACTGCAATATCATGTCTATTGGTGTACATTTGGGAAACACATCAGCCTGTATTGCTGTAAGCAAAAATGGGAAAGTTGACGTTGTTGCAAATTCCCATGGTGATCGTCTTACTCCAGCAATGGTGACGTTTCTTGCTGACGAAACTCTTGTTGGGTTTTCGTCCAAACAGGTGGCACATCGTTATATACAAGAGACTGTTCGTCATGCTAACAGTTTACTTGGAAAAAGGATGGACAATCATAGTGGAAAAGAAATGAATGGTACACAAGATGATATGGGATTCTCTTTGAATGAAGATGGAATGCTGGTATTCAATGTAAAACATGGACAAAAAAACATATCCCATTCTGCGAATCATATCGTAAAACTAATTCTCGAAAATATTTTTGAAACTGCTCGCAGTCAGGCTGGTAACGATGTAAATGAGGTTGTAGTTTCTGCTCCTATTGGATACACATCATCTTACCGTGACGCTTTGACAGATGCTGCTTCCAATGCTGGATTTGAAGTTTTGCGAGTCATCAGTGAACCATCAGCTGCGGCTTTGGCATATGGCGTTGGGATGGATGCTACGGAAACCTTACCGTATCAAGTATTGGTATTTCGTGCTGGAGGAATCACTGAAGACGCTACACTTCTTGAAGTGTGCAATGGGATGATCTGTATTAAAAAGTATATAACAAAACAGTATGGGGGAGATGTTTTGACAGAAGATATTGCTAATCACTTTGCATCCATATTTGAACGTGAAAACAGAATGTCTGTGGCTCAAAACAAAAGAGCAATGAGTAAGCTTAAAACCCACTCAGAAAAGTGTAAGCATGTTTTGTCTACTATGCCATCAGCGTCGTGCCATATTGATTCTCTATATGATGGGAGAGATTTTAATGGCAATATTTCTCGATCAAGATTTGAAATGCTTGTAAATGATCATCTTCAGGCGCTTGTGGCACCAATTAAGGAGATCTTATTTGATACTGATGCAAATGATATTAAAAAAGTTATAATGTGTGGCGGAACATCAAATATTCCACGATTACAGGATATGGTTTCAAAATTGTTACCAAAATCTGAAATGTTATCAAGTATACCACCTTCTGAAGTAATTGCCTTTGGTAATGCTACCGAAGCTGGTTTGTTAATAAACCTGGATAATACTGAATTAGCGGATGAAGATTGTGAAATACCCGCAGCACCCGTTGATATTTATTTAAATCTTTTGGATAAGACTGATCTGGTTATCAAGGAAAAAACTTTCTTACCATTTACAGTAGATGAAGATTATTTGATTCCATTGGATAAAACAGAATGCTCTGTTCAAATATTATTCAAAGATTCAACACAATCAGAGGATAGTGAATTTCAAAAATTGTCTGAAATTACATTGGATAAACTTACACCAGGATCATGTTTACATGTTCATCTAAAGTATTTTGCTAATGGACACCTTCATTTTACATGTTTGGATAAAGACAGTGGTAACACTAAAACTTTAACCATTGGGAGTTAATGAAGGAGCAAATTACATGTAATAATATTCTTAGGCAATTTTAGAACATATCTTGACACATTTTCGTATGTAATTCAACTTCAAAATATTTTCCACCATGAAAAGCAAAATAACTGTTAGATTCTGCTATAATATTATTTCAATTCTTCCACAGTAAAAGGTATTCAAGTTCATTAGCTGAACATACCCTTGAAAGAATTTGGCCAAATCACAAGAACTCAAAATATTCATTTATATGAAAAAATTAGCTATTTGTATGACATGTTGTGTTACTACTGTTGTGGCTAGAAGACTACTAACCAACAGTTCCATGGCAGTATCAATTGAAATATTAGAATCCCTACAAAATTCCGTTGGCATTTATTTGACTTAATTTTTAAAGCATGAATAGGAAGTTTTTATTTACCGTATTTGGCCAATACATTCTGCTAGTATACGACAGTGAATATTGCTTGACTATCTTGAGAATTCTGTTTGTTATAGTACGTATTCTGTATAAGGTTGAACTGCAATTATTTAAGCATCATCTGGTTCGTCATTTCAATTGTTATCAGTTATTTTCAATTTCAGATATTTACTTTGCAAAACTTTCACTAAAAGTAGGATAATAGATTTTATGAATCCACCTAATATTTATTATGGCTTCTAGTGAGGTATCATCTGCGAACAACATAGTGTATCAATATTATAATTGTTTAATATTGTGGAGACATAAATTTATCAGGTAATGTATTGTTATTACACAGCTATGATATGTATAAATTATGACCATTAACACTTCTAAATAACATTTTTTTTATTTGCCAATTTTTATTATTGTAAAAGTGGATATAACAAATTTAAAAGATATTAATGATTCTTTCATATTGTGATAAATGTCCACTTAAGTCAATGAAGCTACATGTTTTTAAATGTATTTTTGACTTTATTGGCCAACCTTGCCTTTATGGAATTTTGAAATATGTTTATGTATGTTCTTTAAACTCGTTTTTCAGGGAAGATCTGTGGGTGAGAAATGGCATCATTCTTGATCCTAAAATGTTGTTCTTTGATGAATGTAAGAAACCTGACATTAGAATTGACTGCCATGGATTATACATAGTCCCAGGATTCATTGATGTTCAAATAAATGGTGAGTGTTAAGAATCGATTTCCATAACAGATTGAGTCTTACATGACATCAAGGTGGTGTCTACATTTTTCTTGGTATAAGATTACTTCATCTAATATTAACTGTTTCTATTTTGTCTGTTATAAATTTTTTTGCATTTATTATTTATCTGTTTACCATGTGGCCGATATTGCTATTGAGCTGCATTTTGATATGCCAAGAATCTGATAAATATTACTCGAAAGAATGAAATTACCAGGTCAGCAATGATGGAGAAAAGGGGATATTCCCTGCGAATTCCCCTTATTTCTGCCATTTATCCTGCCCATCATCTCTACCTATCCAAGTCATAATAATCCAGCATACTTTATCATCTGGATACATAATATAATATATTTTGTTGCAGGGGGTTTTTCAGTCGACTTTTCTTCTCACGAAAATGTTGAAGAAGGAATTCAAAAAGTTGCAAAAGGTCTTCTCAGTTATGGTGTCACTTCATTCTGTCCTACTATTGTTACCTCCCCTCGTGATGTCTATCATAAGGTTAGTGGACAGTCTGTAAAAATATTCATTATGTATATTAGCCTAATGAAGTTACTACTAGAATTGTAAATGTAGCTGGTGCAAAAGTGGAATTAGTTGAAATTTACTCATGTTACGGTAACTATGTTTTCAGATGATTCCAAGGATAAAAATAAGAAATGGATCAAAAGATGGAGCTGGTGTACTGGGTGAGATATTATTATATATCACTATCAGTACAATAAAGTATGATGATGAACTTGTGTCTGAAATCAATCGATCATACATAATATTGTGAATCTAAATTTTAACATCCGACAGCACAGTCTGCTTCTCCTGTAATAACTGTTTCCCTTGGAATATGTAATTTTGGAACCTTTTCTTGTATTTTACCTTCGAACAAGGATTTTTTCAATGTGACTCTCGATTCGATTTATGTTTCTGAAATTTTCCTCTGAACGTGTTCAAATTTATTTGATGTTTTTTGACGTCATCTGCTGCTGAACTTAGCACTTATGGTGTCGTTGACACGACATGATAGTCTTTTGTGGCTTCTTGTCAATTGCAGTTGAAGCATGCCTGTTTTTTTTTGACTTTGACTTGATTTATTATTGTTTGTGTTTACAATGCTTATGCACGACGAAAATAAATTATCTGAATTTGAATATCTGAATCTGTGCCAGTTAGATAAAGTGATGGTTTGGTATCCCGCAATAGCTTCAGGAAAGCTTTGCTCTACTGGAACATTCTTGAAATAATCTCTTTTTCTTCAAATTTAGGTTTTTTACCGAGTTCAACTGCAATTTCATATTAACAATTTCATTTAATGACTGTGTTCAATATTTTTGAATGAAACTGAAGATTTACCGTACTTCAATATTATATTAACAGTGTTTGCAGACAAATTATTCTATCCAATAACTGAAGTAATATGCATATTTGTAGGCATCCACGTAGAAGGACCCTTCATAAGCAAAAAGAAAAAAGGTGCTCACCCAGAAGACTACATCATTGAGCCATCAAATGGCATTAAAACAGTTGAGGATGTGTATGGTAGCTTGGAATGTATAAAAATGTTGACTATTGCTCCTGAGCTCCCAAATGCATCAGAGGTTATAAAACAACTGGTTCAAAGAGGGATTGTTGTTTCATTAGGTAATGAAAATAATAATAATTTGTATTTTTAGTTGGTTTGCTTGGAATCATTCACTCAATGTCAATTCATTTAGGTCACTCTGTTGGAAATGTGCTACAGGCTGAGGCAGCAGTCAATAATGGTGCATCATTCATAACTCACCTTTTCAATGCTATGTTACCATTTCACCATAGGTAAGTGTCGTTAAATATTCATTGATGTTGCTATTCATTAAATAACTTGAATGATATAATTTGGTTACTGTTACCGGTAAGTAAAATATATTTTTCTTTTGTAATATTTTTTTTTCGAATGTTTACTTGATATACGATAATGCTTCATTCTGTTTGATTTTTGATTACGGTTATGCGCGAGAGGATTGCCAGACTTCTCGCCAACGTAGGTTGGTCCACGTAACCACTGGTCGGTTGCGTCCATGCTTCCGAAAACAAGCAACTGGCTAACTAATACAATGCCCGACATGGACTAGTGATCGGACGAGAGGCCGCGGTTTGCCATATGATCAAGCCACCTTATCGGCTTCCCCCACCCTCATTGGGATAAACATGTAAATCCTATTCAAATCTGATATATGTTTGTGTGTGCATTGTAGGCTCAAATTATTTCATGTTTAGAGATCCTGGCATTGTTGGACTTCTTACAAGTAGTAAAATAGCAAAGAACAGGAAAATATATTATGGAATGATAACAGATGGAATACATTCACATCCAGCAGCTTTGAGAATTGCTCATAGAGCAAATCCAGAAGGTTTGGTGTTTGAAATTCATTACGGATTCATATATATCAAGCTAGTCCTGCTACCAGTATTTGTACAAAAACTATTTTATGGGATGCATTCGAATTTGCTAATAACTTTCGTCAAGTTTTCTCAAGTACCACTTTTTAAATTAGTGGTTATATCTATGAATTGATTTTTGGTTCATTCAGTATTTATATAGTTTTTTGACCAATCACCTGACAAATCTTTTTCAGGTTTGGTTTTGGTCACTGATGCTATTTCTGCAATGGGTTTGCCACCTGGTGTCCACAAGTTAGGACAACAGAGTCTCACCATTAGTGGATTCACTGCACATCTCACAGGAACTGATACTCTTGCTGGAAGGTGATGATTTTATCTTACTGAATGTTATTTGAGTTATCATATACAAGTTTCATTGATTATGCTTAATTGCTATTATTATAGATGCAGGTGGCATAATTGCAATGCTGTAAATGCTAATTAGAGTCACTTATTTTCATATTATTATAAATTTCATATTCAGTGTCGCTACCATGCCCTATTGCATCAAACATTTCCACAAAGCAACTGGATGTTCTATGGAACAAGCAATTGAAGCTGCAACCTTGCATCCTGCAGAAAGCTTACACATTGATGATAAAAAGGGAACTTTGGAATATAGATCTGATGCTGACTTTGTAATGATTGACGAGTCTTTCAAAATTCTCAAGACATTCATAGCTGGTGAAATGGTGTACAGTTGTGATTAGATAAAAAATATTATGTCATGTTGCTATTATTTCACCGTTACTGCTTGCCAAATCATCTTTATATTGCTTCTTAGTAGCACCATGTTCCATCAATTCCACTGAGGTTATATTTTACATAATAGTGTCTGGTATTTGTGATTGATTTAAAAAAAATGTTATTATTTAGGATATGTTGAAATATGTGTAATTTCTCTCACTAGTTAAAACCAATTAATTGTTTTGACATTTTCTTGGCATTGTGCCTGAGTGTTTATGGTGGACAAAGACTGTAATAAGAATCATAAAATCACTTTCCCGAATATCGGGATCAAGCTTTCTGGTTATATTGTGAATAATATAAGAAAATGATTTTTCTTTTTGTGCAATATGACACTTGTTTAATTCGAGAGTCACTGTGATTGATTTTAATTGTTCATAATATTAATATATATGTGCCTATCATAAATGCCCTTCTCTTTGTTAGTGGTGGCAGTTTGTTTATCTTCGTTATCTTCTCAGATACCCGCGGCTCTCTAATCTAATGGACGTTTCCATAGTTTATTATGGTGCTAAGTCATGTGAAAAAAGTAGTTTGTGCATCAGTGTTGGTATAGGAACATACACACGCGGCTTTATATACGAAAAATCCAATTTACGGAAATTCTCATCGTTAAAATATTGCTTCGACCAACGTAATATTTTCTACATACGAAATGCCGAAAGACGGAAAATAAAAAAAATACTTGTAGAGTAATATTTGTTTGTTTCAGGTCAATTTAATGCAGTGCCTGAAGCAGGGACATTCCATTTTAAATATTCAAATATCGCGACTTCGAATATTGTTCTTCGTGTTTATAAGAATAACGAATATGGTGCAAATATCCTAGCGCCGCCGTCCACGTTTTGATTTAGAACATTTCACAATTGTTTCATTTTTTATCGTAATTAATCGCAGATTTGTGTGGGTTTCAATTAGCCCCCACTTAAGGTGAATTTTTTTTTGTTTCTTGCGTATTTTTTATTTTTGTAGAGCGTATAAAGTAGCTCTTTAATGTTATATATATATTATCCCGGCGTCGTTGATCACAATATCGTTCAGTTTAAGTTGACGTTATAAATTGAATAAGCCGTCTTATCGGCTTTCTTTTCTCCGGGATAAATATGTAAATAACAGTCGACATAAAATATTTAAATCAGCGCCGACTCGGACAGTCTTAGTTCTTCATTATTAATGGATGGGAATCGGAAAACTAGAAAAGGGCAAAACAAAAAAATAATAAACTCTAATTTTGAATTCTATGGGCGTGTGCTCATTTTCGCGCATTACGTTCTCTCTCAGCTGTCAACTTTTGCGCCGTCTTTTCATTATCTACACTCTACAGCAGTGGTTCTCAACTTGTGGTGCGCGGGAGCTTTTCAAGTGGTACGCAAGCAGATTTGAATTATTGTAACAATTAACCTTTCAGTTGGCTAAAATATGCCGACAACGCTTTATCTTCCTTACTGTATGTATTCGCTGAACAGCGTTTATGAAGGTTCCCCAAGCATCAGTTTCTTTGTTTATTTCCGTAACTATAACCAGTCAGCAATAAGACGCAACACGTAACAATTGCAATTTCTGCACCCAGCGCTCAGACACTTCTGTCGCTCAAACCAATGACCAGATATTCAAGCATGGTTGCAAACATTGCCTCGTTTTTGTAGTTTTGAGTGATATTTGTCAGTTTTCAGTTGTATTTCAAAAAAATAATTGTGAATTAATTAACTTAATTGTCATTATGTCTTCCGCGGTACTTTACTTTAGTTGCAGTAATCGAAATTGAATCTCGGAAATGCCGCGATAGACAAAGCTAAACTTAGCTATATCCAGGGCTGCCATCGATATGAACCCAAAAATAAGGACATCAGGGAAACATAATAACTAGAATTCGGTTGGAAACCGAAGACTTATCGATCGAAGGTTAGGGGATCCCCCAAAACAGTGGTATTACTCCGTAGTGACACCGTGTGTCCATCACTAATTAATCAATAACTCGGTAATTATACGACATATTCCATCCAAAATCAATAAGCTTCTGATCCGAGCTATGATGGATGCACATGCAAAATTTGGAGCATCTTGAACCTCTCTTTCGTGAGATATCGCGTGCATCTAATAGACAAACAAACAAATACCTATCAACATACTTACCGATCTTAAGATCGATAAAGTAACAAAGAACGAAATGTAATAAACAAAATGTATTTATACTAGTGCGACCCGTGTCTAATCATACTTTGTACTAGAAAGGATTTGCTCCAGCAGTTCTTTATTCTTATTCTTAGAAACAATCTGTTCCATCTGTTCTTCCAATCGCCCTCGCCCGCTATTGCCCACCTTGAATGAGGCGATATGGGCATGCTTTTGTCCGTTTTGCGTGTTACGCCACAACGGATGTAGGGCCACATTATAAAATACTCCCATAGCAGGTTTCTTGTGTCTTTTTTCCCATGCCAAAAAAGGAGCTTTGTCGGTGGTACGCGGCCATAGTAACAAACAGTAACGTGGTACGCGGTCCAACCACTGCTCTACAGTCTGCGCTCAGCTTAGCTTAGTAGTCCAACGCCAAAGATAAACAAACATATCGCTCGTAGTTTTTATTCGTTTTCTCTGTACATTTTCTATTTATTATGCAGTAATCTTATTCTGTCATGTTTTTGTTACGGATTTTAATAACTATTATAATTTATACAAATATTATGTCCGAGCAATGAGCATATATACAATGAGTGGAAACTTGCAAAGATTTGCTCATTTTGGTATTGTTCCCTGCATTTTTACGTCGTCCAGCTAAATGGTTCGTTGCATATTAAGAAAACGCATTGCTCGCTGCCAAAATCCCTTGCTTCAGCCGAGTAGGGTGCGAAATTGGCCGTATTGAGGTCTGTAATTCTTCAATACATATTTGGTTTTGGGTTTCGAAGTATGGTACGCTGAAAGCATACAACTATGAGCATATGCTTCTTGGGAATGCATATCTATTGGGCAGAAAACGTATCTACAGAACAGAATATGAACCAGTCGCCGAGAGGGGTGCGGTTATTTATGTATTTATTCATTGATATAACATGGGATTTACATATTTATCCATGGGAGAGGAAAGCCGGGAAGAATGCCTAAATATATAGCGAACCACGGCCTCTCACAATCATAGCTCTGTCCTCCATATGAATCACATGGCTCTGCGAGCTATTCGTTTACTTATTAAAAATACTGATTTTAACTATAAATTACTCTGGGATATCTTGCCTTTAAAAACAAAAGCCAGAAATTGGAAGAAAATCAGGGAATGAAATGTGTGTAGTGTATTATGTAATGGAGAACCTGAGTTTGTTTCACATATTTTCATGTATTGTAAATTACAAAAAATATTTATGAAGAATTTGTTTTAGATATATTAAAATTGATTAGAATACATTTTGTTATCAATATGATTCTTGCATATCATTTAATTTTAACGATCCTTTATATAGTCATATAGATACTGTTGATTTGGATGCAATTATACTTTTGTTATCAATAGTGAGAAATATTTCAGGACTGCTATTAACTATGTGAGCTATTTTTTCTGCAATGCAAAATACATCTTGCGTCTGCTATTTACTATGTGAATTAATTTTTCTGTAATGTAAAGTATTTCCATAACTGCTTTTACTATGTGGGCTGTTTTTTCGGTACTCTTGTAGTATGTGTACCAGGTTAGGTTACGATTCTCCTTATTTTTGTTCTATTAAAAGGTCGGGAATTGTCTGTGTTACACAAGTGAATATCCCCTACCGATAGAATTTAGTCCATTTACACAACTTGATATAAAATAGGCGAACAAAATTAGTTACCTTCATATTGGTACACATATTTCTGGAGCATCACTTTTTTTGTAATGTAAAATATTTAATATGTGAACCAGGGATGGCCAATACCGAATAGTTCACTATTTCGAATACATTCGAAATTATTTTTTTCGAATATGAAATTTCGAATACTTCGAAAATAAAATTCACTAATTGAAGCTTATCTAAATGTATGTAGGAATTCCCATACAATAAGCAATGGAATAACTGCTATCTACAACCTAGGTATATCACCAGGCATTTCATATTTGCAGTATGCATTTTATATACCTTGAGTCATGTTAACAGAATTAAATTAATACGGCAATAGTGGTATCGGTGATGGATTTGAATATTTGCGCAACACAAAATCATCCTAGTAAAACGCCCATACTTTTAAATATCAACCATTATCCAAATTATTTGCCAAAAAGCGGGATAAAGTACGAGTTATTTTTCCGACTTGTGACAATTTTTTCGTGAGTACAAAAATACGAATCAAAAATTTTATATATTTGGAAACTTTACCACACATTTTAGGTCCGCAGATCGCCGTTGTATGTTTGAGTAATAATACTTTTATTATTTTATAAATATGAAAAGAGGAATCAAAAACTATTTACAATCGGGTAGTTTACCACACATTCTAAGTCCACAGATCGCCGTTGTATATTAGACTTATAATAGTTTTATTATTTTGTAAATATGAATCCAAAATTAAACATAATTGGGCAGTTTACCACGTATTTCATGTCCATAAATACCCGTGGTATTTGGTGTTAATACTTTCATTATTTTCTCAATATGAAAATAGGAATCAATATTTAATAATATCGGTCAGTTTACCACACATTTTATGTCCACAGATTGTCCATACAACCATGAGCTACGTTGAATGGAATTAAATTAATACGACATGACATTTCAAATGCTGGTACCAGTCATGGATTGGATTATTTTGCGCAACAAAAAATCATCCTGGTAAAGGATCGATACTTTTAACTATCGTTATCAAAATTATTTGCCAGAAATTATTTTCTAATAAATCGACTTGTTTTTCCAACTTGTGCCAATTTATTGGATATCGTAACAATGACGGCTATAAATACCGTATTTCCCGGCTAATAAGTCCACATGGCAAATAGGACGATGTCTATTTTTAGCACTCAAAAAAGTTTTTTTTTCCATATAGGCCTCCAATAAGACTGGTAGAAAAATTGTGTCCCTGTGATATGCGCTGATAATTTTATATGTTTAGAACCAGATCATGTTAGTTTGGTAGAATCATACTCACAGAGTTAACTATTTTTAACAATTGAGCGGTAAATTTAAGTTGTAAAGCGGCAATCATTTTGGACAACCTATTAACCCGAATGTAAAAGTAATTTTGGAATGTGATAAGTACTACATTGTACGTCCACGGGTTATTTCACAGCTGTGTTTTCCTGTCCCTGTCGTGTTCTGCTGAATCGGCAAAACGAAAGAGTCACAAATAACTTTCACTCGGTGGCCATGTTTCTCTTTGAAGTAACGATGACTGGCCTGCGATTAAATATCATGATTGGCAGTCCCTAAGACCCAAATATAAGGTTACACAAATCATGCTTGAGAAGACTAATAAGCAGGCCACATAGAAATAAAATAAACATACTTTCTCAATTAGACGCCCCCCCAAAAAAAAATCAGGCCAAAAAATTAGGCCTAGAAAAGCGGTAATTGTCAATTTTTCGACGTGATGGAAATGAATTTGTAAATTAAAAGCCTTGTAGACGAATGTCGGCAATGTCCACCCACGCAAACATGCAAATGTGTCGCAACACTATGCGACATACGGTCGCACAGAATATAAACAATCAAAGTGCCGATTCTATTTCATCGTCATTACAATACGTGAGACAGCGTAAAAGGTCGTTTAAAGATTCATGTAAAACGAAACACCACGTTTACGGCGAAAAGTGGCTACTATTCGGAATTATTCGAAAATCAGCCGAAAAGGTATTCGAATACTATGATATTCGAATATTCGATTCGTTTTGGACAACCCTGATGTGAACTAATTTTTTTGGAATGCAAAATATTTTCTACAGCTTCTGTATTTTTTATATGTCACTTTTCATTTCATCGATAATACACATGGTCTGGCACATTGTTCATTCTTTGTGGAGATTTTGGTAAATTTACAGATGGAATAAGACCGACATTCAGCTTTTTTCTGTTTTACAACTGTAATACGAATTGAAGTATGTAAACCCAGTTGGTAGACACCGGAACCATGTGTACCAGGTCTACTACATACGAACTTTTCAAGCCGCACCCCCTTTTTAGAATTTGTGAAGTCTTGCGCCCCACCTCAAAATAGTTAGCTAACAATAATAAGCTACAAATAACAGTAGTAACAGTAAGGCATGAGTACGTTTTATTGGAAAAACAGTTGAAAATACATGGATGGAACGAAATAAATGACAAGTTTTGATATGTATAAAATTAGCCAAGTCCAGAGGTCAGTATTTTAAACTAATAGAGAGAGAGAGTTTATTTCGTTCGTCAAACCATGAACATATATAAATTATGATAAAAAAAAACAGATGCTCAGGTGTTTGACTGGGAGACAACGTTACAACATTTGGGGTCATCTAACAGGTTCGGTGTTTAATTCTTCAATAGCTCTCATATACCGTATTCACTATATACATTATTCACAAGAATTTTTGATTTGGAAAGTACTAAATAATCATGTTTTGTCCTAAGATCATCATTTATTCAGCTGATAAGTTGACATGTATTGCATATCAACTGCATAAAAATGGGTTAGCAAGGATACCTATTATTTGGAAAATTTGTCTACTAAAAATGAATGTGATAGGACATGGGTTTTTTATGAGCAAAGATGAGGAAAATTCTATTAATATAGCACTTTAATTATAAACATTTGATAATAGTAATGAAATCATGAGTATATTTCTTTATACACTATAATTTGAACACATCAAATTATAATACTTGATTATGACTGGCAAGTGATTTGTGGAGGATAGTGACACACATTAATACATGATCAGGATTTGACCCTTCTCCGGCAGATATATATATATATATATATATGAAATAAAGTGCTCATGTACATATCTATATTTTGGCTACAGAGCACGTATCATAGATTGAATTTTAAGGCGAAATATTCATAATATACTGAAATAGCAATGATAAAACAATAGGTTATTTTTAAATAAGTATTACCGGTACTAAAAAATAAATAAAGTGCTCATATACATATAGATATTTGGATACAGAGCAAGTATCATAGTATAAAATTCAAGGCAAAAAACTGATTAAATACCAGAATAGCAAGTATAATAAACATTAAGATACTTTTAAATGAAGTATTATTAAAAAATAAATAATGTGGTCATGTACATAGATATTTGGATACAGAGAAAGTGTCATAGAATTTAGGGCGAAATATGGATGCAAGTATGATAAACAATTTGATATTTTTATAAAAAGTGTTACTAACAAATAAAATAATAGATTATGGAGTTCCAGCAAGTGTGCTCATAACAAATAAAAAGATAGCAATTCATTTACCACAGTGAATTAAATTCATTACACATTACTACTTGCTATAACACGGCGGGCACATGATACTCATCGTGTTTTAAACTTTTTTAAAGGTTTTGCTCGCTCTCCAGAACTCTCCATTTTTTATTTGTTTGTATTGTCAGATTGTGGACTTTTCAAAATAAACTATCTCTATCTATATCAATGAATACAATATCCCAGGTCACCACTTGGCTGGTTCATATCCTGTTCTGTAGTTAAGTTTTCTGCCTAATAGATGGTATGTATTCCCAATAAGCATTACAGTATGCTCATTCGTTCACTCAATGAGTGATTTTAATTACGGTTAATATAAAATAATATATATAACATAAATAAGTTCATATTCCATTTTGCATCCATTGATTCAGTATTTATTTTGTTCAATTCCAGTAGTAATCCATACCATAATTAGGTTATTTTAATAAATGCATTGATATAAAACAAAAAAATGAAATTAGTAAATATAAAATACATATCATAAACATATAATTTCTTTTTGAAATAACGCTTTACATAAATTTTTCAATTCCCTCTCAAATGGGTTGTTTATCTATAATTCTCTATATTTTTCTACATATTATGGCCATTTTTATCTGCTTTTTGAGAAAGGCAAAATGGGGTGTTTTATTTCGAATATAATAGAATTTCTCATGGTCAAAATTTTATATCTCACTATTGATTACAAAAGTATAATTGCATCCAAATCAACAGTATCTAATATGACTATATAAAGGATCGTTGAAATTAAATAATATGCAAGAATCATATTGATAACAAAATGTATTCTAATCAATTTTTATATATCTAAAACAAAATCTTCATAAATATTTTTTGTAAATTTACAATACATGAAATATGTGGAAACAAACTCAGGTTCTCCATTACATAATACACACATTTCATTCTCTGCTATTCTTCCATTTCTGACTTTTGTTTCCAATGCAAGATATCCCAGAGAAATAGTTAAAATCAGTATTTTTAATAAGTAAACGAATAGCTCGCAGAGCCATGTGATTCATATGGAGCACAGAGCTATGATTGAGAGAGGCCGTGGTTTGCCATATGTTTAGGCATTCTTCTCGGCTTTCCTCTCCCCTTGGGATAATATATGTAAATCCCATGCGCGGCGGTGTGGCTCAACGGGCTAAGCGTTAGGAATACGCTCGCCACCGCACCTCTAATTACTTCTGCATGGTCCGCAGGTTCGAATCCCATGCAGGGATGGTTATGTGCAAGAGGATTGCTGGACTCCTCGCCGCGCATTGGGTGATTCACGTAACCGCTGGTCGGGGGTTACGGCTTCCTCCACCACAAGTCCATGCTTCCGAAACAAACAATATACTAATCCATACCCGACTTGGAATGGTACGGACGAGAGGCGCGTGGTCGCAATATGGATAAGTCGTCTATCGGCTTTCCTTTCCCCCGGGATAAATATGTAAAGTCTATCCTTATCCTCATTATCCTAATAAATACATAAATAACCGCACCCCACTGGGCGATTGGTTCATATTCTGTACTGTAGCTACGTTTTCTGTCTAATAGATATGCATTCCCAATAAGATATGCTCATAGTTGTATGCTTTTCAGCGTACCATACTTCGAAACCAAAACCAAATATGTATTGAAGAATTAAAGACCTCAATACGGCCAATTTCGCCACCCGACTCGGCTGAAGCAAGGGATTTGGCAGCGAGCAATGCGTTTTCTTAATATGCAACGAACCATTTAGCCGGACGACGTAAAAAATGCAGGGAACAATACCAAAATGAGCAAATCTTTGCAAGTTTCCACTCATGTATATATGCTCATTGTCGGGGTCCCGATCTTATGCAGTTCGGAACGGATTAGGCCATTTACAGTAATAAGCGTCTCCACTTACGGAATTTTGCTACTTACGGTTAGAAGCTACTGGAGTGGTTTTAATTTCGTAGGGTTAGAGTTACCTCTGTACTCCTAGTTTGCATTGCGAAAATGATAATCTGAATCAGAGGGACTTTTCCCATGCGCGTAGGCTTCCGGCGATCTCGGGAAGGCTCATGACAAGACTTGCTACTCATTGTGAGAAGCTGCTCAATAAATTGGCGACTTCAAAATGTCTTGTGATGTGGTGGTTGTTGGTTCTTGCAATATTTGATCAATAGCTTACGCGCCTAGACTACCATCTGTGGGAGAGACGGTTCATGGCACAAAGTACGAGGTGGTTTGGAGGAAAAGGTGCAAACAGAGCGTAGCAGCTGCAAAACTGTGCGCCAAGGTTCTTATGGTTGCGAAAGTCGGGGATGATGCCAATGGTTATGAGTACATAAAAAATATGGAAAGTCTGGGAGTCAATGTAGACCACATAACCATCAGCAAAGAAGCTTGTACAGGTGTCGCGCCTATAACAGTGGTTGATGGTGGGGCTAATAGAATCATCATCTTTCCTGGAGCCAATATGCTATTATCATCTAAGGACGTTGCCCGCGCCGCTAGTGCAATTAAGGCGGCAAAGGTTATGGTCTGTCAATTAGAGATTAATGAGGAAACAACACTGTATGCCCTGAATCTGCTAAAGAAGCGGGTTTAATGACCATCTTAAACCCAGCACCAGCCCCTTCTAATATTAGCGATGAGTTTTTCAAATATTCAGATATAATTTGCCCAAATGAAAATGAAGCTTCACTTTTGACTGGCATTGATGTTGTGGATAAAGTATCTGGCACTGCAGCGGCAGAAAAACTGGTTGAAATGGCTGTAACACCTGTGTTGTAACTCTTGGTGAAAATGGTTGTGTATTTGCAAAAGCAAATATGAAATCTCAACATGTGCCTGGCATAAAAGTTGAGGCTATAGACACAACAGGAGCTGGAGATGCCTTCATTGGGGCACTTGCTTATTTTCTATGTTATTTCAAAGACTTGGGGTTCGTAGAAATTCTTTCCAGGTCATGCAAAGTTGCTGCACAAAGTGTGACAAAGAATGGCACACAAACTAGTTACAGGTCGAAGAATCAGCTACCTGTGGCATTATTCCAATGAAACTAGCACCCAAATACCCTGTGTGAAGCTGCTAATTTCATGTAATCCGTAATTTAAATCGAGTTCATAATTGCATTCTTTGAACCTATCAACTCACTCTCCTCATATTGCCCCATTTAAATGGTGTTAGGCTTATATGAGTAAATTCTGCTATCACTTGGCTTTTCCTACCACAAGCATCCAATTGGATAGGATGGACAGGGATAAAAAGTTGCATCCAGGCACTTGCAAACCACTACGATTGTTTTCAGTCTTAGCCACCCACCAATTCAAGTCAATTACAAAAGCCAGCATTTGCTACTTCTCTTAATACTTACATAATTCTTAATCTGATCAACAGACCTGTCACAAATTATTCAAATGAATGACTCTAAATTGATATAAAGAACTTTTAATTCAGTATTTAGTCATGAAAAAAATGGAGTGCCATAATTGTATAAAATTGTGTGGTCTAATTTTAAGATATGCAAATAAATATATCATGTTGCAATATATAATGATCAATATTTTGGTTCTATTGGGGATCAGTTTAACAATCTGATCCGATAGGAATTGAGGGAACACCAATTTTGTGCTATCAAAATTGCAGTTTTGACAACATTCTGTGCTACCTGTTCCGACAAGTTCCCGTGTCATATCCCTGTATTAACAGTCCCCCACCTCAATTTGTCTAATTGTAATCTCCATACACCTACAACAAATACATTCCACAGATAAAAAGCAATATACAGATATAAATGTTATCCACAACATTGATTTTTGAACTGAAAATCAACGTACATTAATAGATTACCCAAACAAATATAAAATACTGAATCAAATCAAAGATAAAACGAGAATATCGGTCGGAGATCGAAGACTTATCGATCGAAACTGCTGTTTCTATTCATGACTCTATAGTGACACCGTGTGTCCCATCACTAATTAATTAATAACTCGCTAATTATACGACATAATTCATCCAAAATCAATAGGCTTCTGGTCCGAGATATGATGAATGCACATTCAAAATTTGGAGCAGATTCAACCTTGCCTTCGTGAGATATCGCGTGCATCTAACAGACAAACAAACAGACAAATACCTATCAACAGACTTACCGTCCTGAAGATCAATAAGTAATAATACATAAGTAAATCATGGACAACCTTTTATTTTACCCACAAATTCCACCCAGAAGTATAGCCATTTTCAATATGCTTTGTATGCAATGAATTAAGACTTTGTTGACATAGATATTAGACTTGATTTTCTATAAAAGATAAGCCAGTTGCAATAAATCTTTGGAATAAATTAGCTTTGTTTCATATTGATTGTTCCTTGCTCAGTAACTAAAGTTAACTGCTAGTGGTGTTAACATGCCTTTCCAATTATTTGTAATTGTAATAAATAATCACCAATTTTTGCCACACGCAATAAAAACGATGGTAGTTCCATACCTGTGGTCCGACACAAGCAGAAAGTTTAAAAAAGCGCAATTTTACTTATATTGAAGAAAGTAATAATGAGTATAAAATAAAAACAATTGATACCAAACATCATCAGCCACTGCATGCATACTCAGCAAAACCACATAATGATGTCATGGAGGAAATAATTAAAAAAATTATGACTGGTTTAATATGATCTCACACATAAAATCTCATTGGGGAATTTAGTATCTGAAACATGATTTTAATCTGAAAACATTTAAAAAACTACTAAAAAAATAGGTTTAACTTTCAATCAATCTTCCTTGGCATTATGTTGTGCTCCACTGCCTTGTGCTTCATTGTTGCTATTTACAGACTCTGTTGGTGCAGGGTTGGCTGTGTGACATAATTCAATCATTATTTTAATAAAGCGCATAGATTTTATATTGTGGTTCAGCAATTGACTTATTACAGCCGAATGTAGCTTTTTATTGATTACAAGTGCCAATCAAACTCGACATTACAGCACTATGTGTTTCGTGAAAGCAATTCAAGCTCGGCCAACAGCACTTGGAAAATTATTTAATATCTTCCAATTAAGTTCAATAAAAAAGGAGTAATGGAATAGTATAATGAATTTGTTTTTGAATATACTGTCAGGCTTAGTACCAGAGAATTCTCAACAATATTCAGAAATGAATAGGCCATTATGACAAATATAGATGACTATCTTTCACGAACTGTGGTATGTGTACATTAAAGATAATAAATCCCATAAATGTTTTATGTTAGTTTACATAAGTTACTAGAAAACTATATCACTATTGCATTCAAACTAGTGCAGGTCACCTAATGTAACCAAGCTGTTTAACTATTGATGCAATGATTGCGAAGCTCAGAAATGAATTATTAATGCAGAGTATCACACAGATGGCATGCAAGTTTCAGAAGATTACTCAAGTGTTATTGCTTAGTTGAAAATATTCCTCCTCACAACAGAACTCTTGTTTATAAATAAACATCTGAAGGGATGATAATGGGACAGATACTCATGATTAACAGGATTAAATCCATTGTGGTAATTAGAACCTGTCCACTCAAACTAAATGGAAGGAAGCATTAAAAATTAGTCAGGATATTGATCGAAGATCGATTACAATTAGACTAAGGTAATAAAGACCTCATGTTAGAAATAATAATCAATATAATTTGATTGACAAGCAAACTACAGTTAGAAGAAATATTTGATCGCAAGCACTTCTAAAAACTTACCAAGCTGATTAATGAAATACTTGGGATAGAACAATATCAATACTTTATTGTAATTCTATATAAAAAATAATAATAACAAATAATATTAAAGTAATGAAGACTTGGGAATGGGATATAAGGTTTGGTAATATAATTTACAGAAAAAATTGCAAACTTATAATTCAATACCTTTCTTGGATTTGGCTTTTGCTCTTCTTGCAAATATTAGCGTAATTATAGCCATAAGAGCCACTTCTGCTACGATAGCCAAGAAGGGCCAAAGTGGAGCGAGTCTGCTGCGAACCCGAAGAAGTGTTGTCGTCTGTCAAAAACATTCACACAGATCGTTATCCCTATCTTCAACAAATAACCAACCATGAGCTAGTTTTATTAATAAAAAATGTTTTAATGACAAATTATGTTCCGAAACATAATTTGCAGAACTTGGCAAATGCTAAGAAATAAGTTACCTTATGAAACCAAAATTTCTAAAGTTATCATTTTGGGGATTATTGAACTAAATAGCTGAGTAAGGTATATAGTTTTATACAATTTATTTATACGCTATTTATCTGAACAAGGCTCTGTACAAGCAGCCACTGATATGTAAGGAGCTACATTATTTTGGAAAGACCGTAATCTTCTTTTTGTTCAGCGCCATTGTCTACCCAATTTATTACACCCTAGATCAGCGATTCCCAAACTATTCCAAAAAGGAATCTTCGTGGGTCGTGAAAAGATGTAAAAGGCTTTGATTAATTATATATACTGGTTATTAGGTGGTGACTCGAATACGTAAATTTTCAAAAAAACGAAAGAAATTAAATTTAAATTCTAATCTGTGAATGTTTCCTTTTCACAATCTTCTCAAAGGAACAAAAATTTGCTACACAAAGATGACCACGTGGCTTTTTTACGCATAGCAGTTTTGAACACTGTACAGCACTTGTTATGGTGTTTCCCCGACAGGATTCAGATTTATGTTCTTTTGAAGAATAACACTATGGTTTTTTTTGAAAGAGGTCTTTTGTGTTCATTTATCAAAAACAAAATTAGAGGAAAGAAGGTAGTTTTGCGATGATAAGTCATTGCTGTGTTCTGTGTTTATCATAAAAAAAACAAAAAAAAATTAAATTAAAGTTAAGAAGTGGGTCGCCATAAGCTGTGGTAATAAATAGTGGGTCCCAACTCTAAAAAGTTTGGGAACCACTGCCCTAGATGATTCAATAGACTTCTATGTGGAAGTCAATGAAACTCTAAATCAACAAAAATTTCAAAAAATTTGTAATAAAACCAGACGATTTGCATGTAATACAGTTAACTCACATTTTTCTTTCCTGCAGTATTTTCAACTAAGCATTCATAATCCGCTCTGCCTTCCATGTCCACAGAAGCAATAGTCAATTCAGATTTGAAACCTTCAGTTTTTATCTTGTGGTTTGCTAATCTACCTCCAGATATATTGACCTTAATATAATAAACAAGGAAGATTATTTTGAAACTGTATATGCGGAAGTAGTTTGGTTCGAAACCCATTGTATTTCATTTGAATAGATAGATATAAATTCAATGTGGGAGACATTGTCTTCATAATATCAATATTCATGAAACGGATAAATAATGGTATTAAACTAAATTTTCTAGGAATAAAAAATCCTGGATTATTATAGAATATGGTACATAAAACAGAGTGTATTAACATTGAAGCAACACATAGTTTAATAATGAGGTGTAGTGACTGCACCTTCTTTTCTTTATACAGCGCCCAATAAAAATTTGGTGTTGGTGAGCTATACGATGTGCAAGTAAGAGTAACATTTTCAGCTCCCTCAATGACTGTGTGGGATTGTTCTCCGTGTCCAATAACAGGTGCACTGAGGTCTGTAAGATAATTAATAATATATTACTAGCTATAAAAATAGTGTCCAATAGTGAACAGCAGATATAAAGTACAATCAGGATGCACGGCCTTCATGGTTTTGGCATCCTCTTGAAATATATGGCATGTGGTCATATTTTGTAATCAGCACATGCAAGTAAAAAGAATCAGAAAGCTCTCCATAACGCCAATTTTCTGTATTCATAAGTTTATCTGGTTCAACAGCAGTATAGAGATATTTTATGCCTCCAATGCAATTTATTATTTATGGAGATGAATGCATATTCAATCATTATGGATTGTATAGATGACTGCAATACAATACAGCTAAAATGTATTCTTTGAAATCAAAAAATTTACTTCCAACATGAATCAAACAAACAAATTTTTAAACTTACTGTAGGCTTCAAATGTAATATTAGTAAGACTGATACAAATGTATCTGCCTACATGTTTGCTGTTAGTTATTTGAAAAATGCTGCTATCTGTTTTTTGTTCAGTACCGTTGTACAACCATGTGTACGAAGTACTCCCATTGTTCGTGCAATTCAGTTTTACAGGAGTTTCCTCTGTAGCTTTGGTTATGTGAACTGTACTGTACTCTGAAAATGAACATTGAACAATGAAATATATATAAATGTATATAGGAAAATTCAGGCCCAAAAATTAGGTTTCTCATTTGGGTTGATATCTATTTGCATGTGAAAGAGAAAAACAATTTTCAAATTTGCACAATTCTAGATAAACTCATTTAATAAACAAACGCCCTATTTGTCTCTGAAATGAGGAAATCTGGTACGATGGCAGATGCGTCAGTCGCCAGGTGACCAAAATTGAGGTGTTTTTTGCTAAAAACTTTCGAATGCTAAAGTGAATTTTTCCTTCAGTGAATCGGATTTTTTTCATTCAAAGAATCCAATGGTGACATTATTAGATCTTGCGCATCCATTTAGTTTATTGCAGAGTGCCGGTTAGCACCAAAATAAAAGCGCAGACTGATCGTGAAAGGAGGGAAATCAGGGAACTGTGCCGTTCTGTATTAGGTTTGAAATTATTAACACTGTAATAGCTTAGCAGTCAACAAGTAAAATTTACTCACCTTGTGCAATGGTGAATAAAATTAAATTAGATAAAAATATTCCAACAATAAGGCATTGAAAATTTGTCATTTTATGCATACAGTCTAAAGTAAACCAATATGCTTGAAATCTGTGGAAATAACATGGATGAGATTATGTATATTAGTAAACAATCAGCGGATATCAACTGATGAGGTGATTTGTGAGATGATGTATTGTATCTTTGATCTAATGTGATGCTGTTCATATGGCAGTCAATTCCCTTTCGTGTTTGGTCAATCTTATCGACTTATATATATCTCCATATATCTGTATATACAGATACACTTGATTCACAAATTAAATGCAATAAATATTTTAGATTCTTTAACAAAATTGTTGTTTTTATTTATTCAACTATGGTACTATCTGCATGGAAATCAAAGATGTGTTCTTCAAATATTTCTTTGCAGCTAAATTTTATACCTAGTAATTAATTAGAAGTGGATATACAACAATATTCGAACCTCTTCTTTACACTGGACTGTTTGAATGTAAACAATAACTCTGTAACTGCAGAACTGAAGTATAACAAACACAAAAGTTCAATAGGTTTGGTGAAAAATACAGAAAGTGACAATTTATAAATAGATTACTAACAAATTCAAGTCCTTTTCTGCATAACAGGCATATATTATGTATTATTTCCTGCAATATTTACCGTATTTTGTTTTACTGGGAAAATATCCCGCATTGCTGGCTTACAGCATTACTTTTTGAACTTGAAAAAAGTTTTCAAACAATTGGTCAGAATACTCTGATACTGGAATACCGGTATTACTTCGAACATTTTCAAATGCACTATTTAAATTACAATAATGAAGAAAAATTAGTCTATTACAGCTGTACAACTATAAACAAGTTTTACCATATTACACTACAGCAGTATGTTTTCCTTCTTTTAAATTTGTACTACCGTCTTACCGTATTTATGTTACCGGTATATTTTCTCATATTCATTATTACTGTATTCTGGTATTAGCTATTTTATACTCAATTTAAGTGAAAAATGTATGTAAATATCGGTACCGGTATGTACCTATAAGTACGGTACTTTACCTCGCCAAAATGCACTAATACAGTACGGTACGGTACCGGTACCGGTAACAGACTACCGTAAGCCAATGTCTGAATGTTGTAAGGCAGTAACGGCATATATTATTCCTAACCCCTACACGACTACGCCATCCACAAATTACGCCAGTATGACCTCACAACAAGTCAGAGAGCTTGTCAACCCGAAATGGAGGCGCAATTCTTACCATTGAGGTGTCTCAATGGTTCTTACCACTTCATGGCAACTCCTGCCACGAACGAACCGCGGCAGCTCTTGCCGTGGTTTTATAGCGCTATTCAGTATTCAGTAATCAGTATTAACGGCATATTCACAAATGAATGTACCAGATTTTAATTGATCATGCGGAATTATATCTACTTAAACTCTAACCCCAAATCCATCAAAACTGTATTTATAGGATAGGATAGGATTTACATATTTATCCCGGGGGAGAGGAAAGCCGATAAGACGGCTTATCCATATGGCGAACCACGGCCTCTTGTCCGGTTACCCTTCCAAGTCGGGTATGGGATTAGTTATATATTGTTTGTTTTCGGAAGCATGGACTTGGTGGTGGAGGAAGCCGTGACCGACCAGCGGTTACGTGAACCACCCAACGACGGCGAGGAGTCCAGCAATCCTCTCGCACATAACCATCCCTGCATGGGATTCGAACCTGCGAACCCACGCAGAGTAATTAGAGGTGCGGTGGCGAGCGTATTCCTAACGCTTAGCCCGTTGAGCCACACCGCCGCGCCGGTTCATAAGAAAAACGTTCCAACTTACCCAATATTTGCCACCATAAGGGACAGCCCTGTCTTTACGGCCCACCTGCCGCGGTTACGGCGGCAAAATTTTACCTGCCATTGGTTTTCAATTTGCTGCCGCGGTAACGGCAGCTCGTCATTGGTTTGTGGCAGCTAAAAAGTCAGTCGCCATCATTGAGGTGTATAGGTTTGGTCGTAGCGGCCATGGTATGGAAATACCGCTATGATTTTGCGGCCCATTTCCACAGAGCCTCTGTTTGTTTAAGCTTCGTCCAAAGTGACTATACCACTTTTTAGTCACTTTGGCTTCGTCAGTCTGCTAATCAGGTTTTGTTCGTCAATTTGTTTGGAGTTTGTTACTGTTTTATATTTTATCAAGGTAAGTTTAGCATTTTTCTTTTGCTATTTGCCTAGTGGAACAATACTGGTATCATGCGGTTTCATGAAAGTTGCGATCCGTTTGAGTTATGCAACTTTGAAACCTCATATCTCACGAACCTTATATTATATTGAGACAATCTAGATTCTAGGAGTAGGAGACTAATTATAATTATAAAATGGAGATAAAATGTCGCGATTAACGTACAGAAATCGGCAAATTGAAAAGCGTGATTTTATTTTTTGAAAAGTCTTTGAATTAAATAACAAAAACTTCGATTCGTCCTTGTTTCAACTTGGACCTTGTTTCGAATGGTATCATTAGATTGAATTTATCCTGCATCAGTAAAATTTTATAAGCTATTTTATTCAATGTTCTCCTAATCTTCACATGTCCGCTGCGCGAACTTCGAACATATTAGTGCGTCTTTGCAGCACATTGGATCTTCTGAACTAATTATTACAGTATTACTAGACTGTATTAGTGGCGAGCACCTACCGGTATTCCGGTTAAGTCGTACCGTTGCAAATTGAAATTTTTTTTTTGAAAAGTCTTTGAATTAAATAACAAAAACTTCGATTCGTCCTTGTTTCAACTTGGACATTGTTTCGAATGGTATCATTAGATTAGAGAGAAGATAGAGAGAGAATTTATTATTTCGTCAACCAGAAAACACATAATATAAAATATAATAATAACAAAATAAGTGAAACAAAAGTTTTCGGTATGATTGGGAGGTAACGATACGACCAGTTACGGTCATCTGAGTCAGTTACCACCCAATACAACACATGAATAAATACATAAATTGACAAAGGTTCTTTTTTATTTAACTCTCAGTTTATAGAGAACTATTTACACTATTTACAAAACGAGGATAAATCTGATCAAAACGAGGATAAATTTTGGATTCATCTAATCAGGGTTGGGAATTTATTGTGAAAAATGACACATTTATAACAGTAACATAATGTGGTTTTTGTTTTAAATTAATTTATTGTTAGAAAAAGAGGAGTGCGTTTCCAAAATAGATACTTAATTCTAAATGAGCCTATATATGAGAATCAATTAGTACATCATTTTAACACAATGAAAAAATAAAATAAATACTACAATAGTACATAAATAGACATATGCAAATTTAAGCAGATATGATTTATTAAAGAAAAAGATGAGACAGTTACAATAGTCCATAAACCATTTCATTTCTTGCAATAATTCATAGTCTACCCCAAACGTATACTTTGGTGGTAGTAGTATAAAAAAAATGGTCAAATCTATCAAGATATCGCATATCGATAAATTTTAATCACACTCACAGTTAATTAAATAATCCATAACAACCGCTTAACAGTAATTGAAAATGTAATTATATTAAGGAGCATCATATGAATTTCAAAAGTCACTTAGCGGAGCAGTTTTGGGTTACTAGGGTGGTATAATACCAGACCTAATGTTGTGCATAGATAGGATTGCAGAAAATGAATGAAAATGTTTGCAGAATGATAAATGATAATACATGAGATATATATAAAACAGTGGATTAATTTGGTTTCCCCCGAACGTAAACTTTGGTGGTAGGAGTATCAAAAATTGCCAAATTTATTAATTTATTGCAATATCGATAAATGTGATTAAATGATTAAATAAACCATAACAACCACATAATGGTAATTGAAACAGTAATTATATAATATCAACCTATTGTTGTGCATAGGTGGGATATCAGAAAATGATTAGAATTGTTTGCAGAATAATAAATGACAGGACATGAAGTATACATGAAACGGTGGATTAATTTGGCAGGATGGACCAAGAATAATATACACAAGTACACTATAATCTAATTGTAGGGCCAAAAGAGGCCAGTTTCCAGCCATTGTAGCATGAACCGCAATTAAGGAGTGGAGGAATATATTAGAATGTAGCAAGTGAGTTTTATGATTAAAGAATAAAAAATTTATATAACAATTATATTAATACAATTAAACAAGTTATGAATATCAATTTTATAGGAGACAAACCATGAATTCTTGAATCGTCAAAAGTTAACTGGTTGTTATAATGAAATGGTATTGTGATTCACATTCAACAGTGCATGCTTTGTTAACTATAACATATGAGATTTAATATGAAACTCACAATATGAAATTCTGATTACACTACACATCTAATTATTAAAATGAATTAAGAATACTGGATTGTATAATGAAATTCATTTAGGTTCTCACCTTCAGATTTACCCAGTTAGCCCAGGTCAGTAACTACAGAAAAGCATAATAACCACATATTTAAAATTTGCACATGTATGTGTACATCTCAGGAATGTCTAAGCCACTATGTAAATATATATGATGCCATACATGAAGAGCATGTAGCAAGTATTGATAAATCTTGAACCTTGGTTTGGAAAGAAGAATAGAGTGAATAAATATCACAAAATGCTACAAAATTGTATCCAACATAATTTTAAGATCTAGCTAGGTTTCAAAACATATTGAATTGCAATTTGTTAGCCATATAGTTGGACTATACCATGGCACATACAGGGTGGCCCAAAAGTAGGTATACAGTTATTAAATTAATAACTATGAACTATCAGGCACTAGTCATATGTGTAAATCCACTAAACCAATACATGGAGAACAAGTTAGAATAAGCATATTAGACACATGTCCACATCAGTATCCCATTGAAATTGGAGAACTTAAGCTTTGCAGTTAATATTTGGATATGATGTATTTCATAAACTCAAATTTAAATTTTTTGTAGGAGAATGTTTTGAGAATGTCTGGGATATCATTCCAAATTTTAGGGCCTATAAATTTGATAGAATTTTGAGCAAATTTTGAATTTGTTCGTGAAATAAAAAATGCTCCCTTAGAAGCGGAACGAGTGCCATAAGAATGTACAGAACTACATTCATTAAAATACAAGTCAAAGGCCTCTGGCAACATACTATGCCTGAATTGAAACATTAATTTAGCAATTTCATAGATATAAACATCATTTAAGTTTAGGAGGTTCATACGCTTGTAAATGGGGCTCATACTATGATGCAAGGGAGTATTGATCATAACCCGAAGAGCTCTATTTTGTAATACAGTTATAGCATTAAGTCTAGTTTTATCAGCGGAACCCCATGCCACAATTCCATACTGTAGGTGCAAATAAAAAAGAGAAAAGTAAACAGTTCGCATGATTTTTTTAGGAATCAAATTTTTTATCCTTGTCATTATTCCTACAGACATAGATAGTTTCAATTTCAGGGAGTTGATGTGTCGGTCCCATTTAAGCTTGTTATCTATGAATATTCCAAGGTATTTAACTGCGTCATGCACTTTTAGTCTAACACCACTTAGAGTAAAATCAGGACAATGTGGATACTTGATATTTTTTATTATAGGGATGATTTATTAGTAGTACCTGTGTTTTCACAAGATTTATAGTTAACTTATTAGATTTCATCCAATTAGAAATATTTTGTAAGTTTATTTTGACTAGATTGGACAAATCAAAGATACTGGAAGATATTGACGTTATGCTGGTGTCATCAGCGAAAAGTTTGAATATTCCTGAGTTACAGTTAACTACATCATTTATATAAACAAGAAAAAGGGTTGGGCCGAGAACTGAGCCCTGGGGCACGCCAACAGAAACAAGTTCATGAGGTGATTCATTGGCAGAGACAGTGACAAATTGATTTCGACCGTGCAGGTAACTAGAAAATAGTTTACTCACAGTACCGCGGATCCCATAATGTTTCAATTTGCTTATAAGTATTTTGTGATCAACTGTGTCGAACGCTTTTTTTAAATCCAAAAATATACTACAGCCAACCAAACCCTTATCAACGATTTCATAATATTTAGTAATTATATCTAAAATTGCATGTGTAGTCGAGTGATGATTTCGAAAGCCAAATTGATCGCTATTAATAATAGAGTGTTTATTAAGGAAATTTTGGAGTCGACTAAGCATCAACTTTTCAAAAACAATAGAGAGGCATGAAAGTATAGAGATGGGTCGATAATTGGATACATTATTTTTTTTTCCAGATTTATAAACGGGAACAACTCTGGCAACCTTAAGATGATCTGGAAATATACCAAAAGAAACAGAGTAATTGAATAGTTTGCAGAGAACTGGACTAATTGTACTGTACTAATTGTACTGAATTTATCCTGCATCAGTAAAATTTTATAAGCTATTTTATTCAATGTTCTCCAATCTCCAAATCTTTACATGTCCGCTGCGCGAACTTCTGTTAAACAACGAGGTTCCCTAATTACTTCGTTACGCAGCGACGTTTCGCAATTACGTTGCAACGTAGCAACTCTGCGTTCTTCATGAAAAACACATATCGCTTTCCCTCGCGAGTGTGAAACGTCATTAACGTAAAGCAGGGATCTCCAACACATTTTTCAGACATAAACAAAACTTGTGAAGCTTCAGTGAAAGCAAGCTTTGCCATTAGTGAGATGATTGCGAAATAGTCGCGTTCTTTCGTTGAATGAAGCTTCATTAAAAGATGTATGTAGGAGGCCTGTGAAGTAACAGCAGCATTATTTTTGTTTCAACAATTGAAGTTTAAAAATCAGCCTTTCGCTCACGACTTACAGACGAACGTTTGCGTGCTGTCTTTTTACTAGCAAACCAACGCAAAATTAGGCCAACATCGAGTCTTTCATCGCTACAAAACGGTGCCAAATATCCAGCACAAGTAAATGAATATGTTTCATGTCTCGTTTTGTGGAAGATACAAGTATAATTTCAACAAATATATTCAGATTCCTTTTTGTTATTTTTTTTTTGTATCAATTTTGTACCTAATTTGTTGCTTTGTGGCCCGCGTCGCCGATAAATTTCATGAAGTGGCCCGTGAGGTATTTTGAGTTGGAGACCCCTGATCCAAAACAGAAAAGCAGGTATGATTTGAAAGGGTATTGTGATACCTGTTCACACCATGTCGAACGTTTAAAGTCTGCGTTTTGCATTAATCATTCCAGAAGCTGATGAAATGTCCAAATTTTCTCGATTTAACGAGCTGTTGCAACAGTTGCTCCAAAAATTATAGAATATAAACGGCCTCATGGCTAGCCCATTGTGCGGCCTAATGAATTTCATCGAAGTGTACAAGTTGTACATTATAACGTACAAAACTTGAAGACCAATCGCCGCGTCTGATGTTACAGCACCTATCAACTTATGTTTCGATTTATTTGCGTCGGAAAATGTAAAATAATTACCAGGTGATCTAGCGACGCCATCACGTCTTCCACGTTCTCGTTGATAAAACTTGATTGTAATTGTAATGATATCCAACAATGAAAAATTAGCCCTGATGTTTGCGGCGGAACCCTATAAAGAAATTGCGAAAGTCTCACCGGTGTTCAAAGCTGGGGACAAAGAATGTGCAACCAACTATCGTCCCATTCCAGTTCTTCCAACCATGACCATAGTATTCGAAAAACTTTTACACACCAGACTAACACAATTCATAGATCGAAATAGAATCATAAATAAATCTCAATTTGGCTTTCAAATGAAGCACTCTACCAATCATGCTATACTAGATATGATAACTTACTTTTATGACAAACTTGAGAAAAAAGAACATATCGGCGCAATATTCCTCGACCTTAAAAAGGCGTTCGATACTGTTGACCATCACATACTAGTTAGAAAGCTGAGCCATTATGGCATTCGTGGTCATGCATCAAAATTCTTCCAGAGCTATTTAAGCTCACGTCAGCAATATGTCAAAGTAGGGACAAATTGCTTCACATTCTCAACTGTGCAATGCAGAATTCCACAGGGCACAATAATCGGCCCATTAATGTTCGTATTATTCGTCAACGATCTTCCTCATGCCACCAAATTATTGGTCAAACTCTTCGCTGACGATACCGGATTATTCGGTAGTTCAGTTTCACCAAACAACTTGGAAATGCACATGAAATCTGAAATGCAAAAAATTGCAATTTGGATGACTATCAATAAATCCAAATCAAAATCCCTTTTCATTAACTCCAATAGAAATGACAGAAATAGGTTCTTGTTCCAAATTTCCATTAATGGCATTTTACTTGATAATGTGGACTCCTACAAATACTTGGGCATACACATTGATAATCAGTTAAAATGGGCAACACACATCAACTACATCGCGGGCAAGCTAGGTAAAACAGCAGGTATATTATTCAAACTTGAAAAATTTCTCACCACATCGGCTTTGCGATTAGTTTATTTCTCACTCTTTCAGTCATATCTTCAGTATGGTATTGTAGCATGGGGAAGCGCATCCTCCAACTTACTTCGCAGATTGGAGGTGTTGCAAAATAAACCGATCAGAGCTATAGGTGATGCACCCTTACGATCCAGACTTGACCCCTTGTACCATAAATTTAAAACAATGAAACTTTGCCACGTCCATAAATTCGAGGTATTGAAACTTATCCACCAGTACTTTGACGGCAAACTTCCAAGAGCATTTGTAGGTTATTTCACCAAGCAAACTAGCGTTCATTCGTATTGCACAAGATCGGCTTCAAAAGGTGCCTTCCATGTACCGAGATACACATCATGTAGAACGCAGAAATCCATCAAATACATTGGTGTGAAGTTATGGAACAATATATCAGGTACCCTAAGATCACTGTCTTATCATGGTTTCAAAAGAGAACTAAAAATGAAGTACATTAGTGACTACCTTTCTTTGAATTGATAATTAACCACTACCGGTACCTGCATCGGTACTGCTTTTCTTTGCAACTAACCCCCAAGCCCTATTTTTCTGACCAAACATTCGATTCTGTCTATCCACGCTCTGTTCTGCGGGAAAATCAGATGTGCGTGGAGTCTGACTTTCTGAGAATCAAATTTTTAATTGCTTGCTTACGCCATGCCGGTGATCAGGATAATGGCTGATCCCGTTTGAGTAATTAATACAGTATATTATTTTCCTTTCTATATATCTGATGAATTTATACAGTGCATTAAGTTGCATCGTTGGTTGTGGATTTTAAGAAACATGCTCATAACTGTAATGTTTTGCTTTTACAAACCACTCATGAAACATATTTGTTAATATTTTGTTTTCCGAAAATGCTTCTTTTTTTTCTTATAATATTTTATGAAGTGTTTTGGTGTTTCATTAACTTTTTGTGCTCACTAACCTGAATCAGCGAGCTTTTAAGGTGTCGCTACCCGAAGACCTTATTAGGTCCCTCGCGACTCCTATTGTGCATATTGTGTTTGAAATGTTTTTTTCTTATGATACGTTTATTTTGTGCTGACGAATAAAATGATGATTGATTGATTGACGCGGGGTCCAATTTTTTTGGTTTGGCCATTTAGTTACGTCCCATAATCAGATACCAAATGTATATATCATGTTCCTTGTTGTTTAGGAATTAATATCTATATTTGATCAATCGTTACTTAACTGTTTTTCGGTCTTACACACATGGTAAAAATTTGAAAATTGATAGTTTTACCCAATATTTATGACACCCATTCAAAAAGCAATCGCATTCTTGCGCGAAGTATAAACTATATATCGCGCCAATATTAATGTCTCCAATAATATATGTTCGCCAGTTACTTTTCTGACAGATAAAGTTGACTGCTTGAAATATAATTTCCCATCTTCCCACAATGTCGCTTTTTAAATTTTGAAACGTTTTCCCAATATAAGGTTAAATATTCACGCAAAAGAGGCGACAAATAAAATTATTGAAAAACAGTATGCTAGTCGACTAGGTACTAGATGCTAGGTACAAATACTACGGGAGTCACCTGGCTACTGTCAAGATTTATTGTTGTCAGCATTAGACCGAGGTTCTATGCACACAATAAACTTGATCCAAATATTCATCAGCCGGACGAACAGCCTTTATTAAACAGTATACAGTAAGATTCAGCACGAAATAATTACACAGCAGTCTTTGTCTGGGACAGCAGTCCCAGACAAAGAAGCCCGTGACAAGCGTATTCAGGCTTCACGTCACTTCTCAATTATTGCGTCATAATCACTTTAATGGAAGGCAACGTAAACAAGTCTGTAAATCATGATACAACATCTCCCTTTCTTTTTAAAGTGATTAATATGACGCATTATTTATATTCAGTATTAACATTTAAAACGTCATAAACATATAATCAAATCCTAGTCCCTATCTAGCTACTAGAGGGTAGACAGCATACAAGCTTTGAGGATTATTCTGCCTCGATGTAAAGCTTGTCACCTATCTAGAAATTACATTTCTTCAATGTATCGTCTTGCCGATCGACGTATTCTATTTGACCTCCTTACACTAGGCTGTGTAGGATGTACGTTATTGTCTCTTGAAGAATTATGATTCTCATCTTCTTCTCTGGACGATATATGTGTTGGTTCAAAAACATCTTCTGCATCCCGAGTATCTCCTAACATTCTTCTAGTCATACGTCGATTTCTCCGAACTGTACCTTTCGGAGTCTCAATCAAAACTGATTTTGGAGCAAAGTGTCGGCTTAACACTCTCCCTTCAGTTCTCAAATCTGGTATCCAAACTCTGTCGCCCGGAGATAAGTCATCGCCCTGAACAACTCTGTGTCGACGATTATAATCATTTGTCATTTTACTCCTATATTCTCTCTCCCTCTGACAGAGTTTAGAGTATTCCGGAACTTTCGGTATAAGTTCGTCTGGATGGCATGGTACTCTAGTTTTCAGCTTTCTGCCCATACTCAGTTGTGAAGGCGAATATCCATTATGCAATGGAGTATTTCGATATGTCAGCAGTGCGAGATATTCATCATCGCACTTATTCAGAATTGCCTTCATCGTCTGGACAGCTGTTTCAGTTTCACCATTTGACTGACTATATTTCGGTGATGACGTAATGTGCTCAAAGTTCCATTCCTTAGCAAATTCTTTAAACAGTCTTGAATCAAACTGTGGACCATTGTCTGAAAATAATACGTCACAAATACCATGGCGACAAAATATCTTCCTCATTTTCAATACAGTTTCTGCTGTATCAACATTCTTGGTTACGATGCAAATTTCTATATCGCGAGAATAATAATCAAATGCTAGAAGATAGTTGTTTCCCTTATAATAGAAAAAATCAGCGCCAATTCGTGACCATGGTCTCTTTGGAAATTCTGTTCCTCTCATTGGTTCGATTCGATCTCGTCTATATTTCTCACAAAGATTGCAGTTTCTCACAACTTTTTCAATATCACGAGACAGTCCTGGCCACCAAACAGAATTCTTCGCATGTTCACGCGATTTACTCACACCTTGATGTGCATCATGTAAATATCTCAATATGTCTGTTCGGAGTACTTCTGGAATCACAAGCCTGTTTCCCTTCATCAAAAGATCATCATGTATGCTGAAGTTCACTCGCTCGTTCCAGTACTTATTCACCGGACCGTACACTGTAAATTTTTTTGTAATTTTACAGCCATTTCTTTGTAAAAAATACGACCGTTTGGCAGTATTTTGGACGAGCAACTATTTATACGTATTTTTACATCATCGTGCTGTAATTTCACCGCATGTACGATGTAAAATTACATATACTGTTTAGGCTTGCACGTAATTTACGGATTTACGGAATTACGGAATTATTTCGAGTTACGGAAGGGAAGTTACGAATTACGTAAAGTCGTAATTATTGGTCGAGCGCTTTCGCGATTGAAACGAGCTCTCTTCAGAGCAGTCAATTCCGTCGATTGTAAAAAATTAAAGTTTAAGTAAAAGAAGTTAGAGTTCCGGTATTCGCAGCCGTTTCTCTCTCTCTTGTTAGGCAGATGGGGAAGGCATAACACGTCATTTACTAACCTATTATCAACTTATCTAGGATGGCCAATGTACATATTAACCGTAGATAAAGAATAGAATTGTGTTGAGACCGATGGACGTCAACACACCTGGTTTCAACTTCTTCGGGTGAAATGACTAAAGAATGTAAGAGATCAACTTATAAAACATGGTCTTTTTGTAAATGCCGTGATAATTAATGTCGCGCTTATCAAACAGCAATATAAAGACGGAAGAGAAATTGCGTAATGAACCGACGCAACTTAGTCTTTTCGGCATCGGTAAAGCGATTGAGACGGCAGATATACAACAATACGACGGGATTCCCGGGGTTTTTTCTGCGCGAGATCCATTTTCTATTACAAAATCTTGATGTTCTGTTACCGATTTTATCGTTATATATCTGTCCGGACTTGGCATTTCTCAATATGTTTTTCACAATGCCTCGCAATATGTCGGCCAAATATGATTACCTGTCTTTACCAAATGCGGCAACTTATTTTGATTTATCGTCGACTCGATTACCACCGGCACTCGACCAAACTTGTGTCAATCTTGGCAAATAGGATTGTCGACTTGAGTTAGAAAAATAAATTAATATTTTCATGAGTGCAAAATAAATGTCACAAAATGCATTGTTTTGCGACATAACTTTGTATTTTCGGAGAAGGCATGTCATATAAGTACGGTATTTTAAATAATGCGCAAATAATTAATATTTGATCTAAATTTATTGCAAATAATGTTATAACTTTTAGGCCGCGAAATGATTTAATGTAGAATGAAGCATGGAATTCGGAATATCGTCAATAAGTCGGCATCAATAATTATCATAAAATGCTAACTAAGTAGTAAAGTCGGATATTGTAGAAAACGGTGAAATAACAAGTCTTCGTCGCGAGGCAAGCGAAAGTATAATCAAACGAGAGAATACGCTTGTAGTTGATTAATAAATTAGCAACCCGGAATTTTTATTTAATACGAAAGTCGTATTAATACGTTAATACGATTTTACAAAAGTGAACTATCGTTTCCTAAATATATTACCAGTGTTGGTAATGATAAAATTGATCGCATAAAATTTGGTGATAAAGTGGATAAAAAAAATCAAAGCTAATACAAAAGATAAAAATCAGAATAAAATTATTTTGAATTCACTTCTTGATATTTGTCTTTAACATCTGTAGCCGGCGTGTAGTACTGCCGGGAATATGAAAACCAAACTCCGATGTCCCATTCGGAATAGAAGTGGATTAAATTGGTTGTTATGATAGGTTTAAATGTGTGAAAAAAATATCGCAATTACGGGGTCATTACGTAATCGATTTGGCCGTAATTACGGAATTGATTTTTGTCAATTACGTGCAAGCCTAATACTGTTGCATAATCATAAAACAAACATACGGTTGTTAAATATACAATGAATTATACGTATCATACAAAAACAGCTGTACTGAAAACAACTACCACTTGGTAGTAATCAAAAGCATAGAGTTCAGAAAACAGTCTTCCACATATTATCAGCGAAATGCATGCCAATGAAAAATACATTGGTGCGACGAATTTGGTCCCAAACTGATACGAATTTGGTTTCGCGTCATAAGGCGCAAGTCATACAACGCTACGTAAACCTGCGGCTTCGTATGTCATCGCGACATAGAATTTATAGCTTACGATAAAAATAATCTTAATATTGCACTTAATATTATATCGAGTGGAAGGATATTTTATTTTAGGCATCATGTAAACTGGTGATTAAACTGACAAAACTCATTCTCAAACGGACTCTACTTGCAGTCACGACTCCAACTACTGGTGAATCTAGTAGATTCACGCTGTATCGCTACATATTTTATCGGACCAAAGTATATGCAAATGTTTCGGTTAATGTAATTTTGAAATGAGTGGCATATTTTTTTAATATAACTATTTGCTCAATGCTCTTAACTTTTAGAAATATCGCATATCGCAACAGATTCGAATTTGAATTCTCTGACTCCGCCAAAGCCTGACGTACGTTCCCGCCAAAATGGCTGTTTAGTGCAGATTCCAGTTTCGCTTGGAAGCAGCTTGGCTTGGTTCGACTGCTCGACTCTTAAAACAATTCAAGTAGCGTAGTTTGAAAGTGTGAACCTGTATATTTTACACTATGGTGCCTGAAGGTTGTAAAACAGAAAGTTTGGAGAAAGAAATACCGTTACCTAGGTTGTAAACTCTGGACTACTGGTGCTGTAGACCAGTGGTCGGCAACCTTTTTCAAGTGACGGACCGGTAAAGCTTGACCAAACGTTTGGCGGACCACCTTTATACAAACGAACTAAGCCTATGCAATAAATTATACGCATTAGGAAATTTATGTTGACAATATACTAAAAACGACGGTGATGCTATTTAATGTGATGTCTGTATTTGTTTGATGGCCATTAACTGTTCCCATATTCGAGATATGGTCGACATTGACACACGTAACGTGTTTCTTACTTCCAGCCTATTTCGTTTTTGTAGTTATCAATATTGAAAACCAGTCCTCACATTAAGATTTCGGGAAGGTTAACAATGCCTTCATCGCTTTGTTATAATATGATGAGAGACATTCTTAAACGGGCGTAGAGAAAACAATAGACCCAGCATTATTGCGACATACTGACATGGCAATTGTTTATGAAATCAGACATGTTGCTCAATAGCAATGGTCGGCAACCACCGGGCCGCGGCCCGTCGCCGGTCCGCGGAAAGGTTACTGCCGGTCCGCAGAGAGGTGACACAAAAATGGACAAGGCCGTAATAAAACCTCTACAATCTAACCACAAACCCTAGGACTAAAAAAACAGCACCCAACAGTAAACCAGACAAACACAACACCAGGGGTCGGAAAAAATGCGGCCGGCGAGCTAATTTGTTGCGGACCTTGAACGACCCGACATTTAATAAATAAAACAAAAACTAATCCCAAATTTATTATTGTATCTACACGGATTTATGTGGTGACAAATGCTGCTGTACGGCGCTTCTTATGTAACAAGTAGCGTCAGTTGTATGTCGTTCGAGTTAATTTTGATTTTTACAATTTGAAAATGTCTAGAAAACGGAGCGAGGCGGGTCGAGCATTCCGAAGTGCTTGAACGGAATTTTTTTTTGTGCATTTCAAAACCGGTTTGCTCGTTATGCCCAGATAACATCGCAGTTGTTAAGGGTTTCAATGTTAAACTCGTTACGAAACGAGTCGTCGAAAATTCGACCCCGAGAACCCGGGACTGCGCCACAGCTCATCTGTGCGACAGCGCAAAACGTGTAATGTGCACGTTCGGAAGAACATATGGCCTTGAGCAGCTTTATCTAAAGTGCATTACACTTAAATTAAATTTCGTACTCGCTTGTCAGATCATCATTTGGACGACGAGTTGCCATAAAAACATCATCTTTCACATTGATAATAAGTACATAAAAACAATGTATTGTTGAATAATAAAAAAAAAACGCCACAGATACATCTCCTTCGGACAGGCTTTCAACATAGCAATAGGAGGGTAGCAATGCGAATGCGCCATAATTTGAAGTTTAATTATGGTCGCGATTGTTTGAAGGCGGAAATATTGCGGCCCGCGCACTACCAGAAATGTTTATATTTGGCCCGCAAGTACATGAAGTTTGCCGACCACTGCATAACACTATTGAGCAGTGGTCGGCAACCTTTTTCAAGTGACGGATCGGTAAAGCTTGACCAAACATTTGGCGGACCACCTTTATACAAAGGAACTAAGCCTATGCAATAAATTATACGCATTATGAAATTTATGTTGACAATATACTAAAATCGACGGTGATGCTATTTAATGTGATGTCTGTATTTGTTTGATGGCCATTAACTGTTCCCATATTCGAGATATGGTCGACATTGACACACGTAACGTGTTTCTTACTTCCAGCCTATTGCGTTTTGTAGTTATCAATATTAAAAACCAGGCCACACATTAAAATTTCGGGAAATTTAACAATGCCTGTATCGTTTTGTTGGAGAGATCTTAGTCGGACTGATGAGAGACATTAAAACAATAGACCCAGCATTATTGCGACATACTGACATGGCAATTGTTTATGAAATCAGACATGTTGCTCAATAGTGTTATGCAGTGGTCGGCAAACTTCATGTACTTGCGGGCCAAATATAAACATTTCTGGTAGTGCGCGGGCCGCAATATTTCCGCCTTCAAACAATCGCGACCATAATTAAACTTCAAATTATGGCGCATTCGCATTGCTACCCTCCTATTGCTATGTTGAAAGCCTGTCCGAAGGAGATGTATCTGTGGCGTTTTTTTTTTATTATTCAACAATACATTGTTTTTATGTACTTATTATCAATGTGAAAGATGATGTTTTTATGGCAACTCGTCGTCCAAATGATGATCTGACAAGCGAGTACGAAATTTAATTTAAGTGTAATGCACTTTAGATAAAGCTGCTCAAGGCCATATGTTCTTCCGAACGTGCACATTACACGTTTTGCGCTGTCGCACAGATGAGCTGTGGCGCAGTCCCGGGTCTCGGGGTCGAATTTTCGACGACTCGTTTCGTAATGAGTTTAACATTGAAACCCTTAACAACTGCGATGCTAACTGGGCATAACGAGCAAACCGGTTTTGGAATGCACAAAAAAAAAAATTCCGTTCAAGCACTTCGGAATGCTCGACCCGCCTCGCTCCGTTTTCCAGACATTTTCAAATTTTAAAAATCAATATTAACTCGAACGACATACAACTGACGCTACTTGTTACATAAGAAGCGCCGTACAGCAGCACTTGTCACCACATAAATCCGTCTAGAGACAATGATAAATTTGGGATTAGTTTTTGTTTTATTTATTAAATGTCGGGTCGTTCAAGGGCCGCAACAAATTAGCTCGCGGGCCGCATTTTTCCGACCCTTGGTGTTGTGTTTGTCTGGTTTACTGTTGGGTGCTGTTTTTTAGTCCTCGGGTTTGTGGTTAGATTGTAGAGGTTTTATTACGGCTTTGTCCGTTTTTGTGTCACCTCTTTGCGGACCGGCAGTAACCTTTCCGCGGACCGGCGACGGGCCGCGGCCCGGTGGTTGCCAACCACTGGTCTACACCAGTGGTTGGCAACCTATTTTGAGTGACGGACCGGTAAAGCCTGACCAAAACTTTGGCGGACCACCTTCACACAAATGAACTAAGTTTATGTGATAAATTACACGCATCGGAAAATTTACGTAAACACCATATTCTAAAACAAAGGTGATGCTATTTAATGCGAGATCTGCGTTTGTTTGCTGGCTGGCTTAACTGTTCCTAATTCGGCGATATGGTCGACAGTGATACACGTGAGGTGTTTTTTATTTACATCGCTTTTGTATAGTTGTGAATATTGAAATCCCGGCATCACATAAATACGATGTCGGGAAAGATAGCAATGCCTGTGAAGCTATGTCTGGGTATTCATTTAAGAGTTTTGACCAAACAACCGCAATCATTTTAAATTTCAATCAACTGCCTTGTATGAAACAAATCTCATAGTTGATTCGCAAGGGTTATTTACAAAGGGATTTTGTATCCATTCCTTTAAAATTCTTGGGTCGTTTGCGCTAGGAAAGTAGCGTTCAAACGCTTCTATAACAAAATCCAAGTTAGCTACGATCCAGCAGTCACGTTGTTAGCGAGAATGATTTTGTTTGAGAGATTTAATTCGAACTGATGTAAGACTTCTGTTACAGACGCAGCATTATTGCGACATACTGACATGGCAATTGGTTGGGAAGTCAATCCTGTTGCGTTGCGTTTGTCTGGTTTGCTGTTTTTTAGTCGTGGAGATTGTGGTTGCTAAATTGTAAAAGTATTATTGAGACCTTGTACGTTTAAGGTTACTATTCTGCGGACCGGTAGTAACCTTTTCGCGGACCGGCGATGGGCCGCGGCCCGGTGGTTGCCGACCACTGGTCTACACCAATGCAGAAAGGTCTCTGATTTTTCCTATTTTCCAAAAGAAAAATTTCAGACAATTCTTATAATGTTAGCCTAATCCTTAAAAAGCAGAAATGGATTTACAATAGCCTACTAGCAGACTGGTAAAATTGTAATTTCAGTTACCCTGCGATTTGAAATGACTGATTCGAGATTTGAACTAATCTAAAATAAAATGCATCTGGAAAGACATCTCTAGTGAAACTGCAAGATTAGCTACTGCAGTAGACAGTCATGAACTTTTCATGCCTATATTATTTTTATACATCTTCAATCTGCTGATTCTTTTCAGTTCGAAAGTGGAAAAACATATCCTGCCATTCACCTCTGAGGCATTTACATTTGGCCCTTATCAAGTCTGTCATTGTATCAACACTACAAACGAATTTCTGGAAAGGTGAGGAACTGGTGTTTCTTTTTTCGATGGCAATGGTATGGACTTAACTGTTTAATAAATCAAATCATTGATTATAAATATGAGCATTTCATATTACTGTATATGGTGAGCCTCCTTGCACTAAGTTAATATTGATATAATTGCGAGCTTCAGAAAGGATCTATAATAAATTTAACTTCTTCTAAGCATTGAATATAATATGAATCTACCACTTTACTAATGGGATCACTTTACCCCAGCAGATCAAGTTATAACATATGTATATATGTTGACTTCCCACTCAACTTCTTGTTTGCATTTTATACCAGCTATGCCATTTTTTTCAGCAGAATTGCCAGTACCAGCCAGTGAAATCAAAAAGTACAAGAAAAAGTGACAGGGGCCACTGCAATGTTGAATCTATTGGATGGTTTCCAGTTTCCACCTATTTGAAGAGATGAAATGAACTATTTTGCTGGCGGAGGCAATCACTTCTCGAGTGTATTTGATACTATTTCGTTGCTGATATTTGATCACATATTTTATTAAAAGTGATTTCTTTTCAATTGTATTTCATTTCTTCAGATGGTGGCGTGAGGGTTAATCGAGTGACTTTGCGGATGTTGTTTAGTTTTACAACTTCTTCTTGTAGTTAAGGCTAGCATCGCTATGGCTGTACAAATCGGAGACATCCAACCCACTGCTTTTGCCTAGTACATACATTTGGTTGTAAAATTACAACCGCTTGCAACGATCCAATACATCTGAAGCTGTATATGGTGTTTACAACGAAGTGCATGGCATCGCTGCTGCCCCGCGTTTGGTTGTAAATCGCGCTTAATATTTTTTACAGTGTATCATTGCTTTTTGTTTTCCGGCCATCCAAATTTAACATTGTGCATCACAACTTTTATAATGTCGTCTTTCTTCGATTCACGTCTAATTTCATCCAATCTGAAGCAGGCAAGTTAACCATTATGGATTGAACATAACAGTCCGTATCAGCTAACAACTGATCATCTTTGTCAAACTCTTGGATATGTCCTCGGGACAATGCGTCAGCGGTAATAGCATCTTACCCGGAACGTGCACAATTGTAAAATCATATTTCATTAACCTCATTCGAAATCTTTGTACTCGAATGGGTAGCTCATCTATCACCTTCGTAGATAACAGTGGTACAAGAGGTTTGTGGTCTGTCTCAATTTTCAGACTATTCAATCCTATCAGCATATTTTGCCAATGTTCCATAGACCACGTAATAGCTAACGCCTCTTTCTCAATCTGAGCGTATCTGGACTCTGTTTCAGTCATAGATCTACTTGCATAAGCGACAAGTCTGAGCTCCCCTGAAGCTTGCTTATGAAGCATAACAGCTCCAAGTCCATATCCGCTTGCGTCAGCAGATACAACGGTTTCCAACTCTGGATTGTACATTGCAAGTATTCGATCTGACGTTAGTTCCTCCTTTACTTTCTCAAATGCCTTTTCCTGTATGGGGTCCCAACACCAAGCATTCTTTTTCTTCAAAAGATCACGTAAAGGTTTCGTATGTTCTGACAAATCAGGAGTAAATTTCATCAACTTTTTCGCCTTCCCCAAAAATCGCCTGAGCGCTGAAACATCAGTAGGAGTAGGAAAATCGTTTATGGCTTTCACTTTTTCGGGATCTTTACAAATTCCTTTCTCCCCAATTATTTGGCCTGAATATTCAAGTTTCGTAGCATGAAACACGCATTTATCAATGTTTAGCGTCATACCCTCTTCTTGGAGTCGATCCAGAAGTTTTTTCAACATTCATCATGCTTCACAGCATCAGTACTCAAAATTATGTCATCCATGTGACAAGTCGTATTGGAAAATCCTTCCAAAATGTGGTTCATTCGTTTTTGATACAATTCTGGGGCGGATGAAATTCCATAAGGCAGCCTCCGGAACATGAATCTCCCAAATGGCGTAATAAACGTCGTCAGTTTACGACTCTCTGGGTCAAGCTCGATTTGGTAAAATCCGGAATTCGCATCCAACTTGGTGTACACTGAAACTTTCGCTATTCTTCCCAAAGTGTGTTCTACGGTGGGCATTGTGTATATTTCACGTTTTACCGCTTCATTAAGCTTGGTCAAATCAACGCACATTCTAATTTCACCACTGGGTTTTGGTACGACTACAATCGGCGCGCACCACTCACTTGGTTCGTCGATGGCTTCGATAACATCTAGTTTCACCAAGCAGTTTATTTCAGCCTCTACTTTTCCTAGTAGGGGTATCGGAATTCTACGAGGTGTTGTCACACAAAAAGGCTTCGCTTCATCTTTTAAGCGAATTGTATGTTCACCTTCCAATTTACCTAGTCTATTGAATAATTTGGGATATGCTCTCAACACATCCTCCTTAGTGCGGAGTGAAGGTACGTTTTCTCGTGAGCCTTTCTTGCACTCAAACTATTTTTACAGTATATGTACTTTTGACCTCATGTATCAAACCCAATTTCTGTATGGCTGGTATCCCCAACCCAATAGGAGTTTCGATGCTTTTCCTACCACCTATACTTTTTCGGTGACCTCGATTTTGTCATCGTCATCTCCACACAGCCCACTACGTCTAGTTTGAAACCACCAGCTCCGAATAATTCTTTATCGGTCACTGTTATTTCACCAGAAGCCGTTTTATACACATTTCCGGGCATCACCGAAACTTGTGCACCAGTATCTATGCACCAAACAAGTTCTTCATTTTCGGTTCCAGCTTTTAGTTTAATAAACCACCCTGGATCATTAGAAAAATTCCTTTTCATACGCTTTCTGCGTTTTCTAGATCGATTTATAGTACCCCCAAAATCAGATTTCGGCTTGCTAGGGCCTTGTATTTCCCCAACATTAATCGGAATTCTGCTTTGACAAACAGAATAAAAATGATCAACCTTGTGGTATTTGTTGCATTTCTTGTGAGCAGCTGGGCAGTTATCTTTTCCGGCATGGTGCTTGTAATTGCAATATTGGCATTTGGTCTTGCTCTGGTCAGTGCTTATCCTAGCCCGACCTCGATATTTCTTGAATTTCTTCATTGGTCTTTGTCCTCTTCTTTCGTCTTCTTCTATGGCATCAATCATCGCTGTCTTTGTTTCTTTTAGTTCTCGACTGGTTGCTTCTTTCAGGGATAAAATTTGTATCACTTTTTTTAACTTAAGTGAGGCACCTGCATCATATAATTTCAGTTTTGTGGCATCGTCGCGACAAGAAAACGTCAGCTTATCGCGTATTGCTTCATTCACAAAATCGGCAGGAAACTTACACTCTTGCGCCATAAGACGGATTGCATTCACCCAGGCATCGAAATTCTGGTCAGGCTCCCGATTTAATTTCAACCATAATTTCTCACGCAACATAAGCTGCGGATCACGTTTTGTGAAATATTCATCAAATTTCTTGATCACGGTTTCATAGTCATCGCGATCTTCTGCAGGCAAAACATCGCCGCCGCTTGGATTTGGCCTTTCCGCGAAAAATGTAAAATTTGCAAAAATGTCTATTCCCTGATCGCCAATATGGTTTAAAAGAAGTCCAATCTTTTGTTTTGCCGGTTTCTCCGACATACCAGTAGCTTGTAGATAAATTCGGAATTTTCGATTTCATTTTTCCCATGTCTGCGATGGATTTCCGCAAGCTTTTATATCAAGGCTATCTGGAGGATTTACACAACCTTCGGCCATTACGCTTTGGGTCTTCGTAGCCTAATTCGTCTTCCCAAAGTATTGTAATTATCTTACTATAATCTCTAGTGCCTTCAGTCGCGCGATAACTCTTAAATCACTGCGACGCTGTAAAATCGTTGTCCTACGATTTCAAGTTTTAAAATCGTCCGGTAGTCTTCAGGATTGCTTTGATCAGCATCCCACTTCTGACACCATGTCGAGATTTATTGTTGTCAGCATTAGACCGAGGTTCTATGCACACAATAAACTTGATCCAAATATTCATCAGCCGGACGAACGGCCTTTATTAAACAGTATACAGTAAGATTCAGCACGATATAATTACACAGCCAAATGGACAGCAGTCCCAGACAAAGAAGCCCGTGACAAGCGTATTCAGGCCTCACGTCACTTCTCAATTATTGTGTCATAATCACTTTAATGGAAGGCAACGTAAACAAGTCTGTAAATCATGATACAACAGCTACTCCCCGAACTCGTGATAGAACTAAAATAGGGAAAATGGGAGTAAAATTATCGCCTAACCCTAACCTGGTACAGATACTACGTTCCGGTGTCCGCCATCTTGGTTCACATACTTCAGGAGTACCGAAAAACCTTGTCATTGCATTTTAAGACTCCACAGCGTCCCGATGCGGCTTGCACACACCACGAGATAAATATATAAATCCTATCCCAAGTACCAGATCGATTTCCTTGTGTACTTCCGTAGCAATGGTCAGTCAGAATAAGTCAACGATGACGTAACAATAGCAATACGCACAGCTGCTCAGACACATCTTTCACCCAGACAGATATCAAAAAATAGTTTTAAACATTGCCTCCTTTTTTCGCAGTTTTGCGTGTTATTTGTCAGTTTTGAGTTTATAATAATTAATTATAAATTGAACAATTACATTAAATAATTCAATTGTATGGTGACAACTTCTGAAAAACTGTATTTTAGTTGCAATAAGTAAAAACTAGTCCCGCAGAAGTTCTGATAGACGAGGCCAAAATTCCCTATCAGAGAGAGAAAGATTTTTATTTCCACAAAACAATGTTAAAAAGACAATATTACAGATTTTTATCGAAATACAGTGCAGTGAATAATTTAAACATTGAGTTGTGTAGGTCAGTATGCAAGACCTGTGCAGGTCACCGAGGCTTCTGATCATTTTGTTCACACTGTGATTAAGCTTTCATAATGAAATCATTGGATTGTGACAGAATAAAATTAAAAAAATAAATACACAGAAAATGAGTCGGCAAATATTTTTCTTTCTTTCCATTGTTCAACACTATATAATCATGTTTTCTTAAGAAGCTCAGGAAGCATGTGTAAAATTATAAATTATATTAATGGTATAAAAGCTAATATTGATAAAATTAAACTACGCTGATATACAATCAGAAGTTGAAAATGTAGTGCACTACAGATAAATAATTATAAATGTTTCACTTATTGGACACGTAGTGGACATAACGATCGTTTCAATATTATGTTGTTCTTGTTCTTTGACACGTTTTTAAAAAGTCGCTTTTCTCTTCGAATACTGGACCAATTGCTTTGAAATTTTCAGTGGTTGAAGATAGAATTTTTCTCCAGAAGGCTATTACTTTTTTTTTTTGCTATGACGTCATCAAAATTATTGCCATTGGGTGGCGCTACGTGTCCCTATATTTGAGCATAGCTCTCTTGTTAATTATAGTATTATTCGATCAGAGGGCAATTATTCTGAATATTTTGTGAGCAAAAGTTTTTTCAATTTTTTAGAAAACAATGATGGAAAACAATTTTTTATTTCAAACGGGACATAACCCTAAACCTGGATACCATTATATTTTAAGGATTTTTCCCAATATCAGTGGATTCCCGAAGTGCGAAATAAAACCTAGTTTTCTTCGATCTAGTCTAGTGCCATATTTATGTGCATCTTTTAGATGTGTAAAATAGTTCCCAATAGCAAGGGGAGGAAACCATTTTCATGGCGATGCATAAATTTTGCTATTTCCAGAGTATGCATTTCTGAGAGCTGTAGAATTGTATGCTGACAGTAAATTTGAAGGTTGGTCGCGCGACTATTCTCAGCAAATGATATACATCTTAGTAGTTTGTAGAACTTAGACTGACTGTAATGAAGGGTTAGATGCTGATCACCCAACTAAGAATTCCATATTGCGAGCGGCACGTGGCTAAAAAAAATATTTAATAGAAATGATGGTTTGAACATGTAAAATAGTTTGTAGAGGCCAACTCGCTAAAACACTCCAAAATAAGTATAATTTTGCAATAACGAAGATCCATTTATAGGCTAGCATGGATGGTGTAGGACAGAGTTTTCCCAAACTAGGGTCCGCGGTCCACTGGAGGACGACTACATAGATGTCCGCCGCAGTATCAAGTGTCTGAAATATACATATTTTAACGTCTATCCACTGTTACATTCGTAAACAAGATAAAGACGATCCTTGCTTTTAGCGTCTGTGAGGTAGACCTTCGTTACAGAGCTACATGGTCGGTATCAATTGACTGTATGCGTTATTGAGTTATCACCAGTCGAGAACTTGTGCCACTTTGCCTAGGTCATTTGAGCCCCGTTGCTGCAAGAAAGAGGCGTTAAACCATGTTAATTGTGTGAGACTATCCAAGTATACACAATTAAATTGGTTCCACATGTTCAATTAGTACCGACAGTCCGTTTATCGAGGTGCAAATAGATCATAATTTTATCGAATTGTCGTTAGCCTACCAATATTTAACGTTAGTATGTATGAATCCAGACTTTCATAAGTTTTATTTCGTCAAAATATATGTGGTGTGACGCATCGTGCTAAGCGTTAGGAATACGCTCACCACCGCATCTCCGATTACCCTTCGTGGGTTCGCAGGTTCGAATCCCATGCGGGGACGATCATGTGCGAGAGGATTGCTAGACTCCTCGCGTCCGCAGGGTGGTTCACGTAACCGCTGGTCGGTTAGGGCTTCCTCTGCCATCAAGTCCATGCTTCCGAAAACAAACAACTGGCTAACTAATCCCATACCCGACCTGGACTGGTAAACGGACGAGAGGCCATGGTTCGCCATATGATTAGGCCGTCTTATCGGCTTTCCTCTCCCCCGGGATAAATATGTAAAATCCTATCCTATCCTATCCTAAAACTGTATAGAATCGTTGCCATAGAGTCCGACCTACGAGTTTCCTTGTCACAAATTGATCCGTCACAACAATGTCATTTGTGTTGTTGTGTTCTAATTCCAGATGAAACATTATTCTTCCTCGTTGGTTAGGCACATTAATTGATAGGCATAGGATGGGGGTCCGTAAAGAATAAGATTCACAAACAGGGGTCCGCATCCCAAAAAGTTTGGGAAACTCTGGTTTAGGAAACCACAACTATGCTTGAATATCTGTGTGAGAAAGAATGGTTGTACAAATTTCAATTGTTTATATCGCCGTCAACATATCGCTGATCGGTAATTGTTACGAAACAAGAGAGCAATGCTCAAAATATATGGACATGTCTACGTCAAAGAGTCTAATTACTGACGAAATTGCCATAACTTTAATATTTATTGTCGAAATATTACCCAAATTTTCTCAATGACCTTGAGGGAGTCGCCTGATCTGACCTACAATGCCTAATTGGGTCCAATGCTCTGACCATTTTATAGTCAAATCTAAAAAAAAAACGGGTCAACTCTCCAACAATAGGTCTGTTTTTATATCGTCTGGATACATTAACTGTGAATCTAATACATAATAGTATATATGGGGCGACAGCTGATTCTGATGACCGTGTATGGTCATATCGCCCAGTCTATATCGAACAACTTTGTTAATACTGTACTGTACATCAGGGGTGTGCAACCTGCGACCCGCGGGCCAAATGCGGCCCTCAAGGAAATATTGTGCGGATCACGAAATGAATTTTGAATAGACACAGGACGAGTCCACAATTAGTCGGATTCGGCGAATCCGAGTAAAAAAGTAATGGACTCGAGTCGAATCTTTTGAGCTCGTTGATTCATAATCAAAACGTGAAAAATACGTTTTTGACTTTATTGAAACAATGCGCGCGTGTACGACAGCCTTTTTTCACATCATCTTGTCAAATTGAGTCATAGGTAGCTGTGGAACTATTTTAGGGGTATATTTCACTCATTTTTGGCCACAATATAACATTTTAAGCGTCTATTTAATTAACACAGCTGGATTATAATGTCGCGTTTCGTGACCATCTGGAACCAAAAAAGCCGAAATTCGTCAATGCCAATATGAACTAAAATAGCTCCCCGTCCCCGTAAATTTTGCCGTAGGCCGTACAATATGGAGATATAGAAGAAGTTATATTACTGAGTTGCATTTAATTATTTCTCACGTTCAGACACATTCTCACCACGTTTCAATTTTTGTCCCTGATCCACAGTGTATATATAGCTATATACATATAACTTTTGTTTTCACATATATTTTGAAAGTTTCAATATAAAGTGCTAATTATTATCGTCAAAAACTCATTGAAATTAGTTGAGTAACTTAGTTGTCAACTAATTAAGTCTCATTTTTGGAGACATCGCATCAATTTCCACCACATTATTCTAACCGCTTTAGGGTATATTTTATTTAACGAATGCCGCCCCTCTTTGAAAACAGATATGTATAACATTGAAGTTACTTAAGAATCCTCTATGTTTGTTTTGGAAACTTGTAAAAATATTATCTTACTAGTTCAAGTTTTGCCACTATTCATCTTCCAGTGTGAATCTTAATCACATCAGTGCATATGGTGGGAGCTGACGATATGGTCGTATCGCTCCCTCCTGTCCATGCCGAAGCAATTTTATTGCTGTTGCTATTTTATTGATGACTGCATTTTTTGGCTGATGAAACAATAAATCTCTATCTCTCCCAAGTATCGCTTGAGCAGAAGGTAGAGATTTGCCACTTGATTAGATCATACAATGTCATAAAATTTCAGGTACAAATACTACGGGAGTCACTTGGCTAGTCCCGAACTCGTAATATAACTAAAATAAGGAAAATTGGAATAAAATTATGGACTAACCCTAACCTGGTGCTATACTATCCGCCACATCTTGGTTCACATCAGTAATCAGTAATTTATTTTATCACCAAGAAATACACACTGTACATACAGAACGAGATAAGAAAAGAGAGGAAAATAATGCATTTCAGGGTGAAAGGGGACGCGATAAACCAGCATTGGTTATCGAGCAACGACACCTATGAATAGTCTAACATTGGGTTATACAAGAACAAAAATCGAACTAAATACAGTACTAAAGTGAGGAGTCGGACGCCAAAATACTAACATTGACAGAAATATGTTTAAAAAGACCGGATATTTCCGGACTCACTAAGCAAACATACTTTTGAAGTACCCAATTTTGAACAATTAAAAAGCCTTAATTTTTAAAAAGATAAAAAAAAATAACGATATATGGTTATACATATTGATCTGCTCAACAACGAATCCAATAATTATTATATTTCATTTTTATATCTCTTTTATCATTAACTTTTTTATCACCCATTTCAAAAATTTTGAAGATGTCATAATATATTTTATATATCTTTGAAAGCCCGAATATGACTTCATAATGCATCCAACGTTGTTTTATGACGTCATTGTTAAAATTGGGCCTTACAACTGGTATAGCCTTAGAATCCGGCCACCACAGTTCATAGCCATGGGCGTTCCATGAGCCAATCCTTGTTTACGGAACAATGACTTTACAGCAACAAACCACTTTACAGTAATAGGTTTACGGCGACCTAATAAATAATATTTAACCAGTCGCTCAGATCAAACATGTTATGCAATAACTCTTTTTACGTTCTATTCTCACTCAAGCATATTTTTAACGTTCTAAATATTGACTTGTTTTAGTGTATTTTTGGATTTTTTGCTGGTGTTTTTCTTCTCCCAAAATTCAAATAGGATATTTCATATTTTTCCCCGGGAGAGACAAAAGAACCACGAAATGATTTAATATGAAATGACAAATTCGTAAATTATTTGCATGTATGTGTGATTCGATTGCATTTTGAAATACGCCACTCGCCGTATGCTTGATATGTGGATGGCGAGCAAATTAATCTCCTCATTTTGCTGTATTCATCCGCATATATTTCACTTAGGTTGCCAGATTTTCTTATGGTATTCAACAACAAGAGTGACGATGCTTGACCAAATATTATATTTGATAGTGCCAAAATAGGTAAAAAATATATACATAAGGCACAATCTGTATTAGTTTATTTTTATCCAAACAAAAACGGAACTGCGTTCAAATACGCTGACCAGCAACCGAAAAGTACCACGTTGTAAACTGACAACAACACATGAAAGGCGGAAATGACGTTTACCCTGCGGCCATTAAGAAGAACACAAGTTTCTTTCTTTGTGAGACAGTGGTGCGAAATCGCTTTGAGTTTCTGCGTCGTCTTCTTGTTCACCTATGTTGTCTTTAAAGTATATCTCCTTTTTTGTAACAAATAATTGGTCTGCAGGTTTATACTTGGAATAAAATTGATTAAACATAAAGAAAATATGAGCCGAGATAGCAGAGTGTATGTAGGAAATCTTCCTCCTGATGTCAGAGAAAAGGATGTTGAAGACCTTTTTCACAAATATGGAGATATAAAATTTGTTGAATTGAAAAACAGGAAAGGGCCACCATTTGCATTTGTCGAATTTAATGATTCCAGGTACGGTACATATGGCTGTATGTATAGTCTACTACCGTACCAGAATACCGGTACCGGTACCGGTACTGATTTATGAACTTTTTTATTATTATTTTAACTATGCTTTCATACTGCAGTACTGTATTATAATCATGCTGTATTAGGTTTTTGAAGTATTTAATTTTGCAAAATCGGTCAGTTTTACTACTTTTGCTAGTATAGTAGTATGCATACAATCAAGTCGATAATATTTCATGAATTTATTTACCAGGGATGCAGAAGATGCAATCAGAGGGAGGAACGGATATGATTATGATGGTTATCGACTTAGAGTTGAATACCCTAGAGGCAGTGGGCCGCCAATGCGTGGTGGCGGCCACTTTATGGGTGGTGGCGGCGGCGGCGGTGGTGGAAGATATGAACCTGGTAGAGGCAGAGGAGGACCTCCATCCAAAAGGACAAACCACAGAGTTATGATCTCGGGTATATATTCGTTGCTTTGTACCTTTTATCACATAAACAAGAAGTTTTTCATTTGTAGAGAATCCAGTCTTATTCAGGTTTATGTTTATATTCAGGTTTGCCGCCTACTGGAAGTTGGCAAGACATAAAAGATCATATGAGAGAAGCTGGTGATGTTTGTTATGCAGATGTATTCAGGGATGGAACTGGAATTGTTGAATTTGTCAACAGAGAAGATGTGAAGTTTGCTGTCAAACATCTGGATGATACCAAATTCAAGTCTCACGAAGTAATTAGATCACAAATATATTTATTAAAGTCTCTCAAGCATATTTTACTAATGGTGTTTTTGTTTTTAGGGAGAAGTTGCATACATCAGGGTCAAAGTTGACTCTTCAGCTGGTGGTGGTGGTGGTTCTAGATCACGCTCAAGATCCCGATCTCGGTCCAACAGTCGAGGTCGTAGAAGCTTTGGAGCTCGTGGGGGTGGTGGTGGAGGAGGACGGTCTTCACCTTCTTACAGCCCTCGCCGTCGATCTTATTCTCGCTCACCAAAACGACGTCGTTCTGCGTCTTACTCTCCTCGTCGTTCTCGATCAAGATCTCGATGATTTTAAATCAAGTTTTTATTTTTGTATATCAGTACAAACTGCCCAGTTAAAGTTTGATAGCATGTAAAAACATGCTGCGCATTTTATGAAAATGCAAAGCAAATTGTGTATACAAAATAATTCTCGTACCAAGCTGAATAATATTTTTTTGTTAATTTGTCTAGAACTTGGATCATCCATTACTGGAGATCATCTTGTCTAAAGAATATAGGATATCGTGAAATGGAATCACATGTCTTCAATTGGACTAGGATACTGAAATCCCTGGATTTTGGAATTTGAATATGATTGTAGCATTGGGAGGCCCGGAAGGAATTTATTTTATTTGATGTTTGTGGTTCCCTATCCAATCATTCTTATTAATTCTATTTTTGTTTGAAATTGACAGATCTTTGGATCCTTTTTGCGAATGGGAATTTGCCGCTAGTTGGATAGGATACCATTTCTTTGGATGGATTAGGATCCACGTTTGAAATTATGGAATCTGGAGAAAAAGGATTCTTTAAACTGTGCGCATAGGATTTGGATTTCTTAACGTATTAGGAATGAAAACATTTTTCGAAATTTAAGTATTGAAGGCTTCGTTTTGGAAATAGCATCATTGTTTCGGAATTTGGAGCTTCTGTGGAAAATGCTGGAATTTGTTATCAGTAGGTATTTGGTCGCTTTGAAACTAGTGCTAATCCCTAAGCGGTAATTTTAAAGTTATGGATTTAAAAAGTAGTGTTTTTATTTGTGAGATTTCTAATAAACCAACTGAGGCTGAAGTTTGCGACTTTTGAATTAGGATTGTTGCTGTGTACCTGGAACAATTGAGCCATGACTTGGGTCTATAAATTTTGCTATATTATTTTGAAATGTGGCAGTCTTCCTCTATTTGAACCTTTCTGGCATTTATGTGAAAATCCCATCACAATGAGTGCGCAGAGTACTGGGATACATTCTCGCGTTGAAAATTGGTGCAAGCTGTACTTGTTTGATTCCAGTCAGCGTTTGTAATATGTTTTTGTATGCGATTTATCCTTCAATCTCACTCCAGGCAGATTTGTGGTAAGTACACTGAAAGGAGCTGTATTTTATGTATAAAACCGGACGACAAGAAGAGTAGGATTACACAACAGTTGTGGAAATTACTAGAGTTTCCTAACATAAAATCCCTTGGAAAAGTTGAAATTGACTCTTGTTTCTCAAAATTGCTAGACGATTACACAATCATAGAAAAAGTTGCTTGTAGTTTTTTTCAGCATAAGATTTCCAAATTCACATAAGCAAGTTCGAATTTATACAATCGATGGTTTAGTCACAGAAGATCGCAACATCGGTGCAAAAGTCTGATTTGCGCAGTTTCTCATCGGGTATATATATTTTGTCAGGTCTAACTTCGGGACAAATTCACTTACTTTTCCTGATTCAAATGTCACATAATTTAGATACATCATTTCCGAGGTTGCGTAGAGCAAGGCTACTCAACTGGCGGTCCGAATCCGGACATTTCGGGTATTCGATTAGAACCGCGCCTAATTCTTTATTTTGAATCATTAGCCCCACTTTTGAAGTTTCCTTTTATAGATTTGAATATATATGAAAAGAACTATAACAACGTAATGAACAATCTTGATTACCTAATAATCATTAGCCGACCGAGGAGGCGCGTGTTTAAGGATGCCGAAATATAATTTCTGGAAAGACCGGACCCAATAATTTTGAAGTTTTGTATGGTAAAAATAGTTGAGTAGCCCTGGCGTAGAAAATTAAAATCAGTGGTTTCAAACATTACGTAATCATTAATGGGGCCAGACTACATTACGATGATAATTTACATATTCTTCATCACAGTATTTCATGCCACACTTCTAGTAAACTCTCTATAGGTAAACCAATTACCCGCATTTGCTGAATGTCCGTTCTCTTATATACCGTGGTCATACCAGGACTTGATGAAAAATTGTTTTCTGAAATAAGGAATACATTTGTTAGGACTGGAAATGGTATTAAGCGTCATTTTGTGGCGCAAGATCACGGTAGCATCAATCTTATCCCGAGTTGGTCCGCATTTAAATTAGTTTTGTAGACAAGTTTTTGTCCCACCCCATCGCTTTGTTGTAAGATTTTCATTGCTCATTTTTTATATTCGAACAAAAGCAAACTTTCTTGTTGATTGCATCGCTAACATGGAACTTCTCATAATCTGTTAATGATGCTGAGAGTTTATGGCGCTTTCGTTTTAGAAATAGCAGAAGGTAGAACAATCAACTCGGCCCCGAGCCAGTCGGATTACTAGGCCAATTTAATCGTTAAACGAACTGTTTCACGTAAATATATTAATCAGACGCTAACATTTGTGTAATTTCGATAAACTGAAGTCTGGTACAACCTAACTCAAACAATGTGATTTTCTGAGAATATCGTGACTAGGGCTGGGAATGGTTAACCTATTTTGGGATGGTTAACAGTTACCATTTATATTAACCTTTAACTGACATCTCAGGTACAAATCATCTTTATAATGTACAATTTCTCTCATGTGGCGTTTAATTCAAAAGAATATCACTAACTGCATTGGTAAGAACCCAATAAATGTGCAAAATAATTGAAGTACAAAGATTGCTGATTATGGAAATTTGACAATGATAAAGTCAGAATCAGTTTACGGTAAAAACATATTGTTCACGATTTTTTATTGCAAAATCGTCTATTCAATGTGCGCAGTTGATGTTGTTTTTCTTTATGATATCTCAAAGTAGAATTTGCACATCGAATATCGAAAATTTATCACATAAATGACATTTATTAACGGAATCGGGTTTCACTAAAATACTTCCAGATGTCCGAAGCACACGAGATATCGGGTTAAGATCACACGAAATTGCTTTGTAATCATTGTCACGTAATAAACTAAAATTATTACGTCAAACGTCACGCTGCGGTTAAACGGTTAATTTTATCCGTTAATTTTAATTTTATCCGTTAAAGCAGGAATTCTCAAACTTTTGGTATTGCGGAGCCCTTGAAAAGTTGAATATTATTCGCGGAGCCCCAAAATAAATGTTAAAATTGTTACTTTCAGATTAATATTCCTGGGCAAGTTAAAAGTACTTTACTTATTTAAAATGCTGAACCTTTTTTAATAGAATTAACACAAGCCATAAATGAATCTGAATTTTATACTAAAACTGTAAATTTGACACTTGACGAACATATTAATAAATTAGGGGTCGAATCTTTTCTCTTTTGACATTTTTGGAAGACTTAACAGGCCGCTAATAACGTGCGCGATTTTATTTTGTTACAATCGCCGATTTTTTTCGTCAGCATGGCGTGTTTTGAACATCTTTACGCCGGTGTTTATTCTCCTTAAATCAAAAATTTCCCTCGGCATATACATGTATTGTTACACAATGACGACGTTAATTCCTTTTTTGTTCTCGTGGGAAATTATGAGTTCAATGTGAAAAACATGTTACCATATAATAGTCATCTGCGACGAAATGTTAAAAATTATAATTAATAAAGAGATAAATCCGCAACTCAAATTTCTTGATTGAAAAACGGCATTCTAAAATATTAAAACTGAAACTTAAAATGGAAGATCATACGTTTGGCTTCAGCAGACTCACCTCAGATTGAAAACGCTTTTATAGACATTGTAAATCACAAAATTTGGTGTTATGTTAGGTTTTCGTCGTAGTAACTGCGAAATCGAAACACAGTCAATTGTGCGCGCGATGTGCCTTTTTTTCCCATTCTGAAACTACCGACGAAGCCGCACGCAATCAATTGTGCACGCGATCCACGATGTACCTTTTTTCATTCTGAAACTACCGACGGAGCCGAATGCAATAAAATAAATTCTAATTGTTCGTATTTTGCCCAGACATTGTGATTTTTTAAACGGCGATATCCTGCTTAAAAATAATCTCAGGTGCGAAAGAACAAATCAAGTTTGACAAATCCCAAGATCGCGAAAATACGACTCCACTTTATTTATTGTTGGCAGTTTATTACATATTTTATGTTATTTTAGAATAGTATTCTTTCATTTAAGTAATACTAATACTAATCTCGAATCAAACTTGAGTAACGATGATCACAATTACATTATAACGAAGAGACACGTTGAATGCTCGCATCGGTCATGGATTGAATATTTTACGCAACAGAAATCTCGTTATCCGTTTTTTTAATGGCGAAGAATGTTGCGCGGAAATTTCCGATTCCAATTTTGAACCACCTCCCTCTTAAGAATCCTGGATGCGCTCCTGCTTATAAATAATGTCATTTTTAATTCAGCCTCTTTACCATATTTCGAGGCTGTATTGTTGTCAGATTTTATCAACGCTGTTATTGCTTCTTTCAACAGTTACAAAATTTTGAGTCAGTATTTCGAAGAGTAATCGAATAGCTCGCGGAGCCCCTGGGGTTCTCTCGCGGAGCCCTGGGGCTCCGTACGGAGCACTTTGAGAACCTATGCGTTAAAGTGTTTTGGTGATGGTCATGTTCTCGTTACTGTTGTTGCTGTGTAGTGCAACGCTAGCCTACTTGCTGAAGGCGAATGCGTTATTTTGTTTGTTTCCCGGTAACATTGTTAGCGAACGTATCACATGTAAAATCAATTCTAATTGGTCCTGTTCAGACGTTCACGTGAATGTAACATTGAACAACGTCTTTTTAAAGATGTTATCTAAAGAAACGCATGCTTGGATTTCAATGCTTGTAAAAAGGGCAGACTATTTCATTATTCTTTATTCCTTTTGCTGTACATAAAAAAAATCTAAATTCGGATCGTTAGACTCTATTCCTTTCTATTTTTCGAACTTAACCCGATATTTAGACAGAGAATATGCGCATGAACTCTTGATGACAATATAGTCAATAAAAACAGTCGGGATGGCTTTAAATGTCGGCTTATGTAGTAAAATCGGAAACTGTAAAGTTACAGGATCACAGCTAAGGGGTCGTGTTTTTGGAGGCGTCCCGCTTTGAAGTCAAAAAAATATGGTAACCCTATATATAGGGGTAAGGAAGTTAAAATCGGTACACGAATGTAAAATAAAACAATATGATCATTAATAACGTACATTTCTAAGTATTTGTCGACGATTTTCGCTATCGTATTTACTGCAATATACAATAATATTTCTAATTACTACAGCACAGTTCGTTTCCTATACACAGTTTATTATCATCCGTTTGTCATCACACAAAGGTTTGCCTTATTTTCACCTCAGATTATATAATATTCGATAACTAGTTCATTTTGTCAGGCCCTTTAGTTTTGTCCAATAATCATAGTTTGTCCGTTTCCTTGGCCGCATTGTTGTTCGGTGGTGATTTGAATTGGTTTATAGCCTTTTCATCTTTCTTATCGTTGTCGTCAATTGGTAAAGTGTGGTGTGGTCAAGTGTGGAACTTAGATAAATTATATTAAAACTGGGTAGTCATTGGGAAATGGCTCAAGAACTTCTAGTTGGCTTAGTGTAACAATTGTTGCATATATCATTCCTGACCCCCACCTGACTTTGTCATCCATTACGTCACTGCAACGTCACAATCACGAAATAGAGCTGATCACCCGTAATGGTGCCTGCGAGTAGGCTATGTTAACAAACTCAATGAGTCCAGCGACCTCCCTACCACACACACGATATCACTCTAAGCAAGGTTTTAGACAAGCAGAAACGCGCATATTAATTTAAGTTCACGGCGCTATGGATGTAGTTTCGTACCTCAATAACTTCTAGTAGGCTTAGCGCAACAATGTTTTTGTATTTATTGAACAATTTTTTGCATATTTCGTTCATGAACCTCACATGACTGCATCATCCAAAAATTACGTCATTGCAGCGTCACAATCACGAAATAGAGCTTGCCAAAGTAAAGCGACGATCACCAGTAATGACGCCTGCGAGTACGCTGTGGGTGTAGTTAGCCATGTATTATGACACATTTTATTAGCAAGGTTTATATTCTAATTTTTTTGTATACTTGTAGACATTAGGGCTAGGGACATTTCGAACACATTAAAACAGTCTTCACAATCAGTAGCATATTTTTTTCACCATACTGAAAGCACAATAGATGTACAAATTACAATAAATTATGAAAAAGCATTTCAGGGTGAGGTGAGCTGCGGGAAACTAAATTTGGTTATCGAGCAACAGCACCCATAAGAAAGTCTAATAAGAAAATAATAATGAAAAGTCGAACCATATAAGGTATTTGCAAAAAAGAAACGCCAAGGCGACCTGTTATACCCAGAAGAAAACGATCTTATGTGACTGCCATCAAAAGCAAGCCCGGTGGTTGAAATGGCATCCCAATATGCCTCCCACCGGGGAAACCATTCAGATTGCGATTGGGATTATATATCCATCCTTATTAGTATCTGTAGTTTTCACGCAAAGGAAAAATCCAAATTTAAATTTCAGCGGGCAGATGGTCCTCAGATTTATGTGTATTAGAGCTCTTATCAATTCTCATCAATTTATTGGCGATATTTTCGACACTACACAAACTTTGCCTGTGCGGTCAAAAATAAATTCATTAAAAATTTAGAGCCATCCCCTTAATTACTTTTCAATGCGTCACCGACAGGGCCGATAAGAAGCCCCCTCAAAATTTAAAGGCATTTTTAGTGTAGAATATGTTCAATTAATTCCAATTCGAATATTTCAATAAGTTGAACCTGGTTAAAAAAAATTAAAAATCGGTTTCAGAAACTCTTAATCAAGACTTTAAAGTTAAAAGCGAAAATGAATAACATTTCGAAATGGAAAAATGGAAGACAATCAAAATAGAAAATAGGGAAACAACAGAATAGAGTATATAAAATGTCAATATGCCAAAATGTGATGAGTGTTGAAGTTATAGTCAGTCCTTCTCTATGTCTTCATGTTGGGAATATAAGATACAGAGATGCATTTCTACACTGATTTTTCACATCTGTGTTTCTGGCTTACCTCAGTTCATTATGAACATTATTGGAAACTGGTGTGCTTATGAATCGTTTTGCTAAATTCATCCCTTTTTTCCGCAACTAATCGATTTCAATTTTCCGCCATTTGAAGATGATTGAAGCCGCTAGAAGGCTATTACTTTTATTCATTTTGCTGTTTTATTTTAATTTATGGGAACACTTTTCATGATATCTTGGACAATCTTTTCAGCAACTCCGTGCGACTATATTTGAGTATTGCTCTATATAGTGTTGATTGTTGAAACATCTATTCCCAATAATAGCGAGTAATAAATGGTTGTTTCACTTTTGAACATACTATACCTGGCATGGGCCAAATACAGCCCGTTGGGTAATTCAATCTGGCCCGACTGATGCTGCCACAACCAAACCGAAACCAAATTTTAATGTTTTAGCTGAAAATAGCTCAAGGAATTTGTCGAGATTGCGGTTAAATTTAGTTTTGGCACGAGGCTTATTGTTTTCCACTTTTGCTTTTGTAACACTGTAAATATCGTTCATAAAATGTAATTTTCTACAATCTACGTCACACTTACATGACCCGCCAGTCGACGTGGTCAAAATTTGGCCCATGGTCCAAAAACCTTGCCCACCCCTGTACTATACCCACAAATTTTATTCAGTTTTCAAGTCGCCTATGTACGAGACTATTGGTCAAATGACAGACTACGTTCCATCACCGCTGGCTATGAGATGACGCAATCATTGTTAATACGTTTAAAAAAAAATCAATACAGGATGTACTGAGATAGAACGACCATGTACTGTTTTAATGCTGGACTTATCATATTCGAAGAAGTAACGAATCGTTGGTTCGCCTTATACTAAAGTAGCGATACAGTCAATTAAAGGTTCGTTATAGTATATAATAGCAGTTTTTGTAGTTATATATTTTAGTAACATACAAATGGGTTTTGTATACACATATTTGGGTAATTTTAAACTATTGAATAGAAGTTCTAACTATACTATTCTAGAGAATTATAATAACGTTCATTCATTAAATATCCGATTTGAATAGAGTCCCTTAGTACTTTATTGAAATATTATATGTGTATACAACTGAAACCTTTGAAACCGCGCGCGTCACGATATACATGAAATACTGAAGGAATCTGCTATTGGTTGATAAAGGAGGTGGGTCGCGGTAGTGGCGGAAACACTAAAACAATTCCCTCGCGATTTATATGACTCGGTACTGCTTCACTTAGCCTGCGTTGTTTATACTTTAAACAAATTATGCAAGTTCTAAATCTCTGAATAGTATTTAGGCATTTGGATGTAAAAACAAAATAGCATGTCGATCCCCGAGAACCGCGTAAATATGACAGCAAATTATGAGCTGATTACGGTTTAATGTCTGGTGATTCGTGGACGAATAAGCATGCTGCATGATTAAGTTCATGTACGGGCTAGATTTAGAACAACCAACCTGGCGAAAATTTATCGCTGATCCGCCGAATATTTCTTGTAATCTTCGTAATGTTTCATAAAATTTGGTTTTACAAACCGAGTGGGCTAAATCGCTTGTCATAGTGTTTATTTTCCTGCAAGTACGCAAGAGTTATGTTAAATGTTTTAAAATATTTCCGTCACGTCATGCTGATAACGCAACCTCACGAAGTTTATCAATAAATTATGTTGTTCATTCCTATTTCAGTCGACATCTTTGAATTTAAACCTGATTTATTATTTTTGGTAGTGGAAACGGAAAAAATTTTCGACTAGTTGACAGGAACAATGTTTATGCTGTAGGAAGGTCTGAAGAATGTATAGTTGAGATGAAATTAAAGGTTTTCAAAAATTATCTATTTTGAGAAGTCAGACAACTGCAATTTTTTTCTGTAAATTTGATATTGTTGCAATAAAATCAGATGCAATACTGAATATATTACAAAACTATTACTTAGTACAGATACGACAGTCGTGATCGATAAGTATTGGTGGAAAATTCATTTAGTATCAAAGTTTCAATGTAAATTGAGGTGATGTATTTACTAATGGGCTAATTTTTTCGTGCTGTTTAACAAGCTATTTATGAAGGTCGCGTATTTATGCGTCTAAAATATTCAATACCTGATATTTAATTTAGTGGTCAGATTTATAATGATTTCGTTCCATATAAAAAAATAAAATAGCGGAGCCTTCAAAAATAGATAATGAATATTCAGCGGTAAGAATAAATTCATTCATTGTTTTTCATTTTGAAAACCCTTTTGCGCTTTGGCCTTATCGATTATATTACGAACGGAGTCGGATTTATCGCACTTAGTTTCCTAACAGCTGTCGTCAAGTGGAAAATTTCATGCGTTGCGCTTTTAACCTTAGCAGTCTATGATGCATGCTGTTTGGTTTTCAAAAAAAAAAACGCCGTTTGCTAGGTTTTGAAAAGGGATATTTGCCTAACAGATACTACGACACTTAAAAATTGTCTAACCAAGGCATTTTTGCTGAAAGAGAGTATTCCCGCGTCGATTAGTTGCCTCTCAATAATTACGAAGACCATTGGCTAATATAATGGGTGGGTTACAGGAGTGGCTTCGTGTCTTCGATTCATTCAAACGAGAAGGAGAAATACATTTCAATCCAATCGGAACAAGAGTCGTTAAAACTAAGTTTCTCGTTTAGTCTATCTATTAAATTCCGCGGTAGTGATGTTTAAGGTTGACTCCTCGTTTGGAGGTGCCTGAGACCCAGGTTTCAGAAATATTTACACGAAAAAATAAATTAGATATAAGTTTAATTAAGTATCAATCTTTAATATTAATTTGAGTCATATAGATACATATATATGTGTCGTTTTGAAATGTAGTTTGATAAATAGCGGGAAGGGATGGGCGCTTAGTGAGCCACAGAAGATAAATCGATAGTAGTATAATTTGAGTGTTGTAATTTGTTTTCATCATTATAGGGATTTCAATATGAAACCTATATTTTTTAAATCAAGATAAAGGTATCATATAGACTTTGTTACACGTCGATAATATAGAGTTAAATTCGCTTTGAAAAATAAAATGCCGATATCGTGCTAAACGTTTGCCATATAATAGAGTTAGTCGGAATTTTTAAATATTTCCATGACGCATATTTGACAAGAATCGAGTATTAGCGCTAAGAAAACCAAATAAAAGCAGATATGCAGCATTGATTTTACTCAAACGATGTGAAACTAAACGAGGCTTGAAAACAGGATTAATAAGTAAAACCTATATAAATTATAAATCCAGGGTTTGAGCCATTGTTAGCGGGTCCATGCCCGGCTAAACAGTTCTTACCTGGCAAGTATCACCCAAGGCATAATTGAGTCGTTTCATCTGATTGAAAATATTTGCATTACGATGTATTAGGCTTTGTATAAGCTATTTATTGTACAATAAAAAAGTATCTTCCAACTCTTTGAATTTGCAGAAAATATCCAATTATTTTGCATAATGAACTGCGCTAACAAACACGTCCTCGACAAAAAGTCAAATATTTTAAACCCTCTACCAGTCATTGAAGATGAGGGCCAAACCTTTTCCATACGAAATGGTATTTTTCAATGCACCCAATTTTTGTTGCCTCGTCGTCGACTATCAGTTGGAGCAGATTCCAAGGTTCTTGTCATCGTCACTGGAGGAACGATTGCTATGAAGAATAAAAATGGTGTTTACGTTCCGGAAAGTAATTACATTAACGAAGTGATAGAGAATAGTCCGATTCTGCACGACAAAGAATCTGCTAAACAGCAATCAATCTATTCGAATAATAATACTAACTGCGACACTCATTGGTTTGTGTTACCAAAGCTATCTTTGAAAGAAAAACAAGTCATTTATTGTGTAATGGAATATGATGTCTTACTGGATTCTTCGAACATGACAATTGACGATTACAAACGCATCGCCCGTGATATCAAAGCTAATTACGAGAGTTATGATGGTTTTGTAATTCTACATGGTACGGACACCATGGCTTACACAGCATCGTTTTTATCATTTATGTTTGAAAACCTGGGTAAATCGGTAGTTTTAACAGGGGCTCAAGTGCCTTTATGTGCAACACGAAGCGATGGCGTTGACAATTTACTCGCATCTCTTCTCATTGCCGGTAACTACACCATTCCCGAAGTGACACTGTTTTTTCATCACCGACTTTACCGAGGTAATCGCTGCATCAAAACTAATAATGAAAGTTTTCAAGCGTTTGAATCTCCAAACTGCGATCCTCTAGTCGCGATGGGCGTTGATATCAAAGTTAATTGGGATCTTGTGTGGAGAAGTGCTATTCCCAAAGCTTTTTCAATTCACATCAACATGGAACAGAACGTTGTTCTTTTACGTTTGTTTCCCGGCATCACTACAGCCACTATCAGAGCTTTCGTCAGTCCTCCTGTTGCTGGCGTGGTTTTACAAACTTACGGAGCTGGCAATGGTCCAAGCAATCGAAGAGATATTTTGGATTTGTTAACTAGCGCTGCCAAGCGCAATGTTTTGATTGTTAATTGTACTCAATGTCACCAAGGTTCTGTCGCAGCGTCTTATGAAACGGGAAAAGTCATGGAAGATGCTGGCATAGTGTCAGGGTCCGACATGACACTTGAAGCTGCATTAGCAAAGATGTCGTATTTGTTGGGAAGAAAAGATTTGACGCACACACAAAGGATGACTTATTTAAAAGAAAATATTAGAGGGGAATTAACTAGACACGAACCTGTATCAGAATTCAAGAAAAGAAACGACTTTTTCGATGCCGTAGCAGCTTCTATGAAATTGAGCTCGAAATCCGAAAGACACAATCTTCGCGCAGCTCTTTATCCTCCAATGTTATGCTTTGCTGCTTTGAATGATGATATTGATACATTAGAAAATATGAGAATTCAGGGTGCAGATTTGTGTTCTACTGATTACGACGGTAGAACTCCGCTGCATGTCGCATCTTCAGAAGGTAATGAAGATGCTGTCAAATACCTGTTAAGTAAAGGGGCTTCTGTTTACGCCAAAGATAGATTTGGGAGCACACCATTGGAAGATGCTATTCGATTCAGAAAATTTCACATAATTCAATTGTTGAGAGAAGCTGGTGCACACCTGCTCATCACAAGTTTACAGCTTGGCTGCACTTTGTGTGCCCTCGCAAGCAATAACGATATCGAAGGTCTCAGAGCGTGGAGTGCTGGTGGTGCAAATATGTCAGCAACAGATTACGATTCACGATCGGCTCTACATATCGCTGGGAAATTAGGATCAATTGAAGCAATCGCAATTCTATTGAATGGTGGCGCTGATCCATCCAGTACAGATAGGTTTGGCAAGACAGTTTTCGATGAATGCGCGGACAAAATATCGGCATTAATCAAAGAACACGTTAATAATCATAAATATACAATACCAAATGGACGCGATGAAAACATTAGACCGATTATGTGAACATTAAACCTAGTCGACGGTACTGTGATATCCTGCACTGGACGTTCACGTCAGGTTATCGATATTTTCTTATCTCTCCAGTACATTTTGTAAAGATCTTTCGTTTGATATTATGTCAATTTGCGGAAATACGTATTAACCTTTATCTTAGGACTTGGATTATAAATTTTGTAGCATATTTTTCTTGTAAATCCGCGATGGACTGAAAACTACAAAACTTGCTGAACCCAATCCTATCTCTAGTTTCGCAAATTACATACCTTAAATAATTTACATATATTGATTGGAACCAAATATTTAATAATAAATTTTATAATAATATTCGATCATAAATTTATATATTGAATAAGTTCAAACATGTAGAGTTTCTGGCGTATATAACTGTAGTTTGTAATATTCATCACACAACTTTTATTTATTTATGTTAGGAAAGCCACTTTGACTCACATGACTTATATTTGTTTGAATATACAAATTGGTTGATGCATATTTTTATTTTTCCCAAGGTGAACCCAAAAAATCAAATCAAAATATCAATATTTTTAAAGCAACCGACATTCATCGAGTATTTTTATAACGTATTTCCGGTCTACACTGTTCTGAGACACAATCAAATTATTGCACGCTACAGTTATTAAATGTACCATACTGCTTTCTTTGTAACCATTTCACCATTTCAGTTTCAATTTAATTCACTACTATTAATTTGCCAGCATTCTAAATATCAAAATATTATAAATAAACAACGTCATTTTATATTATTATAAACATTTACAAGACCACGCACTAAAGTCAGTGCATAGCCATGGTTTTTGGTATAACATGCTGTAATAATTAAGGTAGATCAGGCATTATACTTCATAATATTGTATGAAGCAACTGATTCGATTGAGAAGCTAATCAAACTAAGACAGAAGTGACATTCCTTTAATTGCGTTATTCATGTTTGATAATGTGTATGATCTGTTCATCGAATTGAAGCCTGAAAATCGTGTTTTAAATAATATTTTTGTTTCGTAAATGATCTTATCTTTACCTATGAATTATTACCTTCAATATATATACGTTCTTGCACATGCAACAATCGAGTATACACAAATGTTCTATACACAAATTAGTATCTATATTTTATCTCGAGTGTTATTTCAAATATCTTTTGTTTACTTATATTTTATTTTGTTTGTGAAAAATGTGAATCTTCTGACATTAAGGGTACACACTGAATGCTGAAATTAATTTAAATTATAGCCAATATGTTAATACTTTCCCGAATGCTTCCGTGGAAACCATTTGTTGGAATATGGGTATATTTTTATGTTTTTCATTGACATTCAATTCAATTTTCTTACCCTTAATGTTAGTTTTTATTCATTTTTATTTCATGTTTGAATATGAAATTTGAATTTTTTTCAATGGAGAAGGATTCATAACTTCACTTTCAGACTATAGTTCCTAATTAGCTTCTGCTCTAAACATTGAAGTTCATTGTTATTGTCTGAAATTCTATTAAATGCATTGAACAAAAATGAAGTTTTTTTTTATATACTCAATGACCCTACTGTACATTTTGCAGATAACATGATAGCTACGTGAAATTTATGCACGACCGCGTTATTTGAGAGGAATCGAACCAATGTTTAAACACATCGAATTTAAAGGGGAATTTTAAAGTTGTAATATATATATTACAATCATTCTGGAAGTTCGCATGAAAAATTAAATGGCGTACATATCTATCTAGTAAACTAACTAATCAGTTGAACAATAACTGATTTATGACGTTGGTGGCTGCTACCGTCGCGTGCGTGAGTATTTTTAAAATTCGTCCCGTTCAACTATCCAATCTGTTCAAATTTTCTAAACAAATATGGGAAATATATTGATACGGGCTTGGTCAATTTCCCATTTAAATATAATGATTTTGCTCGTTATCGGTTTTTATTAGTTTTCTTCGAGATTCAGTGCACCTCAATGTGCGGTAATGTTACAGAGTCGGTAACTATTGATCTCGGGGCATGTTTCGCCATATCATTAAGATGTCTTATCTTTAACTTTAATGCATCGATACAATAAAATTTGACCATCAATTGAGGAAAACCGAGAAGCTCTCTGTGTGGGAGATAGTTGTGTTTTTTGTATTGTCTACTCTACATGCAAACTGTTTGTTGTTTAGTTTGATATTAGCGGTTGTTTCATTATCGCTGTCATTGCACTTGAGAAGTTGGGGTTGGGACAAAAAAATCGCCTGTATTGCCAGAGCTATTGTCTTCATCCATTGCCTTTTCTCTCAGCCCGTTGGTATTGTTGACACCCATTGCCCTTCACATCAAGTCTAGCATCCTCATCCTTAGCCTATACATCTGGCTCTCCTCCCCTCAATTTCATTCTCCAGGATGTGCCGTTCGATGCTATCGTTTTTTGCGAAATAGGTATCCAACAAATTGGCTCTGCCTTTCTTCGATGGTCCGCATCAGCAAGCGACCGACCTGCATTCTTTTTAGGACTACAGCATTTGAAAATTTTTCTGTCCACGAAATTCGAACCACATCTCAGCTTTTTGTCGGAATAAAACCATTTAGATTGACCTCAAAAACATCTAAAAATATCTACATTGGAAAACAAAACATCCAATAAATATATCTAAATATGAAGTTACTAAATTTAATCAAAATAATCAAAACAAGAGAGTACAAATAGTTCATTATATTACATCATAGTAAATTTTAAAGATCGTTTGAAGTTGATGTAATTGCTACAGTTGCTTCAAAGGGTTTTTTATACGCTTCTGCTATACAACCGAACCGAACCAAAACAGGTTATCTATATGACGTGCATACCTTGCATTCAGTGCATCTGTATTCCTGCTGTTTCTTAGTTTGTCTTTTTCACAGTTTATCGACCAAATTTTTTTCAACGTCAGCATTTAAATGACGTAGTAACATTGCTTGCTTACATTGCTGCTGCCGTGCTATTGTTCTACTTTCTGACTACTAGATGGGAGTTTTGTAGCTGACTTTCTGCCCTGCCGATAATGTTTCTTAAGATAGCTAAGTTTTATGACAGCTGACGAAATGTACGTCGTGTGTTGCCGACAGGAAACAAAGACACGCTTTTTAATACAATCGAATTTGCAGGTAGTCTCTGTTTCAGCTGTTTATATGAGATACTGAAAAAAAAACTTTGGCATATATATACACTTTATACAGCTATATAGGGATGGGCAAAATAGAATACCGAATCCGGTGAATTTGAATCCCAAAGTACTAGAATCCAGCAGAATCCGATAACAGGATTCTGTTTCCGCTTCTTCGGCGCCGTGTGTCAATATTAGTCTCCCGGATTTCTGATTTATTAATCAGTGACATGTACAATTTTACTATCTAGTTCGTTTATATTAATTATTATTATAGGTGCCGACTTACTGGCGATTTTCCGATTACCTGATTGCAACAATCTTAAATTTTCGGAATATGTGGTGAAACATTCTTTTATTTTAAATTGAATGACCTTTCGCGGCCTTCGAGTTCTCCCGGAAAATGATATGTACCCGTTGTTCCATGTTAAAACATCATTTGCGATTGATTTAGATTAAACTTATTTTTACTACGCCTCGTTTCCAAAAATACAAATTATTAACGCAAAACAAGGCGTTTTGTTGCATTTATTTTACACTCCCATTGAAATTCGTGTTTTTTGGAATTCAAGTCGCCAATGAATCCGCTCCTGTCGTCCAAGCTCGACACACATTTGGTCGAGTGTCGGGCGGTATTATAGTCGACGATAAATTAAAAAGTTGCCACACGTTGTCACTATTGACGGACATTATGCAAAGCGTATCGCCAGGTCTGGATAGATATATAACAATAATAACTGAAAATTAAGATTTTGCAATAGAAATGAATTTGTCAATCTATGTTATTTTACGAGACTCGTTCGCAGAAAATAAACACGCTGACATACTTGATTTTAATTGATAGTCGTTAAATTTATTTTAACCATTATTTAATGCGCCCTGTCGAGTGCGGCACCCGTTGCGGCCTTATAAATTATAGTGGCCGCGGTCTTGTTTGTGTGTTTTCGGCGCTCTCACTTTCATAATTGGACACGTAGTGGACATAACCATCGTTTTGTTGTTCTTGTTCTTTGACACGTTTTGAAGAAACTGCTTTTCTCTTTGATTACTGGACCAATTGATTTGAAATTTTCAGCGGTTAAAGATGGAATTTTTCTCCAGAGGGCTATTACTTTCATTTTTGCTATTACGTCATCAAAATGATGTGACGCTACGTGTCCATATATTTGAGCATAGCTCTCTTGTAATTTAATGTTTTTTCATACATATAATTTGTATTTCACAATTCAGTATTAATGCGCTATTTATTTTAACATATAAGTATTTAGGATCACATAAATTTTGAACAATTCGTGACAAGAAGTAATTTGTTAAAACTTTTATACAGTATTCTATTGTCCTGTTTGGTAACAACGAATCCAATCTATATTGCCTTTTAAAATTGTAATCGGTCAATATTGTGAGAAAAATTCCCCTATTTAAATTATTCTATATTGCTCATTCCTACAGTTATATTACTCTCTTAAAAATCCCTTGGATTTCATATCAGGCATATAATTTAAGTTTCATTAACTTTACATATAATTCTAAATACTATTCGTTTAACAATTATACACATCGCTTTTTTATTTCCCAATGAATAATATTTTGAACGTTGAAAAAAAAGTCTTTCATCGCTTCGTTGATTGTCCAGGACTCACATCCGTAGGCCTATATCAGAACTTACCATGCGTAACACGTTAGCCGTCTTTTCTTTGTGCCAAGACACCGATTTCGTGCACCCATAACAGTTTTCATATTCATAAAGGCTGCTTTATAGTTTTATGAACGAATTGTTCTATCCCAAATTCTGACATGAGTCACTCACTAAGTTTCTCTTCTGTAGGACGAACGTCGTAGTGACAGTGCCGATTCACGGTTATCGTTGGGTCATTCTGCAAAACTTTTGCTTACAACGCCTTATTTCTGTCACTTTTTTAAAAAATATATTCACCTATTAGAAAAAAAAATTGACTCTCTTCCTTCATATACCACGGAGCCTACAACATCACATACACTTAGAGCAGGCCTGTACAACATACGGCCCGTGGGCCGCATGCAGCCCGCCAGATCATTCTGTGCGGCCCGCAGGTTATTTGGAAACACGCCACTTCTCGGGTCTAACAATTAAAGCCGGCATTGTTATGCAAGCGCGCCGCTACTCCGATCATATTCGAAATCGTGAGATTTAGGTTTTGCACTAGTTTCAATAAATATCAAACTTTGTGTGAAATTGGTGTGACCTTAGCGACCTCTAAAATTCGTTGCGCGACCCCTCGCCCCCCAGTTTGGGAAACCCTGATTTAGATATCTCAGTATTCAGACTGAACAATGAGCATATATACAATGAGTGGAAACTTGCAAAGATTTGCTCATTTTGGTATTGTTCCCTGCATTTTTTACGTCGTCCGGCTAAATGGTTCGTTGCATATTAAGAAAACGCATTGCTCGCTGCCAAAATCCCTTGCTTCAGCCGAGTCGGGTGCGAAATTGGCCGTATTGAGGTCTTTAATTCTTCAATACATATTAGGTTTTGGGTTTCGAAGTATGGTATGCTGAAAGCATACAACTATGAGCATATGCTTATTGGGAATGCATATCTATTAGACAGAAAACGTAGCTACAGTACAGAATATGAACCAGTCGCCCAGTGGAGTGCGGTTATTTATGTATTTATTCGGATAAGGATTTACATATTTATCCCGGGGGAAAGGAAAGCCGATAAGACGGCTTATCCATATGGCGAACCAAGGTCTCTCGTCCGGTTACCATTCCAAGTCGGGTATGGGATTAGTTATATTGTTTGTTTTCGGAAGCATGGACCTCAAGCATGGAATATGTAGAAAAATATAGAGAATTATAGAATAAACAACCCATTTGAGAGGGAATTGAAAAATTTATGTAAAGCGTTATTTCAAAAATAAAATTATATGTTTATGATATGTATTTTATATTTACTAATTTCATTTTTATTGTTTTATATCAATGCATTTATTAAAATAACCTAATTATGATATGGATAACTACTGGAATTGAATAAAATAAATACTGAATCATGGATGCCATGCAAAATGGAATATGAACTTATTTATATTATATATATTATTTTATATTAACCGTAATTAAAATCACTCATTGAGTGAACGAATGAGCATATTGTAATGCTTATTGGGAATACATACCATCTATTAGGCAGAAAACTTTACTACAGAACAGAATATGAACCAGCCAAGTGGTGACCTGGGATATTGTATTCATTGATATAGATAGAGATAGTTTATTTTGAAAAGTTCACAATCTGACAATACAAACAAATAAAAAATGGAGAGTTCTGGAGAGCGAGCAAAACCTTTAAAAAAGTTTAAAACACGATGAGTATCATGTGCCCGCCGTGTTATAGCAA